TCGGTAGGGTATTGCTTCAGCCCGCTCCCGCCACGGCTATTGCTCTGACCTAACCCATCCGTCAATGGTCGCCATAGCGACCGACAGTCCGCTCCTACCTTCCTACCGGGGCCCTACCTCGTCGCCCGCCTTGTGGTAAGCGGCAGTAGGGCATTGTACTCCTACCCGACTCACCCCCCTCAGCCGTTTCCGACTACCCACCGCCCGTCAGTGGTTACCCTAGTGACCGACAGTCCGTTCCTAGTCTTCCTTCCCGGGCCCTGCCACCGTCGCCCGCCTTGTGGTAAGCGACGGCAGGGTATTGTCTCTCCCTCCCCCTCTACCGAGCGACCGACCGCTCACCGCAGCCGTCGAGCGCCCGAACGCTCACCGCGACCGTCGAGCGACCGAACGCTCTCCGCGACCGCCGAGCGACCGACCGCTCCCTCCGTTACCACCGAGCGAACCGACCGCTAACCGTAGGTGATAAGCACTGTCCGCCGTTAGTCTTAAACATTGTCCGTGTCCACCGTTCGTCTTAAACATTGTCCGCGTCCGCCGTTAGTCTTAAGCTTTGTCCGCGTCCGCCGTTTGTGGCAGACACTGTCCGCGTCCAGTAGCCCAAAGGCTACGTCCGCCTTGTACACGCTTAGCGAATAAACGTCTACACCACCGAAACCGCCTCCGTCACTCAACGCACCGAACCTTGGGCAGCCGACTGAGTCGGCCACCACCTTCCTCCGCGTCCCCCGATCCGAAACGGACCGTCACCCGGGGGAACGGTCACAATAGTTTTGTTATGTATCAAATAAAGAAACATTACACTATACATATAGGCATAATTTATAAAAAATCTTTTAAATGTTTCATATAAATCTTAGGAAGAATTAAATTTTATGTAAAAAAAATTATATAAACTTTTTTTCTCTATCTTCTCTAGAAAAGAAAAAATTAAATGAAATCTTATACATTACATGCTTATTTCAATCGCATTGAAAACGAATACCACAAATGTTTCAGAATAATATGCAAAATAATCTTACTCGCAGGGGGTTAATTGAGAAATAAATGTTTGGTAATTGAAAACAGGTAAACAGCTTAACCGGCTGCGATTTTCGCTGAGACAAATTGAAAACTCGGTTCTAACAAGGAAAAGTTGGAATGGTACCCGGTTTTGGGTTAGGTTTTACTTTGAGATATTATTAAAGTTATTACAGGTACTTATCTTCAGAAATAGAACCACATAGATCAGCAACCTAAGTGGCGTGAGTGATGAGGTGTTTGCCTGTAAGTTCCGAGCTTCTTTTGCTCTGCAGGTTCGAACCCTGGTAGAACAAATCTTTTTTTTATTTTTTCAATTATATTTTAATCGTACACTAAATGTGACATTATATTTTTGTCTGTCCTTCGAATATTTTTTTTTTAAAGTTGAATTTAACCAATTACATTTAACATATGTTATTTTCAATGTACGAGGTACATGAATCTGGATGGTACTTTTCGTAAAAACATTTTTCGTTAAAAATATTCGACTATGTCCTTTTAAAATTTAAGATTCAACCCATACTTTGTATTAAACTGGCAAACGGGATCACTTTTCCTTTGTTTCTAAACGGTTTGATGGTGGGGATCTCGTGACTCCTGGCAAAAGAGTTCAGTTGTCGATTGCCAGCAGGCAAATAAAGTTATTCTTTTATTAAAGTTGATTTTATCGGGCCCTTGTGTTTGTGCAAAGTGACAGTATTTCGTGTCGTTGGGTAAGTTTTTAATAGTTGCTTTTTAATTAGTACGAATAAATTGTATAATAAAAATGGCAGGATTTGAGGAAATCAACAAAAAGTTTAACGACAGATTTCGATCTATTTGGATGAGTGATCCAAATTTAAAGTCATGGCTACGCGAAGTTCCAGGGGACAATACCGTTTTTTATTGTTCCGTTTGTAAAAGAACTTTCAAGTGTCGATCCTCAAATGTCAAGAGGCATTTAGAATCTGCGAGACATAAATTTTTATTAAGTAATTTAAATCTTGATACAACGGAACGATTTTGAAAAATCGTATTAATAATATACGTATGCACGCTCATACATAGGAATAATAAAAAAAAATTTCTTTTTTTTCAATAATTAAAATATGATCGGGGGGTCTTAAAACGTGTATTTCGGTAAAATAAATTTTACAAAATTTTTTTTTCATTATGAGGGCTGCTTATGTGCGTCTACATACACTCGCCGCGGAAAGTATGTTGACACGTTTCAAAATCTTTTATTTTAAACTTTCCCCGGTTGTAAACAAAGCACGTAAGGTTTCTATTCCTCATAATGCTTTGCCAGTGTTTCGTGAGATGGTACAAACAGTTGATATTCGACCTTAACTTGGAATACAAGTTATTTATTATTAAAACGTTCTTTAGTGCTGTGCGGAAAGTAAGTTGACAGATATTTTCGGTTGTATTTTACTCTAATTTGTTCAAAGTTTAGTTCTTAAATTACATTTCTCGTATCCTTCAACATTAATTGTAGTGTTTTATAGTTACATTTTATCATTTTCAAGGTAATATTATTTCAAAATGCCAAAAATTCGTGAACTCACACCATCTGAGATATCACAAATATTTAATAGGCGTATGAAAGGATATTCGCTTCGAAAAATCGCATCAGACTTTTGTATCTCTGCAGAAGGTGGCAGACAAATAGTAAATCGTCTGGAAAAGAATGGTACAGTGAAAACTCGATAAATGTCCTCAAGAGCTGTTCCATAAATGATACATTTTTATCCCCACCACTAGGGGGATCCCCCTTGAACCAGTGAGGCGAAGTGTAACCGGAGACGTAGCGGCTTTCTTTAAAAATCTTTATTGCGTTCGTCATCTTAGTTTAAATGTCCCTGTCAGTGTGACCACACTACTGTACAAGAAGAAAGTTTTTTATTTTTTACTTTTTTTTAATAAAAATTTTACTATCATGCGGGGAAGATTTTTCTAATTAAAATGTGACTAAACACGATATAAATCGGCCAATATTTGTTACCATAATATTGAATTAAATATTGTGTACTCGTATCTTCGCAAGGTCAATGGATTGGTACATTTATCGAACAGTGGTAGCTAACGAAACCCCCTATTTCATAAGTGTTGCAGTTTTTGATCACTTACGAAACGGTGGAACCGTTCCGTTTGAAAATAGCTACCTCCCGTTCGATAAATGTAGCCAAGCACCTCGATGCGTCGTTCTTTGATATTTCCGAACATAGAAAAGGACAGCAAAAGAAGGATAAATAAAGAGAGAAAGACTCGCAAGTACAATATTTAATTCAATATTATGCTACCAAATATTGACCGATTTATATCGTGTTTAGCCTCATTTTAATCAGAGAAATCTCCCCAACATGATAGTGAAATTTTTATTAACAAAAAGTAAAAAATAAAAAACTTTCTTCTGTGCAGTAGTGTGGTCACACTGACGCGGATATTTAAACTGGGGCGATAAATCCGCGTTTCAGTCCCTCTTTCTTCTTTAGCTACTGACTCTTTCTACGTTCGAAGCGTCGGCAAACTACAATCAAATTCGAAAGACGATTCTCCTATTCCGTAAGTGTTGCTGACCGGACCCGGAGTAGCGACATTTATCGAGTTTTCACTGTACTGCAGAAAATCTTCCAAAATCGGGACGTCCGAGGAAGACCACGATCAAACGGGATCGCAGAATAAGAAGAGAGGTGCTTAAGAATCGTTTCATATCCGCCAGACAATTAAAATCTGAAATGTATCTCCCTATATAAGAGACGCAAGTTCGTATGCGAATAAAAGAAGCAGAATTTCATGGCCGCGTAGCGAGGAAACGACCGTTTATTAGTAAGCGTAATGCTCAAAAACGTTTAGCATTTGCTAAACAATATGTGAATAAAACGATAGACTTTTGGAAAAATGTCATATTCAGTGACGAGTCAAAATTTGAACTTCGTTCGAATAAGAGAAGAAAATTTGTATGGAGAAAAGTAGGTGAAAGTTTTAAACCCTGAATAAGTATTCCAACCGTTAAGCATGAAGGTGAGTCGGTGTTAGTATGGGGCAGTTTTTCACTGGCTGGTGTAGGCAATTTACATTTTATAGAAGGTACACTAATAGGAGAGGGATATGCGAACATTTTGCAGCAAAATTTAGTACAATCAGCTGAAAACATGAACATCAAAGAACGTTAAATATTTTAATGAAAATAATATTAATTTACTGTCATGGCCAGCGCAAAGTGCAGATCTTAACCCGATCGAACATTTATGGGACCATTTAGACAGAAACGTAGACGAACACTGCAGAAATAATAAAATCTTGTTCCAGAGGGCATTATCAAAAGCGTGGTTTGAAATAGACCAACATACAATTGATAAATTAATAAAAAGTATGCCAAGAAGACTTCAGGAAGTCATAAACAATCGAGGATATCGGACTTCATATTAAGTCCATAATTTCAGTTATTTCAAATTTTATTTTTTTACAAAATTACTTATTGTCAACATACTTTCCGCGTATGGCTAATACAAATGTCATATTGTTTTGTAGCTAATAAAAATCATATCTGATTTATCATACAATGTATATTATGTTACATACTATTAATCAATATTTGTTAATTGTTTACTTCCCGCAACTTGAGTTTTTTATTTAGCAGCGAAAAAATACTCTTTTGAAACATGTCAACATACTTTCCGCGGCGAGTGTAGGTCGGAAAGTAAAAATGGCTGGGCAGTCGAGAATCTCGGCTCGAGATTCCAAATCGTATGCCGTTGACGGGAGGTCGGATTTCAGTTGTTTAAGAGCGAGAAGGCAAATGTCAGCCTTTCTCTCTCGACTCCCACGAGGCGGTCCGAAATTACTTCGTGCAGCTTCGGAGAATCGAGAAAGAGGGCACGCGTCAGTTTGCCTTTGTCGACTTTCCGAAACACCACGAGCTCACGTACGCGTGATCTGGCATTAGTGTGAGAAGGTGCCTTTGGTGCACTTCTGTCGTCTCTGCCCGAAACGCCGGAGCTCGTATGCACGTAACCATGCACTGGTGTGCGTAAGTGGTGGGGCAGTTTCCCGATGACACCGGTCTGCCGTCTGGTAACACTGCTACGAATTACAATTAGCGACACAACAGATGAAAGCGTGACGTGAATAACGTCGGCTTGCCATACCGCGTCGAGATAATGTCGTTCGAGAAGAGAAACGTTGTCCGTTTGTAAAGCAGGGTACATAAAAAACCCCGTAATTTAACCCCGGCACTGTTTTGTCGCGCGGTTGCCAGAAAATGGAAGCGGACTATCAACCGACGCTAAGCCCAACGCGAACTTTGACAGGTGAGCTTATACGTCGCGATTGTTGACGCTGCCCAAGGTGTCAAATAAACGTTACGTCAAGCACGTATTGCTGTGCGAATCGCGATTGTAAAACTTTACCTGGCATCGACACACGTTTCCTTTTTCGTATTCGTTCCAGCCAGAGAACATTTCACCATAGATCTCGGTCCGATATGTGAGAAACACGCCGATTGGCGATGAATAATTCACGTATTGACAACGATAGTACGTATCGCGAAATCGGAGATAGCCCTAAACTTGACATAACGCTGTCGTACGATTAAAATCCGTGTGTCGGTTATAAATTTCTTTTTTCGTGTATCACTGATTGGCGGTTTGTAAACACTGATGAAAAGTGGCAAAAATGTTTATTGAAGATCGTATGCCGTGAAATACGATCTGGAAAATGATATATAACGAGAAACCGCGAAAGTGTATAGAAGTCATCAATTTATTATGATACCTCTTATGCAAACATGATTTTTTTTTTTAATCGCTACTTAATATTTTTTAAATATCCGTTTGTAAAATAGTACCATTGATCGAATGCAGAATTGTGTTGATCGGTACAACATCCTGAGATTCGTTGAAGTTTGTATGGTACGGACGATAATGTACATACTTTTATTTTTATAATAACAGCTGCTAATGACGTCGAGGATCCGTATCCAAGTTTGTCAGATTATCATGATTACGAGCCCAACTTGGAGTTTGACGATACAGAGTTGCAAACCACTTCGAATAACGGTAAGATGTTCCAGCGCAAATAATAATATTAATATTTCGATTCGGACATTACCGATACTAAAAGTTGTATCTATCGGAGCAAATTATATTACAATTATTTTAATACGTTTATGTTAATTGCTTTGCATTATTATTACTTTTATAGTGTCTGTAAACGCTGTTGTATTTAACCTTTCGACAGGCGTAAATGTGTACAAAGTAGAAACAGGTCAGTGGTTGATAGCAAAGACCATTTTACTAGAAAATAACTAGGACCCTCGCACCATACGAAATTTATATTAACCTCTTGTCCTACCCGTTAACTCCCGATTGCTCAACAAACAAGAAGGTTGGTCACGCGTCGAGCCATTTAGCTGTTTGACTAAGCGTTACTGACATCGTAGCTGTAAGGGTTGTTTAATTCGTTTAGAAAAATTACACGCAACTAAGAAAATATCGAGAACAATTGAACCACGAGTACGTCTTGTGTTATTGGCCCAAATTTCTTATCATGAGTCTCGCTCGTTGTTGTAGGACGAAGGGTTAAACTTCAGTTTGGTAATATTTCTTAACGAGCATACATCAGTTTGCTCCAAAGTGTTTAGAAGAATATTGAAGCATCGCTGGGATTTCCAAATAGCATTTATCTTTATTTTTACACAGTGATTTACAGTTTTATTTATATATATTTTATTTTCTCAAGAGATAATACATGAACATTCTTTTTACATTATGTGTAAAATATTTTTATAACTTTCATTTCCTATTTTTTTGCGAGAGAGATTTCTCCATAATCTGATCGACTAATATGACTATACTAATATGAAATGTACACTTGTAATAACACATTTTTATATATGTGCTACCATATTTTTATATCCTGTACTACATATTTTGTACGTTTGCGTAAATATTTTATAATCATTTAACAAAGAAATTGAAATTTCATATTGCTAATGTATCGTGTAATTGTAAGATATATGTCCATTGGAGAGTTAATTAAAACATAAATTAAGAAATACTCGAGAAATTACGTTAAATGTAATTTTGTGTAATTATTGTGGAATGTAATTGAAATAATCGTTTTGTAGCCGTACAACTTTTAGAAGAAAAATTGGATTTGATTAGCAGCGGTGCTGGTACTGGGATAGATTATCTTGAGAGTCCGGTGAGCGACGGCACAATTGAAGAGAACTTTGAAGAAGCTTTGGTAGATGCTCCAGTTATCGAATCCGGTGTGTGACCTTTTATCTTCTGTTAGTAGCCACTAAATGTCATGGCATTTGGGGCATAGCAGGTGAATTATGTAGACCATTGTACAGTTTTATTATTGCATGGTTTAAAAATGCACAGAACCAAGGAAACGATGACTTTGTTTTGATTCGATGATACTAAATTGTGTTGGGTATCTATTTTATAAAGAATAAGAGCCACGGGAAAGAAACAGAAATGGTTTAATGTTAAAACGTTGTTGTGATAAATGTTCTCTTTTTGGTGAGCAGCGGAGGATCTTGCTGCATTGGATGGTGAACTTACGGACGAAGAAGATTATCTTGATATTTCGAGATATGGTATCGTAGAAGTGGTTGGCGATGACAGTGCTGGTCGTAAAATAATCATAGTATCTGCATGTAAATTACCTCCTGTCGGAAAGGAAACATTTAATCATGCTAAACTTCTCAGGTTTGTCGATATAGATACATTACTTATCGTTCTAAACATGGAATGTTTAAAATTGAATTAGTTCCGTAACAAATTTATAATAATATACTTGCTCGACAGGTATCTCACGCATACTTTAGACACATTTGTAGAACAAGACTACAGCTTGATTTATTTTCACTATGGTCTTACTTCCAAAAATAAGCCACCGTTATCCTGGTTATGGCAAGCGTACAAAGCTTTCGATAGAAAGTATAAAAAGAATTTGAAGGCTTTGTATTTAGTTCATCCGACTAATTTTATTAGAATCGTATGGCAAATATTTAAGCCAGCCATTAGGTAATTAATTTTCTTTTTTCGCTCCTATGAATATCCTTCTTAGGTTGGTGCATTAAAGTTGCTCGTTCTTTGATTATTTCAGTGCGAAGTTCGGTCGTAAAATGATGTATGTTAATTATTTGGAGGAACTGGCACAATACATTAATCTCGATCAACTTATAATACCTCCTCAAGTAATAGAGTAAGCATTTTTTCCACGTGGTTATTAATATCTTTATAGTAACTTAGCCGTACCGTTACCTAATGATGTTAATTTTTAGACACAATGAACATCTAATGTTAAAGAATAAAAAGAATTTGCCAACAAGTCCACCTCAGAGTGCGGTAACAACACCAGTTGGTACCACTCAATTCGGAGCAAGTCTCCTTTTTATCAAAGAGAATAATAATAATGATCCTATACCACCAATAGTACGACAATGTGTTGAATTTCTTGATACACCCGATGGTGTGTACAACTAACTCATCATTTATATAATTTTATCGTATAAATAATAATAACAAAGATTATTGTAAATTTACAGCCTTAGAAACGGAAGGAATATTCAGACGATCGGCTAATGTGGCGGTAGTTAAAGAACTTCAGCATCGTTGTAATCAAGGATTACTTGTTGATTTTCAGGGAGATCCCCATATAGCAGCAGTTCTTCTTAAAACGTTTCTTCGCGAGTTAGATGAACCTCTTATGACATACGAACTGTACGATGAAATAACACAATTTCAAAGTAAGTAATATACCAAGATATCGTTTATACATATATGTTACAAGTTGTAAAAATATTTAAATATTACAGGTCTATCGAAAGACGAACGTCCAAGAAAAGTAAAGATACTAGTACTTGAGAAGCTTCCAGAAGACAACTATAAAGTTTTAAAATATATTGTACAATTTTTATCGAGAGTAAGATATTGTTCTAACAATTACTATTTAATTATTTCTAATTTAAACAGGTGATAACGTTTCAATAATATTTGTTATTTTGCAATAGGTGATGGATAGGTGTGATTTGAACAAAATGACATCGAGCAATCTCGCTGTGGTATTCGGTCCAAATCTTGTCAGAGCACCACCGTCGCGTGGAATGTCACTTTCTGCAATAGGTCCTATTAATCAATTCATAGATTTTTTATTTATTCATCAGGATGAAATATTTATTATTTAAAATTATCGTTGAAGCAAACATCGAAGGCCTAATTCGAAACGAAATTCGTACTTTACGTGTTGTATGTTGTAGAAAGGAAATCCTACAGGTCGGGCTGCCGGTGTTTGATATTTGTAAAAATTATTGGAGAACAACAAGAAAAAATTTTATAGGAATTTTTAATAAGAACTCGACGAGTTACCGAGACTTTTTCATCTTGACGTATGAAAAAGAAACAAGAAAAATCTCATTTTATCAGCTTTAGATCTTTAGCTATTAAATCATATCAAATTTGTTGAGAACTTAAAGTGAACGTAACAAATTCATGTATAATATTCATATTTAATTATAACGTCCGTACTTCGTTGATTAAAATATTTTTATATTTGAATATACAAATAGAGAAATGTTTGCATACCTACTAATGTCACAAATAGCGCTTAATTATACAGCCTGCACAAGATTTTTTTAACGAATTGGTAAAAATGATTTCGTGATTAAAATACTGAATATAATGATACAAAATGGACTCTGGATGGTAATTTAAAAACATGTAAACTTACGTGAAAATTAATGGGATACCAAAGATACATGAAAATGTCATGCAATTATTGTAAAATTTAGAATTATTTTAGAAATAGTATAACGTAATGGAAATAGACAAGCAGAAGTATAATGGTGTACAGGATGCCTTGCATAATTGTATTAATTTAAGAAAAATGAACATGACACGATTCATAAGTCATAATTAATTAACTATTGATTATATCTTGTTATAGTTGATTAGTATAGCCAAAGTGAAATACGAATTAGTGATTACCGATAGAATACGACATCCTTTGTATTAAAATTGTGTACATACATACTAAAATTAATAGCAATGTATAAAATTTTAGCCCGATTATGTGAAACTGTCCACGTAACTATACAGATAGGAGGATATCGATGAATTTAAAAAAAAAAAAAAGAAAATGATTACATTACACTATAAAATTGAATTTAAATTTGCAATAAAACTTATTATTTTCGCGTAAATACAAATGGAATCAATTGTTGATGCGATTTAGCATGTTATGTGATGTTTGGTCTGTAACTTTTAAATGTGATCGTAGTCTGTAAAATAACAAATTCGTGAAAAAAAAAAAATGAAAAAAGGGAGAATAATTCGCATGATCATTTTCTAGTAATAATAGCAATGGAAACTATAGAAATTGTTATTCGTTATTATCGTAACTTAACAATTAGATTAAAATCATTGTCAGGGTATTGTGTAATGTAATACTTAGCATAAATATTGTCTGTTGTCACTTTAAGGATAAAAGACTTACACTAACCTTTTCAGAATCAAATATTTGTACATTTTAAATAGTCCTGCCATTATGGGTGTCTGGGATAAAATAGAGGCTAATCGTCTAATACACTCTTTGCTATCGGAAAAAAAAAAAGACTAACCCAGACCTATATAGAACTGATACAACTACATTCCATAAAATTACTTTAACAAAGCATGATTATTTATAAAAAAAAGCTAGGATACAGAACGTGTCATAAAATGTATATTACGCAATTCATTATTTCCAATGTTCTAAATATTTTTCTGATTCACAAACAGCCATGGACAACCCATCCATAAATTTACATACGATTAAAATTACGAGTCCATACGAGAAAAGAATATTTATGTTGCTACAATAGATGAATTTGTGGATGTTCATGATCCATGTATGTACCTGTGATAGAGTAGAATATTTGTACTTTAGTCTCACGAATACTATGCATGTAATTAAATTAAGATAACGATATTTTCCAACAGTCCTTTACTTTGTAACTAATTATAAAAAGAAACTAATCTAAATTGTGAACTATAAAATACAAAACATTCCCAAAAAATATTGTATTACATATATATATGTATATGTTAATTAAGTTTTTATTAAAACACAATGGTATTTAAATATACATACATTTATACGAGAGAAATAGATACATCTGGTAATTATAATGAATCTTCCAGCTATATATGCGAATAACAAGACATTTGGTTTATGGATCAACCGAGGATCTATCAATGTAATGAAATATCGAAATACAGAAAAATCAACTCTCAAAATATAATCGGTATTTCTTATTTTCACGCCAAGTTAAAATTATTTAGGCTTCTCGTTTCATATTTACATTAACGTTCGAACAAAGAAAATATTACAAATTTCATGATTCGTGTAGCTTATCAGTCGCTGACTTTATGGTCTTTGTACAATATAGTTATCAATATGTACATTGTTTTAAATAACGTTTATATATAAAATTACGCTAAACTTTTAGATGTTACAAGAGATCTGAAATAATTTCTTGCATGTGTATAAAAATGTTTACAGATGCTCGATCATTGTAGTGTTACGTACGTATCGTATGTGGAACCGAAACGTTAGCTAGGGCGTTGGCATGATTATCTAGCGCTCATCCCCTTTATGGGGTTTGATTCGTGTCATGTGCAAGCAAACTGCCCTGTTTCTTTGCTTTATATAGTAATCCCCCACCATTGGATGCATTTTAAGATATTACGCTGTCTGGGAATTCCCTTTCAAGCAACATCACCGTACACCTTAGTGGTTTTAAGGTACGCCAGTGTCTAGCTGCCTATCAGAATAGAAACTCTTGCCGTTAAGGCATTTTTTAGCAACAGTATTTAGTCCTTTGCACATAGCGTAATCTCCCACCACTGGGTGCGTTTTGAGATGTTACGTTGTCTGGAAATTCCCTTTCAAGCAACATCACAGTACACCTTAGTGGTTTTTAAGTACGCCAGTGTCGAGCAGCCTATCAGAATAGAAACTCTTGCCGTTAAGGCATTTTTTAGCAACAGTATTTAGTCCTTTGCACATAGCGTAATCCCCCACCACTGGATGCATTTTAAGATGTTACGCTGTCTGGGAATTCCCTTTCAAGCAACATCACCTTACACCTTAGTGGTTTTAAGGTACGCCAGTGTCTAGCTGCCTATCAGAATAGAAACTCTTGCCTTTAAGGCATTTTTTAGCAACAGTATTTAGTCCTTTGCACATAGCGTAATCCCCCACCACTGGGTGCGTTTTAAGATATTACGCTGTCTGGGAATTCCCTTTCAAGCAACATCACCGTACACCTTAGTGGTTTTTAAGTACGCCAGTGTCTAGCAGCCTATCAGAATAGAAACTCTTGCTGTTAAGGCATTTTTTAGCAACAGTATTTAGTCCTTTGCACATAGCGTAATCTCCCACCACTGAGTGCGTTTTGAGATGTTACGTTGTCTGGAAATTCCCTTTCAAGCAACATCATCATACTCCTTAGTGGTTTTTAAGTACGCCAGTATCTAGCTGCCTATCAGAATAGAAACTCTTGCCGTTAAGGCATTTTTTAGCAACAGTATTTAGTCCTTTGCACATAGCGTAATCTCCCACCACTGGGTGCGTTTTGAGATGTTACGTTGTCTGGAAATTCCCTTTCAAGCAACATCACCGTACACCTTAGTGGTTTTTAAGTACGCCAGTGTCTAGCTGCCTATCAGAATAGAAACTCTTGCCGTTAAGGCATTTTTTTGCGACAGTATTTAGTCCTTTGCACATAGCGACTGTACTTAAGCAATATACAGAATATATTCAAGTATTTTGATAAACTTGGCTTTATTCGTTTAAAAGCAACCCTGAAACATATTAGCAGTAAGACTACGAGTGTCTTACCAATTGATACATCATTAAGGTTCGACAATTTCCTAAAACCTATATGGCTCTCTGAGTTAGGCATATACCGATTCTTTAAATCTTTGACTTCATGGCTCTTAGGGATACCAGACCCTGGTTCGTTCATGTAATCTTCGCCTACAGACCTTCACTTTTCCTGATCAAACTTAAACCCTCCGTAACAATAGTTACAAAATGTTACAAATTTTTTGTTCGTACCATAACACCGAATCATCGTGTTAAACATCTACCCATTATTAGTTTATTTGATGCGATAAAATAATATCGAAGAAAGAAAACAGTCGTAATATGTAAAACTTTTATAAATATAAAATAACAATATTTACTGTTCACTTATACTATAAAATATAAACAAAAAATATATTTGGTTCTGCACTAAAATGCCGTACATTTTCTTGCATTACGCCGATGCAATTTTTGAACAAATTTTTTCAGATATATTTTTTTTTATATATATACATTTATATATACGATTTGTTCGTAATTAGAACCATATCGGGCATCTAAAATTAAGATGCTTGCGAAGAACCACCACAGCAGGAAGTTTTCACTGGTTCCGTTTCCTCAGCCTCGTCCTCGACTACAACTACGTTGCGACGTGTACTATTCGTCCTCGTTAACGTAGACTTTTGTTCTGCCTCGTCCACATGCTGTATCATCTGTTGCGTTAAATTCAAAAACATTTCTTCTATATTTTGGTTCAACTTAGCGGAAGTATGAAAGTGCATAGCTCCGACTTGATTAGCATACCTAATAATACAATTTTATATTATCAGCGTATGTTCGTCGAACGTTTCTCGATGAAATCGAAATTCAACGGATGGTACGAGATACTTACTCTTCAGCTTCTTCTATAGAGACGCTCCTATCCTTCTCTAAATCTACCTTATTTCCTGCTATCGCTAAACAAATTTCGCTACCTAGCATTTTCTTGAGCTCCTTAACCCAACTTTTTACCTGCAACGCAATTATTAATGGAAAATATGGGACAATAGAATTATCATTTCTGTTTTAATTTACCTTCTGAAACGTATCTTCGTCTGTGATATCGTAAACTAAAATGGCACCGTTGGACATTCTATAATAGATTGGTCCAAGAGCGTGAAACTTTTCTTGGCCAGCTGTGTCCCATATCGACAAATTTACTTTCTTTCCATTTATAGTCAATTTTTTATTTAAAAACGAAGCCTGAAAACGAAGAAATTCTCAACAAATATTCCAATAAATGATCAGATGTAGAATATAAAATATAAATAATACAGGCATACCACAAATGTAAAAGTACAAACCACGAAAAAAATCTAATTGCAAACGGTACGTATTTATTACCTGTAATGTGCTGATATGTCTGTCATTAAATTTGTCCTCCACATACCGCAATGCAACAGAAGTTTTCCCGACACATCCTTCGCCGAGCAAAACTACTTTGAAAGTATAACCATTACCAGTGTTACTAACTGTACTGGCCATAATTTGCAAATAACTAATTTATGTACTTAGAAGACAATATTATGTTTATAATATTACGCAGAATAATCGTTGACGGTGTAGCTTACAGAGTACATTGACAAGTGTCTATCATAACGATTTGGGGTATTCACGGACTCGCGGCAGTGCCTATTTATATTTTTATTTCCACTGAACAACGTCAAAATGAAACAATCAGCTGTTTTCATTTCAATGACCATCGACAAACAAGAAGCAAAAACATTTATTCTTACTTCAAACGTATCGCCAATAGATGGCAAATTATGAGTAGTATATTTCTTAAATATGCCGAAAAGTTCGAAAGAAGTCACCGAACGACCAACATAAATATCATACGAATGAAAAAATATAAACGATTCGGGTTCGATCACTATAAACTAACGCGATGTTACGAAGTCGAGCTCGACGATGATAAAATTTTCTCTTCGATACGTTACATTTAAAAAGCTGTATCTACGCATAATTTTTTTTATCACGTTCAAGATTCGTAAAGATGGCGCTGCGTTCATTGTTACTAAGCTGCCGAAATTTTCGTCGAATTTTACTGATAGAAAATATCTCGTTGCGAGTTTCAGAAATTTCGTCGATCGTGTACAGACATATAAGTCGAAATCCGATAAAAATAAACGATTCGATTGCATTTGTATCTTAAAAACTAAATTTTTAATGTACCAGAGCCCTGGTGGTATCTTCTCGAACTGATGCCCGACAAAAATCAAATCCACCAACGGAAATCAAGAGCGTACGAGCGAGGATAAATTTATATAATTGATCTCGATATATTGTCAGAAAAAATCGATCACGGTGCGTGTAAAATTTATTTAGGAAAAAATATGATTGTCGAGAGTCGAATGGACGACGATACGCGAAAATCGAGATTTCTTATTCGACGATTACGGATGCTCCTTTGACTAGAGTATGCAACGGAGCCAGCGCCGTGAGCCTGCGCATAGGAACTCTCAAATCTGGCCGTCACCTGTATTGAAAAGGTAAGTGACTCTGCTGTCATTAATCTTAACAACTTAATGTGAATTTCGTGAACACGTGCCGCAAAAATACGATGTATTGATAACGCGACGCGTTGCCAGCAGCCTCGTAGATTGTCACGCGAAATTACTCACGTGTTACGGATAAATATGTTCCGAGATGTCAGCGTCTTCGGCTCCCGTGGTCAGAATCTGCCAGGCTGCTGCTGTATCATCGCCGATACATTTGACATGCATTTGCCGTTCCGGCCTTTTCGTTTGTTGATCCGTTGATCCGTCCTCGCTGGACGTTAACGTGATCGTTTATATATTTCTGGTTTATGTCAAGTGCGGCGAGAAACTGTTACCAGACCGACGTAGGTACCGCGTACCTTGACGGATTTTTCATTGTCGGCACTGGTTGTTCCGTTGACAGGATACCGAATAACATACAGAAAAGATATTTCGTGGACCGTCGTGGGGATCGAGCGGTCGTTACACGTTATTCATCTTTCGGATCGACGATGATTCCCGCGTTTTTACTCGCGCGGTGCCTCCACTTGGCAAGTAGACTTGTTTGTTTGTGCGTGCCGTATCATCTGTCATGGCGTGCCCGCTTGTGGCGGGTATCGTGTCGCTGATTTTCCCCGTGTTGTTCGGTTAAGGTTCGTGTCAGTTGGTATCGTCGCATGAGTCGTTCGCGAGGAATCGTTCCTGGGAAATAAATCGGAAGTGATGTTCTATTTATCCGATCGTTCGGACGAACATACTGTGCTCGGGACGGGGTTGGTTAGAACGGTGGGAAGGGAAGGTACCGACGATGGCGCCGACCGTACTGTGCCACGCGCCATGTCGGTCTCTTGTTCGTGCACGTCCTTCGTTCGGTGCACCACGATTCCCCAGTAGATTTCTTTTTTTTCCTCTCCGTTCGTGAAAATGGCACACGACCTGTCACGAGTGATATTCGGTAGGGACCCACATGCTTGTAATAGGGATCGCCGCCAGGCGTGCTCGGTGTTACATGCATACATGCCCTGAAAATTAATAGGATTTTTTACGTTTCGACGAGTGAAAAAAAAAACTCGAGACATTTTTAGACGAGATCCGCGCGGTCCTCGGCTTATGCAATTTTTCACAAACGCATGCCGAGCCGCTCGTACGAAAAATTTTAAGAAGATTCGTTTCATTTTCTAAATTTATTTAACATTTAATTTTAATTGTAAGATAATTTATCGCCAAATGGATCAGTGAGCTGATCGAACTGAAATTTTGTTGATTCTGAAACGTCACGTAAACTGTACTTGATATTGCGCATATAATAGATTTTTAATTCATTGTTTATTGTGATACAGTATTTACTAGAAGTGGCATACAAGTCACATATGTCCTATACCAATAATGTTCTTAAGAAAATGTTCGATTATTGATAATAATTATAATTTCGTGATATTTAAATTTTTCTGAAATGCAGAATATTGATGTATTTCGTGTTAAGGATATATTGTAAAGGTAGAGAAATATTTCTTGGTATTTGTGTTCTGACCAAAATACCGGAACCTGTTTTACCATAATGTAGGTCATCTCGATCAGACACTTGCGACATCGTTAAACATCGTCTGAACGAAATCGAAGTTTCTCAGTTTGAAATAATTTGTATCATCGGTTACGATCTTGCTAATTGTTTATTCGGCGTATTAAACGGTTCCCTGCAATAATTCGTGACGGAACGCGTACAATCGACCGATACGTATTTACATGGAGGGATGGTATCTTCTTCTATTTTTGAAACCGTAGAGCAACTGTAAAAGTGAGAACGAAAGTCGAACTACTGAGTTAGCATGTCAGGGACACGACGTTCAATCGTGGTGCAGTTTTTGTTTTTATTACATTTCTGCCTTTATATTAAATGTAATTTATTACGAAGAACATTGTTTTTAATCAGTTACATTAACAAAATCTTCTATTACAACCATAAAGGGTGTTTATCCGACACATATGTCATATTGTTTCGTTTGCAATACAAAATGATAGATAAAAGTATCTTGTCTGGAGTTGTTTATTAAATCACGTACAGTGGTATACGTGTGTAAGATAATGTTAATCATTATAATTACGAACAGATTAAAATGTATAAGATGTTAAAATTATTTAGAAAATATATTGAATTTATCACAAATTGTTGACGGTCGTAAATGCTCTTATTGAAATTACATTTTGTGGTTATATTCACAAACAATGAGTGCTACTTAATATGCGCGCAGTAAGGTCAGAGATCTGAGTCGTATCGGGATGAAGAGGCAACCGATCAACAAACCACGTGGCAACATCGCTCTACCCTCCTCTCCCCTCTCTCTCTCTCTCTCTCTTGTTGTCTGATGTCCCTTAGATCGTCCCCCACTATAATCATCGACTGCAACGCGGCGAAAGCACATTTACATTTTTTTGCGTACAGTACGTTGCAACATTCTTGCTTTGCGGTTTCAACTATCGATGGCGCCACTCCCAGAATGAGTGCAAAAATGTGTCGCGCGCGTCGAGCCGAGAATGATGTTAGTATTCAGGGTTATGTACGGGCGCAACGCGGGGTTCAAATTGCGTCCATTAAAATTTCTTGCAGGCCTTAGCTTTTTTAAATAGATTCGATTTAATTACTAAATATTGAAATGTCTCGGCAAATACTCGGCAGATATAGTTCGTTGCGAAACTTTCGTTTCTTAATTTTTATCAAGTACCTCGAAACGTAATTTTGAAAGTGTTTCGTTTCACGGAAAAGTTTATTTGAAGTGGATCACAGATAGATTATACACTAGGTAAATTATAGTTTTGTTTTCGATAATGATGCAAAAGCATTGAAACTTCAATTTCTTGGAAAAAAATTAATCAAACGATGATAAAACGTTTTCTTAATTAGCACGAAAAGAAAGACTTTCTAATGGTAGATATACGAGAGAAAGGGATTTCAGAAGCTTCTGTCCATTGATCAACGAAATCTACTACCTGAATTTGAATCGTTTAAAACGATTCAATATTTCCATTTCTATTTATAATTTCTGGAGGTGGCATTTCGAAACTCGAATTTCTTGCACAAATTTTTGTCAGGTCCGTTATTGTACACAATTCCAAAATATCCAGGATGCAAAACTGCACAATATTTTTTGAAAAACCATACATATATTTTTTAATATAACTAATTAAGTAAATATAACGTAGTGATTCGTATATTTTTATATTGTCCTGAGAAAAATTTTAATGGGAGATTCTAGAGGCCAAAATAAGACGAAAATCAAGAATAACTATTTGTTGATGGAGGCTTTGTTAAAAAGTTATTAACGTTTAAATTTCCGCCCGTAATGAATTTTTTTCTCGCAAATGCGCAGGATTTCGGGTGTATGTGTATTCACCAAAAATAATTGTAATTGCCACCTGCAAGCAAAAATAATTTTTTTAGAACGATTTGAAATTTTTTAATTTTTTCGAAAAATTTCACACCGTCTCGAATTTTTTTCTCGAAAATGCGCAGGATTTCGGGGGTATGTCTATTCACCAAAAATGATTGTAATTGACCCCCGCAACCTAAAATAATTTTTCCAGAACGATTTGAAATTTTTTTTTTTGGTCGAATTTAGGCAGCGAATTAGATTTTCGGTAAGGAATTTTTTTCTCGAAAATGCGTAGAATTTCGGGGATATGTGTAATGACCAAAAATAATTGTAATTGCCACCTGCAAGCAAAAATAATTTTTTTAGAACGATTTGAAATTTTTTAATTTTTTCGAAAAATTTCACACCGTCTCGAATTTTTTTCTCGAAAATGCGCAGGATTTCGGGGGTATGTCTATTCACCAAAAATGATTGTAATTGATCACCGTAACCTAAAATAATTTTTCCAGAACGATTTGAAATTTTTTTTTTTGGTCGAATTTAGGCAGCGAATTAGATTTTCGGTAAGGAATTTTTTTCTCGAAAATGCGTAGAATTTCGGGGATATGTGTAATGACCAAAAATGATTGTAATTGACCCCCGCAACCGAAAATAATTTTTCCAGAAAGATTTGAAATTTTTGAATTTAATTGTTAATAACTTTATAACGAAGCCTCAGTTAAGAAATTGATATTCTTGATTTTCGTCTTATTTCGGCCTCTGGAATCTCTCATTAAAATTTTTCTCAGGTTTGGCCGAACACCCTGTATAATTCAATGGTATATTAAATAAGGTGAACATGGATTTGAGGTTACGTTCGGATCATTCGAAATTGGTGTTACGCTCTTTGGTAAAATCATCCTTGAGAAAGACAAGGACGGATAGGTTACTATACAGAGCAAATTCGGCATATCGAAGGAAAACTGGTTTGCCTCCGCGCGTTGCACCTACTACGATGTTATACCTCGAATGAATGCCGTCTCGCGTATGTACTCATAAACGACCAACGAACTTGCCGAAGTAAAACACGCCCTCGCATTGTAAATGATTATTGGTCGTTATCCGTGATGGGTCACGCGACGTCACTGATCTGCTTTTAATATTTAGTTACAATAAATATACTCTGCAATCGTCAAATATCGACGTTGATTGTCACTGAAATACAAATTTCGTTCGACTTAAAATTAAACTTGTATATCTTGTTTTGTTTCGCTTTAATATTCTTCAAAACGGTAATACCTTTTACGGTACATATTTAATATTTATCGAATCACAGTCGCGACGTAGACACGCCGTTTTATCGATATGATTCAGTTAACGTTACGAAAATTTTTTGGAGAAACAAAGATGATATTTTAAGAATTCTCGTGTTTTATCATATTGGTCGCGCGCGTTGCACTATGTTGAGGTTTCTCGCACTTTCTATTTTTAGACACATGTTTTTTTCGGCACACGGTTCTGTATCTGTCTTTCTTAAATGAAAAATAATTTTTGTCGTTCTAACAACGAAACTACTTTTATTGTTACCTTTATAAATTTCTAAAATGCTTGCTGTAAATTAAATTATAGAAATTGCGCTACATAAGATATCTCTATGAAATTATGTTAGAAAAAGGATGATTTGAAACATTAATTGAAATATATAGTTTGAAGTTAATATATTTATTTTTAAAACTTGATAATAACTATTTATATATTAAAATGGAAACTTTTATTATTATAACATTTTATATAATAATAATAATATTGTTTATTTTTATTTTATAAATTTATATATTTTTATATTATATACAGGGTGTTCAGCCACACCTGGAAAAAATTTTAATGGGAGATTCTAGAGGCCAAAATAAGACGATAATCAAGAATATCAATTTCTTAACTGAGGCTTCGTTATAAAGTTATTAAAAAATTATTTTTGATTGAGGGGATCAATTACAATCATTTTTAGTGAATAAACACACCCCCGAAATCCTACCCACTTTCTAGAAAAAAATTCGAGTTGTGAAATTTTTCGACGAATAAAAAAAATTTCAAATCGTTATGGAAAAATTATTTTTATTTAGTGGGGTCAATCATAATTATTTTTGGTGAACAGACATACCCTCGAAATCCTAACGAGTTTCAAGAAAAAAATTCAATAATTAGATAAATTTTTTGACAAAATTAAAGCATTTCAAATCGTTCGAAAAAAATTATTTTCGGTTGCACGGGTCAATTACAATCATTTTTAGTGAATAGACACACCCCCGAAATCCTACCCACTTTCTAGAAAAAAATTCGAGTTGTGAAATTTTTCGACGAATAAAAAAAATTTCAAATCGTTATGGAAAAATTATTTTTATTTAGTGTGGTCAATCATAATTATTTTTGGTGAACAGACATACCCTCGAAATCCTAACGAGTTTCAAGAAAAAAATTCAATAGTTAGATAAATTTTTTGACAAAATTAAAGCATTTCAAATCGTTCGAAAAAAATTATTTTCGGTTGCACGGGTCAATTACAATCATTTTTAGTGAATAGACACACCCCCGAAATCCTACCCACTTTCTAGAAAAAAATTCGAGTTGTGAAATTTTTCGACGAATAAAAAAAATTTCAAATCGTTATGGAAAAATTATTTTTATTTAGTGGGGTCAATCATAATTATTTTTGGTGAACAGACATACCCTCGAAATCCTAACGAGTTTCAAGAAAAAAATTCAATAGTTAGATAAATTTTTTGACAAAATTAAAGCATTTCAAATCGTTCCAAAAAAATTATTTTCGGTTGCACGGGTCAATTACAATCATTTTTAGTGAATAGCCACACCCCCGAAATCCTACCCACTTTCTAGAAAAAAATTCGAGTTGTGAAATTTTTCGACGAATAAAAAAAATTTCAAATCGTTATGGAAAAATTATTTTTATTTAGTGGGGTCAATCATAATTATTTTTGGTGAATAGACATACCCTCGTAATTCTAACCAGTTTCAAGAAAAAAATTCAATAATTAGATAAATTTTTTGACAAAATTAAAGCATTTCAAATCGTTCTAAAAAAATTATTTTCGGTTGCGGGGGTCAATTACAATCATTTTTAGTGAAAAGACATACCCCCGAAATCCTGCGCATTTTCGAGAAAAAAATTCAGTACGTGCGGAACTTTAAACGTTAATAACTTTTTAACGAAGTCTCCATCAACAAATTGGTATTCTTGATTTTCGTTTTATTTTGGCCTCCAGAATCTCCCATTAAAATTTCCCAGGGGTGGCGGAACACCCTGTATAATTATTAAATAATAAATAATAATTAATAATTTAACAAATTTAAATAATCATTAAATTTTTAGTTAGAATAAAGTTTCTCCGTGTAATGTATATAAATAATTAATATATTGTGAATGTTCGCACTTTAATAAATCGTAAAAAACACTATTTATTTGGCAATAATAAAGTTTTCAAAACAAAAGCAAAAGGAGAACGTTGTAACTTTTTAAAAAGAAATGCATTCGTACATAATAAATTGTGCCCGCTAATTCATCATGTACAGTCGTAACTTTTATGTGAATAATAAGTAATCACGATTTATAATGTAAATTTATAGTTTCAGTCATTCTACATAGAAAGAAGTATCCGTAAAGTGTCTTTTAGCACGTTGTTTTTCTTTACAGTTTTATCGTGTAATGTAAGTGGGGATTTGTGAGATTATGGACGCCCTTTGCTAGTATGCGTGCGTTACACGCGTGTAGCGTCTCGATAGGAGTCCTGTAGAGACACTGTCAAGCCAAAATCGCGGTGCTAGTTACAAAATGGTAAATCGATATAAATCGATCTTTCTCATCGTGGCAAATAATCGTGATCGAATTCTTATATGATTTTTACGCATTCCGTGCAGACAAAACGAATCTAATATCGACTAGATACTATCGCAATCATCGAAAACATGCTGTTTTCAGTAAAGGTACATTAAATTCAGGAATACGCTAAACATACGGTTGATGATTACTTTATTCTTAAACATATATGAAATTCTCCTTTGTAGGTAATTATTTACAGTTATAAAGAAAGACCGATAATAAATTCTGAACAAAATTGGAACGAATTTGGTTGGAATAAATGTTTATTGGTTTTTTACGAGTTTGTTATCATATGATATACTTTATTTGCGTAAGGTTTTATGAAATTTTAATCTAACGTTTTATTTTCGCTTAAAAATTTTAATCAATGTTCCTTTCGTTTACAGAAGCAGTCTAAAAGTAACGTGCAAAATGTTTAGTTTTCACAAGCCGAAGGTGTATCGGTCTAGTACTGGATGTTGCATCTGTAAAGCCAAGTCCAGCAGGTAAACGAAACGACAACTTCTAAAACAAAATATGATTTTGCGAACAGGTACTAACGAAGAATAATTTTTTTTGTGCCTACAGTTCAAGGTTTACGGACAGTAAAAAATACGAGGATGATTTTATGGAATGTTTTCAACTCGAGGAAAGACGAACCGGAGAAATATGTAACGCATGTGTGCTCTTGGTAAAAAGGTGGAAAAAATTACCCGCAGGGAGCAATCGCAATTGGAGACACGTGAGTATCGGCATACGTATTATTCTATATTTCTATCGATTGTTAATTTTTGCATGTAAAAGAAACTTTCGTCTTTTCTCAGGTTGTTGATGCACGCGCAGGTCCTGGTATCAAATCGCTGACAAAGTTCAAATCAAAAAATAAAAAGAAAATGAAAGATCTACCGGAAAAATTTGAGAAGATTATGAAAAAGAAACACATCTATTTGAAGACAGATAGAGATCGTGAACAGAGTCCAGCGATGAGCGATGATTTAACAGGTTGGTCTATAAAAACTGTACCTTTAACCTATAAATTGTGAGAGTATGAGAAATTTTATATCTTAAATTGTTTTTCTTTTCGTAGAAGATTATTTGATCGGAGATGGTAGTAAAGGTTCGAGTAGAGCTGGAAGCCCTATAGGTAGCGATGATATTCCAGTTACAGAAAAACAGTTAGATATGCAGGATGTCTCAGAATCAAAGAACGATTTAACTGTTAACGGTTTCATTGATCTGACTTATTTTAAGAGGTTTGTTTATTTTCATTTGTTATAGATAATTATACAACACCAAATGGCAAGTACTTTTGCATTGAAAAATCAAACACTTATATCAACTAGTTCGGACATAATATTAATTATCAATTTTAGCAGAAAAAAAAATATAATTTTGGCACTTCGATTTGCATCATCCTTGGTGCACGCTGCTAAACGTAAAGATTTTCAGAAAATAAAATGTGTGATGAAGAAAGTGTTACGTACTTACTGAGATATATATAAACATAGAAAAAGAATGATTTTTAAACAAATTACAAGAATTTACATAGTGCAATGTTTGAATGTGTATGAAAATATGATACTTGGAGTCGAATTAAAGGAAATTACATCAATTTACTTAGACCGCCAAAAAAGAAGCGAATGTAGGTAATCGATCAATTGTTTCAATACTGTGAGACATAACTTTGTCTTGTGTGTATTTATCTCCGTTCTAAACAACTTCTTATTTCAATTCTTGCCTATGATATATTTCTTAAAGTATGTAACTCCTTCTCAATACATTTTAAGTTTAACGATCACTTCGGACAGTATAAATCAAAGTGTTGAAAAAGTTCTGAATCTGAGTGTTCAGTTAACAAAAAGAACTTATATTATGTTGTTTTAGGGAGATCATTTGTTGTGGAACAATATTCAAAGGTCCATACGGAGAAGTTATAGTGGATCCTTCATTGATAAAGCCTTGTATCGGTTGCATAGCTAGACAGCAACGACAACAACAAACAAACGTATTAAGTTGCAGTCCTGCTCATAGTTCTGCGTCAGCCAGTCCTGTCCACAGTTCTGCGTCTGCTAGTCCTGCCCATAGTGTAGAGTCTGGTACAGAAACTGCAGTCTCTAAGCAGACAAGTAAAACGTTTAGTGACTCGTCGTCAGATTCCGGCTACGATGAATCCTCCAACCAAGGAGTTGGCGAGAGTAAGATATCAAAAATTATTCAAAATTCAAGTGCTACTGTAAAACCAACAGTAAAAATACAACCGTTGAAAAGTGTTCAGCTAAAAGCTATACCAGTATCGGAAGCTGTCAGGTTAAAAACAGACATGCCAATAAAATTGGTGCCCGTAAAGCAAATTGATCAACTATCTTGTAAGCCATTGTCTTTAGTTTCTTCGGCCAATGTTACTTTAAGCAGTAGTACTTCACACTCCATTGTTACCGTCCCAAATAATCCGCTCGTCGATTTTGCCATGCACGCAGCCTCCTCCAGGCAATCAGTCTCTAATTAATGTCAGTCTCTCATAGAGTTTTAATTTATTTTTTTCTTAATATAGTTAGATGTATTCTACGACGCAAAATTGTGTGTTAACTATGCAACAATTACCATCCCAGATAACAAAGGCTCTGGATGAGAGTGTTTAAGTTTTATCATATCGAGAACAGAGTTTATACTGTTGTGAATGGTAAAAAATGAATTCTTGTAATTAGAATTAACTGTTATAATGTGTCGTCCTTCCGCGAGAAGAAGGCACAGCGTGTTTACATCCCCACTCTTGCTGTAAGCCCGCTGATTGGCTGTCACCGTTCTCCCGTGACAGCCAATCAGCTGACTGCGACAAGGAGTAGGGATGTAAACACGCTGTGCCTTCTTCTCGCGTAAGAATGGTGCAGAAAGTAGATAGTGCTCTTAGAAAAGGTTGGATAAGATCCTTGATCATTGGTTGTTGAAAGATATATATATATATATATTCTTAAAAGAGATAGTTGAAAAAGAGCACAATATTTCTACCGAATGATGTTTGTAGCATGTACAGAATGCTTATAAACTGCCATGACCTTGTAATAATTGCTAACTCTCCGCGAAAGACTCTAATGCATGGAAGGTTTTCAATTATTTTCTAAGTGTAATAACTAGCTACGTACATCAAAATACTGTGATGACATTTTAATGTAACATGAGATATAAGATTATTATATTCAGCAAGTGGCAGTTTATAATATCTACATTCTAAGCATACACGGTGTAAAAAAATTTTCTTATCCATAGCTTTCTGTTTTCTGGGTTACTTATCATTGCAATTGTATATGTGAATATTTGTATAGGAGTTCCAAGATGCCAATCAATATTTCAAAATATTTGGGTCCAAAAATTTTAAAAGAATTCACTTTAGGGTCATGATAGATACATCGTACCCAGATGCATTTGATATGATTCATGCCAAGGTCCATGACGTTAAAATTAAGTAATTTAACTTAAGAAACGAATGTGTTCAGGTACTGTAAATCGTGACCCATTAATAGCAATAATACGAAGAGTACTTTATAATAAAATAAACGAAGTCTGTTGAATAGTATCATATCAGTGATATATTTAGACAGTATTACTAGAGTATGAAATTGAATGAGAATATGGCAATCAGATTGGCAAACTGGACCAGCAAAAACTCTGTTATAATATTTCATGATGATTGCAGCATTGATGTAAAAACGAATCGTTTAACAGCAGATTATTGATATGCGGAATAAGTGAAATACTAAATAAGTGAAAACTGTTAGTTCCTAGTTTTCAGAGATGGGCACATAATCGAACAAAGGCACACAAAAGTACCTGTTGATAACAGATTACTGTGATTATTGGTATTTTTTGTTGTTTTCTTTTCTTCTTCTTGTCAATACTTGATATTACACGCACAAAGATTCAAATTTACATATAATATATCTTTTATGGAAAACCCCCAGAAGTGATCGCAAAGAACTGTTTTTTAAGACCAAACTAGAGTTACATGTTATAAAGTGAATCCAAAATATAAAATCAATATTTTTATTAATAGTAATTCTGAACATATAAAACCTAAAATATTTGAAGGATATGCATTTATACAAATAATTTGGCCAGTCGCGTACATTTTTATTAAAACAGAGTATTTGGTTGCATGATTACACTTTTATTACCAATTTGTCAATGGAGGCTTCGTTAAAAAGTTATTAACAGTTGCGCCTGTACTGTTATTAACTTTTTAACGAAGCCCCCATCGACAAATTGGTATTCTTAATTTTCGTCTTATTTTGGCCTCTGGAATCCTCCATTAAAATTTTTCCCAGGGTTGGCCGAACACCCTGTATAACATCGAGCATGGTTTAAAGCTTTATAATCTTAATTAGAAGATTCGAATTTAACGTAGAGTATAGTCACCTTTAATCTACTTCTGGAGTATTGGCAATATTCGTGATAAATTTTCTCTTATACAGGCACGTATGGTTTACAATTTTAAAATGCAGCGTTTGATGCCCATCTGGTTTAAGCTCATTGACAATCCTTACGTAACAAGGAAACAATAACAGTTCTTCATATGGAATCAAACATCGAAGCAACAATTTGTTCAAGGACAACGTTAACCGCCTTGTCCTTTGACAAATTTAAATTGTACATTTCTTTGGACTAGGAGACTTTTATGATCTCTTTACTGTGAATATTAATAGCTATGTTTTTTTTGTTGTAACTCACGTTATGATTTATGATAATTAATATATGTCAAGAACTAAGGTTGGATCATAGATCTACAAGTCATATATGTATATATATGTAACACTACCGTGTAAGGTTGATCTTTTTAAAGTCAGAAATGAATTTTTTGCAAGTTGAAAAGCTCCAATTACGATTAAGACTTCTATAACATAATATACTCGTTCAGCACATAGATAATATAATTTTTAAACGATCTTTATAGTATTCTATGATCCTTCCTCCAACTGAAAAAAAAAAAATAAGAAATACTTGTTTAACTTATTTATTTTGTAAGTTTATTTACTTGCAATATATAATATTCCTTTTCTACATAAATTTATATATATTTTTATACAAATTAATCTTTGCTTTTTATGGAATGAACTTTCTGTAGCACCGCCAGGGAATGACACGAAGAAAAAAAACACTTTAATTCCAGGTCAATCTGCTGGCAATATTCACGTGAATTATTTATTTTCAATTATCTTCGATATTGATCTATTATCGAGCTATTTACATCTTAAGAAAAATGTAAATGGTGCTCACAGATTGATTAGGCACTAGAAAACCATTAAAATAAGCTTACGTAAGAAAATTTTATAACGGACATAAAATGGTCTCATATTCATAATAACATAATTGCGTGATACGTAAAGAATACGAAATACTTTCGTATGTTTTTAAAACAAAAAGAGGATGATAAATTAAAACTTTATTGATAAAGAGGATATAAATAGATATATTGTACGTGCAGCTATCAAAGTAATACTATTTATGAATAATGCGAAAGAACATCAAATTATCTTACATAGGTATTGAGATGTTACGTTAAAGTTAAGAAATACACATGCCGTTTCTAGCATGTTGGATGTTCTTGAAGAAAAAAAAGGGAACGAAATTGTTTGAATAAAAACAAGAAAACCTAATCGAAATATCTGTGCAATTGCTATCGGTGTAACTTGAATTTGATGTTTTTGTATGTGCTTGCGCAGCAAATCGAGAACAAAAGTTTATATCTCCGTCTACATAAAAACTTCGAGAGAATTACTATTTTGAATGATAAAAGTTTGTGAGATGTATTGAAATGTGTTAGTCGAACAGGACACAACGTACTTAAAAATTTTTATACCACTTTGTTCGTCTTCCTGAACAGTTCTCATTACGATATCTAGGATAAAACAAATCCGAACTGCTTTATACTTGCTAAAAACATTTCTTGGATAAATAGAATCTGGATAAACAAATTATGGTGACAATCCCGTTTCTTAAGACTCGCTGTTTCATCGTTTCAGTAAATCTTACAAACGTTTCTACAGATATGAACAGAAGTGACAGAATTATTACAGATGAGGGTCCTTTTCATGTACATTCTTTCGAAATTTACACACGTTTACAGTGTCGATTTTGTCCATTCTTCGGAGTCACGAGTTTTTGTATGAAAAAAAAAAAAACAAAAAGACAGAAATCAAATTACGGAGAGACAGAAAAAATAATACACGTTGCCGATTTTTATATACATTTTATTGGATGTATATATGTATATACACACATATACCGTATATGTATATGCACGTATGTATGTGTGTATATATATACATTTGTATCTATATATATATATATATATATATATTGACGTAAAAATTCACGGACATGCAATACATCGTTTAAATACGTCGAGCGTTAACGTGTTAACAAGGTATTGAAAACGTGCTGAAATGGATATCCATGTCCCGTGTATATCTTCATTTCGTATACATATATAGAGAGTCTACGAATATCGATAAATAATGTGATCTTGCAAGAGCTGCGTAACTCTGAATGTCCTCGGACGAGAATATTACCGACTGATCGAACGATAGGGAGAGGAGATAGATAGAAAAGTGGTGCAAGTATTTTTACTACAGTGACCTGGCAGATTCCGATATTGAATATTTTGCGAATGAAAAAAATGAAGAAAAGAAAAAAATGAAACGCACGAACGAATCTTGAACACGATAACCTGCGAGCCGTTTTTCTACGTCAGATTTTTTATATTTGAAATATTTTAAAGGATCGTAGAGTAAACGGAACGAATAATAAACGCGGGATCGATACGATCCGCCGGTGGTGTTTGTTCGACATCAAAGTCGGAGATCACGCTTTTCACAATGATTCTGCGTGTTCCGTAGTTTTAAGTATTTATCGAAATGTGTAATGATTTCCAGATGCATTTAGTCTCTGTACGCGCGCAGAAAACGACCGTGGTCTCGCTCTGAATCTGAAATTCAATATGTTTATCGCGTGTCTGTAACTTGTATCTATCGTCGTTCCGCGATAAGAAGGCACAGAGAGAGTGTTTGTATTCCCACTCTTGCTGCAGTCCGGTGATTGGCCGGCGCCGATCCTTCGTAACCGTTCTCGACCAATGCCTGCGAGTCAGCGGATTACAACAGGAGTGGGGATGTAAACACGCTGCGCCTTGTTCTCGCGAAGGAATGGTAACGTAATAATGCCGGTGATCGTCCCTGTCAACTATATTTTTTTTGTTTTTCTATTTGTTTCCCCGGTGCAAGTAAGTTTCGGTCGTGGAAACGTAAATGTCGTACTAAATTTTGTTTCTGATTCCACGAACGTAGGGAGATAGGAAGAGCGAAATTGGGAAAGAGAACGAACAGATGAGAGGAATGATGCAATTTTGAGACGTGACAAGGAAAATACGTATGTAAATATGTATACATATATGTGTGTGTTTTAAGAGAGGATTCGATCTCGCAAGAACGTCTATAGTCGGGTCGAATTTTGAGCGACCGCTCAAGGCCATTGCTTCGACCGTGTACCATGTCAAATGCAATTTTCTTACCAATCCCAGCCTGCCTATACGAGACGACAGCAGACCCACCTGACGGTGGAGAAATTATAAAGCGTCCGGGGGGGAGTAAGAAAACAAGCGTGGTGGATGGTCGACTCTCCAGTGACCTTGAGCACAAAACCAGTTCATAATCGTAACCGACTATAATTGATGCACTGTGCTAAAGTAACATAGAAAAGAAATCTTTTACATCAATATTTAAATAACGATTGTGAGACTGATCGATGTATTTAGCAGATAACTTTTATTTACATACAAACTATTAGAGATAGGCGAGGCTATTTGTATCATTTTCGTGCATATATTAATGAAATTCTAACAAGTAAGGAAACGATGACTGCCGCAACAAATATATCTCGTTATCGTAATAATTATTATATTATACCGTATAAACGTTTGTATATACATACATGTATATTGTGTTAATCTAGACTCTAATGCACCTATTCCAATCATTTTGTACAATGATAATGGAAGTATTACGATTGATCGATAATCCCAAAGATTCTATGGAGTTCAGAAGCAATTCGTTTGGGACGATCGTTCTATAATATAGGCAAACAAAATACGCCACCTTTAACAATGTACAACTTTGTAATAAAACGCTTAATTCTTAAGAATCCATCGGTCACGCAAATTAGAATTGTCAACACGTTATTACGTCGGAAAAAAAAACAAATGTTATCGAAATTGTTAGAAGACGAGAGTAGTACGAAACGTTTCCGTTCATTTCTGAATTAATTTTGTAGACTTCATACATTACATGGATTTCCCCTTGTACGTATTTTTTACCGTCATGCGTCGTCGGCATGATTTTTTATAGGAGAGAACCGATCGACAAATCAATATTATAAATAAACGAAACTGTATCATATTAAAGAACTAAAATGATTATATGTACATCTATATATAGAACAGTCTGTGAGATACCAAATTTTTGATAGGCGCATAAAAAGATGACGTGAATCGTAAATATACATAGACATAATTAGGGGATGCGCAATATCTCTTTCTAAGTGTATCTCTAGTTTTATGTTTTTGCTTTATACAGATTTGCGGGACGCAAATCTATAATACACGTTTTGCTGTTCCGCCGCGATGATTACTATTGTCATTGATGCGTCAGCAAATCGATTGATAATTTGTAATCGAGAATTCGCTATTGCGTACAATTATCAAGTTAATTTTTACTTAAAAAGTATGGAAATCCATAGAAATTTATTTAAACTTGTAAAATTAGAAGATTATTTGGTATGTCTGCTTTAAGCATTTTGCATTTGTAAGTTTTATTGTTCCGATAATCCTTACGATTAAATCAAGTAAGTTCTTTAACCCTCTATGTGATGTTTTTTATAGTAGAACGATAAGCGTTTAAAATTAAGTAATATTCGATAAATGGAGAAAGTCCAGGAGCTCCCGCCCTTTTCGTATTTTTAAAAAAATTGTAAAAGTGCAATTAAAATGCTGTGGTGAAAATTAAACGTATATTCTTAAAAATGTCGATACGATTATACGTATAGAGGGTTAAATAGTAGATTTAATATTTTAGAAGGATAATAATAGAGAGCTCGTGTTGAACTTGGTTCGATGAAAGTGCAAAATGCTTATTGAAAATATTATATTATAAACCTGTACTGGAAACATTTTGTAGAAACTGCTTGTATTTAATTCTTACTTAATCATAATAAATATAAAAATCAGAAAGAAAATGGAAACAAGTAGTAAAACTTAATTGAACGAATAATTTAAAATATTAATGATGTTAGCGAATGGATTAGCGTCGTTGGAAAAACGTTCACGATACGAAACAGTTCGAGAATCCCTGCTTTACCGACTTAAGTGCTAGAGATTAATTTCATTTAAATCGTAAATCTTTGTACATCGTTTATACGAATCAAATAGAAATACAACGGAACATGTTCGTAATTTTACTTGCACTCGAATTACAAATAAGTAATTAATAATAACATAATAATAACAGAAATGATACATGCATTAATTAGGACTAGTGACATAAGATCCTTGCCAAACTTTCACTCGGTATTTTTTCTCTGGTATGATGCTATGCGAGTGTAATAAGATCATATACTTTTACATACGTAATATACGTTACTATATTACTACTCGAGAAACACTGAATAGCAATGTTTCGTAATTTATATATTTGCATATCTATATCAATATATATATATACATATATATATATATGATAAATAGCATCTTAAAGATGCTTCTGTACATTGCATACTGAATGAACATTTTTATCTACTGCGCCGTGATCAGACTACGAAAAAAGTATTATGTACTTATTCCGACTGTTAAATATTGATTAAAATATTGTATATAAAGTTCGTACGTTTTTCGAAAACTCGTTCTATTCGGTCAAGTTTCTACATATTTATTTAACGTTTCGCGAGCATGTCTTTAAGTTACTATATCAAATATGTACTTTAACGATTTAAATTTTTCCAATAAAAAATGTGTTTGGAATCGTCTACACGTTCCTATAAAAAAAAAATTGAATTTTAATATTTGTTTATTTCTGTAAGTGGAATTAACTGTTCATCAATATTATTACTTTACAAAACATAATTTACTAATGGACAACAGTACCACACGAAATTATATTTTTTAATGTACATATGTAAATATTATATACAATACGCTTTTTTAAAAGTTACGTTTGGGAAGTTTGTATTGTAAAATGTGAAACTTCATCTTTATTACGAAGTAATGTCTATAAGAGTAACGTTCAAAAATATAATTAATTTATATATTTTCGGGAGAAATGCCAGTAGGTGGGAGGCATGTCGCAATGTGTAACATTGTTCACGTGCTTTCTTCGCGTAAACGTCACGAGTTAACAGTGTGAGAATAATCATTTGCTTGTACTCCAGTTGTAAACGTTGCGTTCGCGAGTTCATCAGACGCATTTAATTATTGGACTGTATTCCTTTATATAGTTTTTTCGAATTTCATAGATAAGGTATGTTATCTTCCAAACGGATCGATTTTATATAAATTTCAAATACACTCATGCACGACATTTCTTTCATGTAGTTTAATACAGTTTATACAGTATAAATCTTTACACAATTCTATTCAATGTTCTTCGTTGCAATGGATGTGTTTTTAATTGGTATCGATTTTATAAAACATTACGACAACTTAATGTACTTAGATTGTAACAAGAATAGTAGATGACACGCCTAACGTCACACGATATTAAATTAAGATTTTCGTATGTCAAAATTGAACCTCTCATTGGTATCTTTTGTTGGTGCTCGGAATATTCCGAGTAGTGTGGCTAGATTTGACAGAATCGAGTGCATCGTGAGCGATACTAGTAACGATGAATTTGCTGTGGCGCCCCTAGCGGAGTGGAGAGGGAACCAAATACATATAACTTACTCGCAACTTTGGGGAATCGAGAAGGAAGACGAGTGTGAGCCTTTCCTTCTTGCTCTCGACCAGCTGAAATTCGCTGCGTCACCTACGTAAACATACAGAGGCCAAAATATGACGAAAATCAAGAATACTAATTTGTTGATGAAGACTGCGTTAAAAGGTTATCAATGTTTAAAGTTCCGCCCGTATTGAATTTTTTTCTCGAAAATGCGCAAGATTTCGGGGGTATGTCTATTCACCAAAAATGATTGCAATTGAACCCCGCAACCGAAAATAATTTTTCTAAAACGATTTGAAATTTTTTTTCTGCCGAAAAAAGGCACCTAATTAGATTTTCGGTAAAGAATTTTTTACTCGAAAGTGCGTAGGATTTCGGTAGTATGTCTATTCACCAAAAATGCTTCTAATTGGCCTCTGCAACTAAATATAGTTTTTTTAGTATCATTTGAAATTTTTTAATTTCGTCTAAAAATTTCAGTACCTACTCGAATTTTTTTCTCGAAAATGGGTGGGATTTCAAGGGTATGTGTATTCACCAAAAATGATTGTAATTGAACCGCGCAACCGAAAATAATTTTTCCAGAACGATTTGGAAATTTTTTAATTTTGTCGAAAAATTTCACACCTTCGCGAATTTTTTTCTAGAAAATGGATAGGATTTCGGAGGTATGTCTGTTGACCAAGAATGATTGTAATTGACCCCCGCAACCGAAAATAATTTTTTCAGAAAGATTTGAAATTTTTGTTTTCTCCCGAATATTTCAGCAGTACCGCCCTGACGATTTTTCTTAAAAATTCTAGTAATTTTGTTTGACGTCCTACAGAAATGTTGTCTAATACATTTTCGTAGGTACCCATGAGCTCTACCTCAGAAAAAAGTTTCACTTAAATATATTCACTATTGTAAGAGTTATGGCTGTTTGAAATTTGGACCATTTTTATGGGGGTTTTTTATATTTTACGTGATCAAGGAGCAACTTTTTCAATATTGTTAGAATTCCTATATATTCTTCGCCAAAATATGCGTTGTTTGCCGTTATAGATTCGCATGAAATTTCAGGGAAGTATTTCGGGCCTCACATTAGATTTTCGGTAAAGAATTTTTTTCTAGAAAATGGATAGGATTTCGGAGGTATGTCTGTTGACCAAGAATGATTGTAATTGACCCCCGCAACCGAAAATAATTTTTTCAGAAAGATTTGAAATTTTTGTTTTCGCCCGAATATTTCAGCAGTACCCCACTGCCGATTTTTCTTAAAAATTCTAGTAATTTTGTTTGACGTCCTACAGAAAAGTTGTCTAATACATTTTCGTAGGTACCCATGAGCTCTACTTCAGAAAAAAGTTTTATTCAAATATATTCATTATTGTAGGAGTTATAGTCGTTTGAAAATTGGACCATTTTTATGGGGTATTTCTCATTTTGCGGGGTCAAGGATCAAATTGTCGAATATTTTTGCAGTTTCTACATATTCTACGTCAAAATACGCGTTATTTGCCGTTAAAGATTCGCATGCAGGGAAGTATTTCTGGCCTCACATTAGATTTTCGGTAAAGAATTTTTTTCTCGATAGTGCGTAGGATTTCGGTAGTATGTCTATTCACCAAAAATGCTTCTAATTGGCCTCTGCGACTAAATATAATTTTTTTAGTATCATTTGAAATTTTTTAATTTCGTCTAAAAATTTCAGTACCTACTCGAATTTTTTTCTCGAAAATGGGTGGGATTTCAAGGGTATGTGTATTCACCAAAAATGATTGTAATTGAACCGCGCAACCGAAAATAATTTTTCCAGAACGATTTGGAAATTTTTTAATTTTGTCGAAAAATTTCACACCTTCGCGAATTTTTTTCTAGAAAATGGATAGGATTTCGGAGGTATGTCTGTTGACCAAGAATGATTGTAATTGACCCCCGCAACCGAAAATAATTTTTTCAGAATGATTTGAAAATTCTTTTAATTTTGTCGAAAAATTTCACATCTTGAATTTTTTTCTAGAAAGTAGGTAGGATTTCGGGGGTGTGTCTATTGACCAAAAATGATTGTAATTGATCCCCGCAACAGAAAATAATTTTTCCAGAACGATTTGAAATTTTTTTTTCGCCGACTTTAGGCACATAACCGAATTTTTTTCTCGAGAGTGAGCAAGATTTCAGGGTTATGTGTATTCACCAAAAATGATTGTAATTGAACCCCTCCACCGAAAATAATTTTTTTTAAATGATTTGAAATTTTTTAATAACTTTTTAACGAAGCCCCAGTCAAGAAATTGATATTCTTGATTTTCGTCTTATTTTCGTCTCTAGAATCTCCCATTAAAGTTTTTCCCAGGGGTGACCGAGCACCCTGTATATGATTTTGAATCTCGACTGCCCCAGGCATGTTTACTCTCCGACCTATGCAACTATAAGGAAAGTACTGTAATGAAATCAAAATTTTTTTACAGAAATACACGTTTTAAGACGTCCTGATCATATTCTAACTTTAAAAAAAAAATGAAATTTTGTTTACTGTGCCTATGTATCTAAAATGTCTTATATAAATCTTAAAAGGAATTAAATTTGATATAAAAAGAAATCATTAAACGAAATCTTGTATATTGCATGCCTACCTAACCACATTAAAAATGTATAGCACAAATATTTTGGAATGATGTTCTTCGAGGCAGTCTCACTCGCTCAAGAAATAAATATTTCGATATTGAGAACAAGTAAAATTTATTGAAATAAGAAGCCAATCTTAGCCGATACCGTGTTCAAGAGCAAATATTTTTCGAAGATGTGATCTACACAGAATTAATTACTACAGAAACAGATTGATACCGACTTCTCCGGTTATGTTTTTTAATAACCGAATCAAATGTCGTATATTTGACTTAATTTTACATAAAAAAAAATAGCCGTGTCGAGAGCGAGAAGAAAAGACGCATACTCTCCTTGTTTCTCGATTCCACATTCCACGAGCTCACATGTGTTTAGTTTCCCCTCCACTCCGCCAGGCGCTACAGCAAATTCATCGTTACTAGTGTCGCCCTCTCGATTCACCCAATTCTGCCAAATCTGGCCACACTGATTCAAACCTTTTGTCATTACGATCAGTGTGCCGTCGACTGTGTGAGGTTCAAAGTTACTTAGCACTGCACAGTAGACCGATCGAAATGTTCCTGGCGCGAAGCAGTTGTGATTTTTTTTCTGCCGGCGGTAACGCAAAATCGATGTTGAACATAGATATACGGTGTTTCTCTTCATAGGCGAGGTTTAATTAATAATGATTAAGTTCGTTCGACCGCGATTGGTAACGTTCGATGTCACCGGTACGTTGCTCATGACGAAACTAGAAGAGCATTACGTTGAAATCGGGAGTCAGCACGGCCTGTCGATCGATTCGCGCAAAGTAGCGCGAAGCTTCAAAAACAGTTTTCGCAGGCTCAGCCTGGAACATCCTATATATGGGAAACATACGGGCATTGGATGGAAAAATTGGTGGCGGAGGATAGTTTACAATGTTTTCAAGGATCAGTGTGGCCATCTTCCGGAACATACTTTGGATAAGGTGATATAAACATCGCAGTTTAAGCAAAATAAATGTCTTCCTTTACTTTGTCTCTCGTATTTGATTTCATTTTTTGTTATTTTAAAAAATATATAACGGTTTAATTATTTATACGATGCACGTTATGTTTTTCAACGTAATGTAGTTTATACCCTGAACGAGATTGTTCGCAATAAGAATTTTGCACAGATCGATCAAGTAAATTCGATTAAACGAAAGATTATATATTTTTTTATCGTGTAATATTTATCTTGTTACTGTAATTTTATAAACTTAATTTTATGAAGATTGTAAATGAATTTCGTAAAGTGATTCGATCACGCACTGTTACTGGCCAAGATTACAACTCTTAAATGGAAAATGTTATGGTTTGGGTAAGACCACTATTAACACGAATGTATCCATAGACTTATTATTACTTTAATAATACTTTAAAACTGCATAGTGTAACTTTTAGAAAATGAAAAGTGCATGTAACGTTATCGAGTACAGCGAACGTTCTAGTCGACGCGTAGGAGTGTCTCATAGGTGGCGCCACTGCATTCCTTAACAGAAAGATACAGAACAAAAGTTTCATTAGACAAAATACAGCATTGGATGATGCATGCTCTGGCGTATGTGTCTATTCCAAATCGCGTTTCGATAATTTTATTCTGTACAGAAGAGTATTAGTTGAGAATTAATTACTTTATAAGATATTTTAACATTATTATTTTCAGTTTACGTTCGAATATGACAAAGATGATAACTGTCGAACGTAAGCTGGGAGCAATGAAGTCAAAATGTCTCCTAAAGTAATTCATTTTCGATTTGAGGACTTAAATATATATATATATTTATTAATTTATATTATTAGACTATTAATATATTTTAATAGATCTATACAGGGTGTTCGGCCACACCTGGGAAAAATTTTAATGGGAGATTCTAGAGGTCAAAATAAGACGAAAATCAAGAATACCAATTTGTTGATGGAGGCTTCGTTAAAAAGTTATTAACGTTTAAAGTTCCGACCGTACTGAATTTTTTTCTCGAAAATGTGCAAGATTTCGGGGGTATGTCTATTCACCAAAAGTGATCGCAATTGACCCCCGTAACCGAAAATAATTTTTCCAAAATGATTTGAAATTTTTTTTTCCAATCAAAAAATTTCACACCTACTCGAATTTTTTTCTAGACAGTGGGTAGGATTTCGGGGGTATGTCTATTCACAAAAAAGGATTATAATTGACCCCCACAACCGAAAATAATTTTTTCAAAACGATTTGAAAGTTTTTTTTTTCGTCGAATTTAGGCACCTAATTAGATTTTCGGTAAGGAATTTTTTTCTCAAAAGTGCGTAGGATTTCGAGGGTATGTGTAATGACCAAAAATGATTGTAATTGATCCCTGCAATCGAAAATAATTTTTCCAGGACGATTTGAAATGTTTGACTTTAATTGTTAATAACTTTTTAACGAAGCCTCCATCAACAAATTGGTACTCTTGATTTTCGTCTTATTTTGGCCTCTAGAATTCCTCATTAAAATTTTTCCCAGAGATACCCTGTATAACACTGCGGAGCAAAACTATAGCACCAAATATGTTTGCCATAAAATTTTGACGTGACTTGATTTTTGTAATTAATTTACATAATGCCACGTGGTGTTCTTCAGATCAAAATCCGATAGAAAATCTGTCTAGCATTATGGTATTACATATTTATGCACACAATCGACATTTTTCAAGCATTTCCTGTTTTCAAGCTGTAATCGAATTCATGAAACGAAATTAACAAAGAAATTTTGAAAAAACTAATTACGAGCATAATCTAGACGCGTTTTTTAGTTTATAGAAAAGAAAGGAGATCCTGCTTATTAAAATTTTTCATTCTGTTTACTGTGGCGTTGCCTCCCATGCTCGCCACCAGAGGGGGCGCGCTCTCACAAGTGCTCACGGGAGGCGACGCTATATTACTAAAATTATAAGTTAATCATTTCATTATAATTTAATATTGCCATAGCGTTATGATTTCATTGGTGCTATAGCAGTATATCTATATCCATGCACATATTAAAATATTTGTGTTGTTATATTTTGTCCAAAATAAATGTTATTTTCTCCCTTTTATCATCACTATAGTTTCATTTTAGTCTGGTTTACGTAATACTATTAGTATTTAAAAATCATTAATTGATGTTCCGAAAATTGTAGCGGTATTAAAATTTGTTTAATGAAATTTTTGTTCCATCTGTTCTTGTTTAATGGTTGTAGCTTGGTCCAGTTGCGCGAACAACAAACTAAAAAAGTATCTAAAAAAGAAACAAACGAAAGAAAGGGTTGAAAAAAAAAATAAAAATAGCAAAATTAACTCAATTAAGGGGCCATTCTACCTTGTAGGCATGAAAAATACGTGTTTCTTTGTGATTTTTTTTTTGCGGGTTATTAAAGAGCGATTAATTCCGGATTTTGTAGATACATTTATTATATATTTAGCTATATTTACGAATTTTTGCAACGCATAATATCTATTGATTACGCTGTTTTTGTTGATCGTCAAACAACAGTTTTTACGAACGGCACCCGACTGCGTACGTGATATCTTGCGAACAAGTTATTCGAAATCCTAAAACCAACGATATTCTTAATATAGATGAGTGTGGTTATAGCACGAACTAGTATCTTTTCAAAAAAAAACAAAAAATGGCAAAATGGCAGCTAATTTACGAAAAAATACTGAATATTTTCATATATTTGGTTGCTTTTTTGTTAATAAAAGAAAAAAGTATTGCATATATCGCAATTATCCTGGTTCATGCTATAGGGAGACCAGTTCTGAGGATACTGTATAAATTTGATGTTGATGTCTTGAATAGCTTTTTAGTTATCACGCACGCAGTGCCGAAAAATGTAGTTTTGAGAAAAACAGCTTTAAAGTTTCACGTCTGATTGTTATACCTGCGCGCGGTACATTTCAACAGGCTATAACTTCGTTAGTTTACCGAATTTCAATTTAATATTTGGTAGACATATTTTCGAGACTACATATTAAAGGAAAATGCAAAAAAAAAAAAATATCGATTTTTTTAATCCCACAAGGTAGAAAGGCCCCTTGACCAAACTTTCATCCACTATCGATGACCTTATTTATCGTTATGACCTTCAGGTTGCTAACAGTCTGATTAAGTGCTATAGCACGAGCATGTGCTGGCACAAGTATCCGGGCACGATCGAGTTACTGGAATTTCTGCGGGAGAAGGGCCTGATATTAGGCGTGATATCGAATTTCGACGAGAGATTAGAAGGAATACTCCTGGACACCAACATACGATTTTATTTTTCATTCGTTTTAACCTCGTACGGTTATGGCGTGGAAAAACCAGACGCCTCGATATTCAACGAGGCTCTCAGGTTAACAAAGGAAGGGTGCAGTGTCGATATAGCTCCCGAGGAAGCGGTACATATAGGCGACAACGTCAAGAATGATTACATTGGTGCAAAAACAGCCAATTGGAATGCTCTTCTTATGAGGCACGGTAACGATATCATAAACGAGCACGAAGTTCCTAAAAAGGATATTTTTACAAATTATCAAGATTTACAAGCGCATTTTTCTGCCCTTCTTGATCGGGACACGAAACACGAATAATCAGTTAAAATTATTTTAAAAGCTAATATTTGTTTCGATGAATATAGTGTAAATTGTCCATAATCGATTATGTATTTTTACTTTATTTAAATATCAGTAGTAATAATAATTATGCATTCACTGATATTAATCCAACTAAGGGAATATCCACTATATGAATATTTTATCTAATAATATGTTATAATCCAGTCTGTGAATATTTTATAATTACCTATATAACATTATCACGTGTAATAACATAAGAAAGTATACATACAACATACTTATATTTTTATACAATTGTAAGGACAGATTCTGTACTTGTAAGATGCGACATTAATCAAACTTTTTATTTATTGATCGAACAACTATAAACGCGTGGGTGTTAATGAATGACGTAATCAGAAAGGAGGTTAAAGAATAATAGTACATGAAACAGTAGTAGGAGGAAGAAGGTATCGCTTCCCGAGTAATTTCCCACTTCCGTTCTAGCGAGATACGGATCGTTGTGTACGAACACTAATAAATCTATAATTTTCAATTTCGCTCACTAGTGCCTGAAATTATCGAATCTGATACTTCTTTTATCGAATTATCGTACAAAACAGAAAATCACGTGTTCCCGAAAAATATTTCTTCTCGGATTAAAACAAAAATTGTTCCAGTGCAAACGATACGTACACGTTTGCAGACAAAAACATTAATCAAAATTAAACTTAAATCTTAATGTAATTTTACTGAATCGTAATAATTAAATACAATGTACAGAATAACAATTTGATAATTGTATCCGTGTATATATCATTGTTAATAATAATGTGTGAAACGTAACCTTAACAGTACCATCGCCACGCTTCTCTTGTTAGTCTGATCTGGGACCTGCAGCCTGCACTTTCTACCACGAGTGGCGGCGTGTTACCACCACTAACGCAGAGATGCCAGAAAAGCACCGCCGGGTGCACACGCACACATGCCAGATACGCGTACGTGAGCTCGTGGAGTTTCGGAAAGTCGACAAAGGCAAACTGACGGCATGCCCTCTTTCTCGATTCCCCGAAGCTGCCCGAAGTAATTTCGGACCGCCTCGTGGGAGTCGAGAGAGAAAGGCTCACATTTGCCTTCTCGCTCTTAAACAACTGAAATCCGACCTCCGTCAACGTCAAACGATTTGGAATCTCGAGCCGAGATTCTCGACTGCCCAGGCATTTTTACTTTCCGACCTATGTAGGCGAACATAAGCAAAGTACCCATGATGAAAAAAATTTTGTAAAATTTATTTTACGGAAATACACGTTTTAAGACCCCCTGATCATATTTTAATTATTGAAAAAAAAAGAAATTTTTTTTTATTCCCATGTATGAGCTTACATATGTATATTATTAATACGATTGAGTATTCGAACCCTGCTAAAACAAATCTTTTTTTTACTTTTTCAATCATATTTTAATCGTACACTAAATGTGACATTATATTTTTGTCTGACCTTCGAATATTTTTTTTTTAAAGTTGAATTTAACCAATTACATTTAACATATGTTATTTTCAATGTACGAAGTACATGAATGGTACTGTGAGGGCGTTTTAACAAAATGCTTCTGTGAGTACGTTTTAACAAAAATACTTTAATGATACAAATCGACTGCTGAAGCGAGGAGAAACAGGAAGAAGAAAGAGCCCGCTCGCTCGCGGATTATTTATACATACCTCGCACACACGCTCTCTCTTTCTCTCCTCTCGCGCGCGCGCACGCGTTACTTACAAGGAACCATCGCGAACGGTCCGGCTTCGATTTTGATGAAACTTTGTACACTTATAAAGCAGCCAAAAATAATCGACACGTATTTTTTTTTAGCTGCGGTAACTCGAGTTTAAGGGGTGAAACCACCCGTTGAAGTTTTGGCTCGAAACGGCTATCTCGAAAACGGAAAGACATACAAAAAAATTGTTAATGGTCGAGGTTGATGGTTTCTTATGTACAATAACATGGTGTTAAAAAATTTAAAAAAATACAATTTGTTTATAACAAAAAAAAATTTATTAACTTAATTTTTCATTTTATTGAAATTTTCATAATGACAAAAAATGACGAGCATTTTATTCCAAATCCATTGGTATGCGATTTTTTAAAATTGCCTCCTACAGTTTTGCAGATTTTGATGATTTACATCTTGCGCGCACATCCATTATGGTAGTAGCCGTTCTAACTTTGATTTTAATGAAGCACTGTAGGCTTGCACTAAATCAAAGTTAGAACGGCTACTACCATAATGGATGTGCGCGCAAGATGTAAATCATCAAAATCTGCAAAACTGTAAGAGGCAATTTTAAAATATTACATACCAATGGATTTGTAAAAGTTCGGCCACCCTTGGGAAAAATTTTAATGGGAGATTCTAGAGGCCAAAATAAGACGAAAATCAAGAATATCAATTTGTTGATTGAGCCTTCGTTAAAAAGTTATTAAAAAATTAAATTAAAAATTTCAAATTTTCCTGGAAAAAATTATTTTCGGTTGCGGGGGCCAATTACAATCATTTTTGGTCAATACATATACCCACGAAATCCTACGCACTTTCGAGAAAAAAATTCCTTACCGAAAATCTAATGTGAAGCCAGAAATGCTCCCCTTTATGCGAATCTTTAAAATGTCATAACTCTTGAACGGATTGGACGATTTTAATGTTTCAAAAGGCAAACAACGCATATTTTAGTGTAGAATATGTAGATATTCCAAAAATATGCAAAAAGTTGATCCTTGACCCCGCAAAATGAGAAAAAATAAAAATGGTCCAATCTTCAAACAGCCATAATTCCTACAATAGTGAATATATTTCAATGAAACTTTTTTCTGAAGTAGAGCTCATAGTTACCTACAAAAAAGTATTGGCCAACTTTTTTGTAGGGCGTCAAACAAAATTATTAAAAATGAAAAACGAATTTTTAAGAAAAATCGACAGGGCGTAGGTGCCCAAATTTTTCAGCGAAAAAAAAAATTTCAAATCGTTCTAAAAAAATTATTTTCAGTTGCGGGAGTCAATTTCAATCATTTTTGGTCAATATATATACCCCGAAATCCTTCGCACTTTTGAGAAAAAAATTCGAGAATGTGTGAAATTTTTCAACAAAATTAAAAAATTTCAAACCATTCTGAAAAAATTATGTTCGGTTGCAGGGGTCGATTACAATCATTTTTGGTCATTACACATTCCCCCGAAATCTTGGGCATTTCGGAGAAAAAAATTCAGTACGGGCGGAACTTTAAACGTTAATAATTTCTTAACGAAGCCTCCATCAACAAATTGGTATTCTTGTATTTTTCCCGATTTTGTCCTCTAGAAGTAGTGCAAGCCTACAGTGCTTCATTAAAATCAAAGTTAGAACGGCTACTACCATAATGGATGTGCGCGCAAGATGTAAATCATCAAAATCTGCAAAACTGTAGGAGGCAATTTTAAAAAATCGCATACCAATGGATTTGGAATAAAATGCTCGTCATTTTTTGTCATTATGAAAATTTCAATAAAATGAAAAATTAAGTTAATAAATTTTTTTTTGTTATAAACAAATTGTATTTTTTTTAATTTTTTAACACCATGTTATTGTACATAAGAAACCATCAACCTCGCCCATTAACAATTTTTTTGTATGTCTTTCCGTTTTCGAGATAGCCGTTTCGAGCCAAAACTTCAACGGGTGGTTTCACCCCTTAAACTCGAGTTACCGCAGCTAAAAAAAAATACGTGTCGATTATTTTTGGCTGCTTTATAAGTGTACAAAGTTTCATCAAAATCGAAGCCGGACCGTTCGCGATGGTTCCTTGTTAGTCTCTAATTGCGCGAATATTCAAATTGTTCGTTGCAGCCTTTCGCTACAGTACTTTTCATAAAAACAGTCAAAACATAAAAATTTCAAGCACCACGTACATCTAATGAAAGTTCTGTTTTCACAGAAATTACAAAATTTTGTATTTAACTCTGATGGAAAGGCCGCTTCATTTACATTGATAAAATGTGAACGATTTTCGAATAGTCATACCTTGTATCTCGTACTTTTTACCTCATACTTCAGGTAAAAAGGGATATAACTGGGTAAAACAGTTTTATGACATTACCTGCCAACTCATGTTACTGTTCTAAAATGAAACGCTACGTTTTGTATCTTTAAAAATATTCGACTATGTTCTTTTAAAATTTAAGATCCAACCCATACTTAAGTATTAAACTGACAAACGGGATCACTTTTCCTTTGTTTCTAGTTAGTTCTATTTAGTTCGTCATAACAAACTGATACGATTATCTCAAAACATATCGACAAAAATCATTATTAATTAATTTCGGTAACTATTAATTCTACTGTTTTGTTTATGTTATAAAAATAAGAACTCTTCTTATTGAAAAATGTCAAAGCGTGCACGATACTGGCAAAGAGTAGACTCTCATTTTAATTTATTAATTTTCAATCTTAAAGTATTTTGATTTCGAAAAATCGTATATTAATAATATATAAAAAAATTTTTATTTTTTCAATAGTTAAAATATGATCAGGGGGTCTTAAAACGTGTATTTCCGTAAAATAAATTTTACAAAATTTTTTTTCCTGATGGGTACTTTGCTTATGTGCGCCTACATAGGTCGGAAAGTAAAAATGCCTGGACTGTCGAGAATTTCAGCTCGAGATTCCAAATCGTATGCCGTTGACGGAGGTCGGATTTCAGTTGTTTAAGAGCGAGAAGGCAAATGTCAGCCTTTCTCTCTCGACTCCCACGAGGCGGTCCGAAATTACTTCGAGCAGCTTCGGAGAATTGAGAAAGAGGGCATGCGTCAGTTTGCCTTTGTCGACTTTCCGAAACTCCACGAGCTCACGTACGCGTGATCTGGCATAGTGTGAGAGAGTGCCTTCGGTGCACTTCTGGCATCTCTGTTTCTACCACGAGTGGCGGCGTGTTACCACCACAAACGCCAGCCCATCGGCGCACTCGACTTTCCCCAAAGCCTCACTCACGGCCCACGACTCACGCGACTCCTCTCGTTCGTTCAGTTTCTCAGTGTACCGTCGCGCGGAGAGAGCATTTCTTCACGATTCCCCCAGTCTTCTGTCGGTCGAAGAGGTTAGAACAAGAAATTTATCCTTTGATTTGAAAAATCCGTGACACCCGGTGCAAGCATTGTTATTTGACAAATAAGTAAACGATTTTCACTCGTCGTGTGCCGTCTGATCGTGTTAATTACCTGCAGACCTTACTCTGTTCCCTTTGTAAGAGACGCGAGATTTTTTCGTACCTAAAATTTACCAATTGATTGCGATCGCAATTCTTTGTGTTTTCACGTTTGAATTTCGTTTCATAAATGTTCCATCGAGTTACGATTTGTGATTTGTGCACTTTGAAGTTAATATTAGTTACTTAGTTGTCGAGGTTTTTAAAGTTTATACAAGTACACAAATATTATCTAAACAAACATTATCTGTGAAATAAACTTAACGTGGAAAAGCTTTACTTTGATTTATGGACGAGATTGTTGATAGTATTGTTTTATTTGTTATTCAAATTTCAATGCTATCACGCGTTAAGTTTTTCTTTACATCGTGCCGAATAATTCGTCTTTCCGCTGCTTTTTAATCGTATACTTTGTAAAAGAAAAAAGTCGGTATATCAAGTTTGATAAACCAAGAGTAGCTATTTCGAAGACTAATGTTAAGATTAATGAACGTTAGATAGATAAGAAGGCAAGGACCGTTCGCGGAATGCAGCCTCGGCGATAAAAGTAAAAATTATTGTTGCGGATTTTCTTCTCACTGGACCGAATCGTGAAACAGGATTTACCCTAACCTTCAAAGAAATCCGAAAAGGAGGAAGTTTTCGATTACCGGTCTCCGTCGAAGAAAGTGAATCGACATTAAAACAAAGAGAAGCTATCACCGAAATTCAAATATGACGCGAGGAAGACACAAGAGGATGTTGATACTAGTTGCTATCTCGTTAGTGGTGGTACTTGCAGATCCCGAACCTTCGGATGAACTTTATAGTCGGTTTCAAAAATATCGCGACGAAGACAAGTGTTACGATGACACCGGAAAGCCGCAGGTTCGTACTCTTTTTAACGTTGAATTTTTTTAATATTTAGAACATCGTGATGTGTTATAGTCCGGCAAATTCTTTATTGTTAATTTTATCAAAGTAGCGAATAATAGGGAATATCATGGGCATTAACTTTTAACTCCAAGCGTGATGCGTTTTAACATTTATTATACAGGATGTTCGGCCACCCCTGGGAAAAATTTTAATGGGGGATTCTAGAGATTTGTTGATGGAGGCTTCGTTAAAAAGTTAATAACAATTAAATTCAAAAATTTCAAATCGTTCTGGAAAAATTATTGTCGGTTGCGGGGGTCAATTGCAATCATTTTTGGTGAATAGACGTACCCCCGAAATCCTACCCACTTTCTAGAAAAAAATTCGAGGTGTGAAATTTTTCGACGGAAAAAAAAAATTTCAAATCGTTCTGGAAAAATTATTGTCGGTTGCAGGGGTTAATTACAATCATTTTTGGTCATTACACATACCCCCGAAATCCTACGCACTTTTGAGAAAAAAATTCCTTACCGAAAATCTAGGGGGATTAAATTTTTCAACGAAAAAAAAATTTCAAATCGTTCTGGAAAAATTATTGTCGGTTGCGGGGGTCAATTGCAATCATTTTTGGTGAATAGACGTACCCCCGAAATCCTACCCACTTTCTAGAAAAAAATTCGAGAAGGTGTGAAATTTTTCGACGAAAAAATTAAATTTCAAATCGTGCTGGAAAAATTATTTTCGGTTGCAGGGGTTAATTACAATCATTTTTCGTCATTACACATACCCCCGAAATCCTACGCACTTTTGAGAAAAAAATTCCTTACCGAAAATCTAGGGGGATTAAATTTTTCAACGAAAAAAAAATTTCAAATCGTTCTGGAAAAATTATTGTCGGTTGCGGGGGTCAATTGCAATTATTTTTGGTGAACAGACGTACACCCGAAATCCTACCCACTTTCTAGAAAAAAATTCGAGAAGGTGTGAAATTTTTCGACGAAAAAATTAAATTTCAAATCGTGCTGGAAAAATTATTTTCGGTTGCTGGGGTTAATTACAATCATTTTTGGTCATTACACATACCCCCGAAATCCTACGCACTTTTGAGAAAAAAATTCCTTACCGAAAATCTAGGGGGATTAAATTTTTCAACGAAAAAAAAATTTCAAATCGTTCTGGAAAAATTATTGTCGGTTGCGGGGGTCAATTGCAATCATTTTTGGTGAATAGACGTACCCCCGAAATCCTACCCACTTTCTAGAAAAAAATTCGAGAAGGTGTGAAATTTTTCGACGAAAAAATTAAATTTCAAATCGTGCTGGAAAAATTATTTTCGGTTGCAGGGGTTAATTACAATCATTTTTCGTCATTACACATACCCCCGAAATCCTACGCACTTTTGAGAAAAAAATTCCTTACCGAAAATCTAGGGGGATTAAATTTTTCAACGAAAAAAAAATTTCAAATCGTTCTGGAAAAATTATTTTCGGTTGCGGGGATCAATTACAATTATTTTTGGTGAATAGACGTACCCCCGAAATCCTACCCACTTTCTAGAAAAAAATTCGAGGTGTGAAATTTTTCGACGGAAAAAAAAAATTTCAAATCGTTCTGGAAAAATTATTGTCGGTTGCAGGGGTTAATTACAATCATTTTTGGTCATTACACATACCCCCGAAATCCTACGCACTTTTGAGAAAAAAATTCCTTACCGAAAATCTAGGGGGATTAAATTTTTCAACGAAAAAAAAATTTCAAATCATTCTGGAAAAATTATTGTCGGTCGCGGGGGTCAATTGCAATCATTTTTGGTGAATAGACGTACCCCCGAAATCCTACCCACTTTCTAGAAAAAAATTCGAGAAGGTGTGAAATTTTTCGACGAATAAATTAAATTTCAAATCGTGCTGGAAAAATTATTTTCGGTTGCAGGGGTTAATTACAATCATTTTTCGTCATTACACATACCCCCGAAATCCTACGCACTTTTGAGAAAAAAATTCCTTACCGAAAATCTAGGGGGATTAAATTTTTCAACGAAAAAAAAAATTTCAAATCGTTCTGGAAAAATTATTGTCGGTTGCGGGGGTCAATTGCAATCATTTTTGGTGAATAGACGTACCCCCGAAATCCTACCCACTTTCTAGAAAAAAATTCGAGGTGTGAAATTTTTCGACGAAAAAATTAAATTTCAAATCGTGCTGGAAAAATTATTTTCGGTTGCAGGGGTTAATTACAATCATTTTTCGTCATTACACATACCCCCGAAATCCTACGCACTTTTGAGAAAAAAATTCCTTACCGAAAATCTAGGGGGATTAAATTTTTCAACGAAAAAAAAATTTCAAATCGTTCTGGAAAAATTATTTTCGGTTGCGGGGATCAATTACAATTATTTTTGGTGAATAGACGTACCCCCGAAATCCTACCCACTTTCTAGAAAAAAATTCGAGGTGTGAAATTTTTCGACGGAAAAAAAAAATTTCAAATCGTTCTGGAAAAATTATTGTCGGTTGCAGGGGTTAATTACAATCATTTTTGGTCATTACACATACCCCCGAAATCCTACGCACTTTTGAGAAAAAATTCCTTACCGAAAATCTAGGGGGATTAAATTTTTCAACGAAAAAAAAATTTCAAATCATTCTGGAAAAATTATTGTCGGTCGCGGGGGTCAATTGCAATCATTTTTGGTGAATAGACGTACCCCCGAAATCCTACCCACTTTCTAGAAAAAAATTCGAGAAGGTGTGAAATTTTTCGACGAATAAATTAAATTTCAAATCGTGCTGGAAAAATTATTTTCGGTTGCAGGGGTTAATTACAATCATTTTTCGTCATTACACATACCCCCGAAATCCTACGCACTTTTGAGAAAAAAATTCCTTACCGAAAATCTAGGGGGATTAAATTTTTCAACGAAAAAAAAAATTTCAAATCGTTCTGGAAAAATTATTGTCGGTTGCGGGGGTCAATTGCAATCATTTTTGGTGAATAGACGTACCCCCGAAATCCTACCCACTTTCTAGAAAAAATTCGAGGTGTGAAATTTTTCGACGAAAAAATTAAATTTCAAATCGTGCTGGAAAAATTATTTTCGGTTGCAGGGGTTAATTACAATCATTTTTCGTCATTACACATACCCCCGAAATCCTACGCACTTTTGAGAAAAAAATTCCTTACCGAAAATCTAGGGGGATTAAATTTTTCAACGAAAAAAAAATTTCAAATCGTTCTGGAAAAATTATTTTCGGTTGCGGGGATCAATTACAATTATTTTTGGTGAATAGACGTACCCCCGAAATCCTACCCACTTTCTAGAAAAAAATTCGAGGTGTGAAATTTTTCGACGGAAAAAAAAAATTTCAAATCGTTCTGGAAAAATTATTGTCGGTTGCAGGGGTTAATTACAATCATTTTTGGTCATTACACATACCCCCGAAATCCTACGCACTTTTGAGAAAAAAATTCCTTACCGAAAATCTAGGGGGATTCAATTTTTCAACGAAAAAAAATTTCAAATCGTTCTGGAAAAATTATTTTCGGTTGCGGGGATCAATTACAATTATTTTTGGTGAATAGACGTACCCCCGAAATCCTACCCACTTTCTAGAAAAAAATTCGAGAAGGTGTGAAATTTTTCGACGAAAAAATTAAATTTCAAATCGTGCTGGAAAAATTATTTTCGGTTGCTGGGGTTAATTACAATCATTTTTGGTCATTACACATACCCCCGAAATCCTACGCACTTTTGAGAAAAAAATTCCTTACCGAAAATCTAGGGGGATTAAATTTTTCAACGAAAAAAAAATTTCAAATCATTCTGGAAAAATTATTGTCGGTTGCGGGGGTCAATTGCAATTATTTTTGGTGAATAGACGTACCCCCGAAATCCTGCGCATTTTCGAGAAAAAAATTCCGTCCGGGCGGAATTTTAAACGTTAATAATTTTTTAACGAAGTCTCCATCAACAAATTGGTATTCTTGATTTTCGTCTTATTTTGGCCTCTAAAACCCCCCATTAAAATTTTTGCCAGGGTTTGCCGGACACCCTGTATATTTAATATGTAACTTGCAATTATATGTATTTGGATTAATAAATACGTACGTTTTACAAAACATATCAAACCGGAAAAGAGAGTAACCACTGCGGGGGCATCCTATGTGGTGCCAACACAATATAATAATACGTTGCCAACCTAAACTATCTCTAACAGAATATAACGTAATACAGTCGGGTCATGTTTAATTTTTGTATCGATCATCGTTCACTGATATAATATCTCAATTTTTTTTTTAAGTCTCTTACTATTTTGTTTAAAAGTATAAATAACTGTACGTAAGAATACCAGTCTAGAAAAATAAATATGATCAGGAATAGGCTCCTGTTTACTCTTAGTCATCGTAGTTTCGACTTTTTTTGTAGGATATTACTACATTGGGTTATCAATGTAAGGTTCGAATATCAAGTTTGAACGATAGGCATAAGGAGATAAAACGGACGCACTAAGCGTTAAAGTATTTCGAAAATTAAAGCAATAAACTTCATTCTTATTTTATAGTTAATTGTACGTCTCTGTGTGAATATTACAATCGAAATATTTTTCTATTCTTTACTTGAACTTTGTATGTGGTCAGGGGCGAATCTGGAAAGTTTGTTTTGATGGAATGTAATACGTAAAAATATATTTTGAAACCTTTTATTTTTGCACGATTTAAAATTTGTCTATAATTTGTTAATATTTTTATAATAGTCTAATATTCGCATTAATTATTTATTAATACTGTATACTCAAAAATGTTTAGTGTAATGTAAAATGATTTTGAATGAGGGCGTTGATTATCATTCCTCTGGTTTCGCCCCTTTATACAGTTAGTACGTATATCAAAATTTTCAGTTAAAATTCATATTTAGATCGTATATGCTACAGTTTTATTTATTCCACAACAAAATAATAACGAACAGGCAATGATACAGAGAAAGTACACGCTTTGTATAGTTTATATCAATTAAATTCAGTTTTCAAAAATTGTGTGAAATGCAGCGCCATCCAGAGGCTCTAGCCGTCCTTATAAGGATTTGCTAGCAAAAGTTATTCATGGACTGCCTGGAAATGAAACTACCTGCGAATAGTCGAGCATAATACCCACTTTAAGTGTCCCTATAATAAATCTTGTATCCTCTATAAGGATACATTATACCCCTGCACATATATTTTACGATCTTAAATTTATTCTAACGGTCAATATTGAATTTGTAAGTTCGTTAATTTCGACAAAAAAAGATAGAAATGCTCGTCGTTTTCCGTTCACAAATTTAAGCCTGTTATATATTAACACTTTGACAGGATTTACCACTATGATATTAGAAAAATGAATTTTCAAGTTAAGACGCCGAGAGAAATAAATTTGGATTTTGTGAATTTTAACAAGGTTACGAAAATAAGTACTGAAACAAATTTTAGGTTATGTAGCTTGGAATGGTGTAAAATCAAAATTTTAATCTCGCAGAATATTATACAGTTTTAATCTGGCAGTGAACGCGTTAATGATATTATTAATGTTACTTATAAAATAGTGGTTTCAATAGATACAATAAAGTATATCAGATCAAGGTGACTGTTTAATCTTTTCGATGAGAATTTAAAAATATTTATAATCAGGAACATGTTCTTGAACGTGTTGTGTTATAGAGGTGCATACCACCTTTCGAGAACGCAGCTTTCAATGTGCTCATGGAAGCGACGAACACGTGTGGGCAGGATCGGCCTACAGAATTTTGTAAACAGACCGACGTTCAAACGAAGTCCTGCGAGATTTGTCGTTATGGCGACCATCCGGCCAAGTATCTTACCGATCACGATAACAACGACGACGCGACCTGGTGGCAGTCGGAAACGATGTTCGAGGGCATTGAATATCCAAATCAAGTTAATCTTACGCTTCCTTTAGGTATGATTATGGTCGATAGTTAACACTTTGAATTAATTCTCACGTTAAGACGACGAAGGAAATAAATATGAGTAGAGTTTGTGAATTATAACAAGGTTACGAAAATAAGTACCGAAACAAATTTTAGGTTATGTAGCTTACAATGGTCTAAAATCAAAATTAGTATACAGGGTGAACGACCAATTCTGGGAAAAATTTTAATAGGGGATTCTAGAGGCCAAAATAAAACGAAAATCATGAATACCAATTTGTTGATGGAAGCTTCGTTAAAAAGTTATTAACAATGAAATTAAATATTTCAAATCGTTCTGAAAAAATTATTTACTGTTGCGGGGGTCCATTACAATCATTTTTGGTCATTACACATAACCTCGAAAATCTACGCACTTTCGAGAAAAAAATTCGGTTATGTGCCTAAAGTCGGCGAAAAAAAAAATTTCAAATCGTTCTGAAAAAACTATTTTCGGTTGCGGGGGTCCATTACAATCATTTTTGGTCATTACATATACCCCCGAAATCCTACGCATTTTTGAAAAAAAAATTCAGTACGGTCGAAACTTTAAACGTTAGTAATTTTTTAACGAAGCCTCCATCAACAAATTGGTATTCTTGATTTTCGTCTTATTTTGGCCTCTAGAATCCCCCATTAAAATTTTTTCCACGGTTGGTCAAACACCCTGTATATGAATAGTATATTAATATATAGAATATAATAAATATGAATAGAGTTCGTGAATTTTAACAAGGTTACGAAAATAAGTACCGAAACAAATTTTAGGTTATGTACAGTCGCGTCGGTATTTAAGTTGACACTTATCATTTTTATAAAATAGCCGTAAAAGGATACAATAAAAATAAATAAAATACGAAATGTTTACAAAAATAAATTTATTCGTGTCTTAAGTAAATAATGTCACCTTATTAATTATGTTCATTTGAGTAACAATAGCATTAACAAATATTTTCTAATGAACGTCTATCGGAAAGTAAGTTGACAATGGTTATAAAGTAAATTATAATTCTATAAGTAACAGTAAAAAAAATATTTAATAAGCAGTTTGATACCCTTTTGCTTTAATTACTTCCAGTAAACGATTTGGCATACTGTGTATTAATTTTTTTAACGTTTTGGGCTGTATTTCATCCCATGCCTTTTTTAGTGCGGCTATCAATTTTGGTTTTGTATAGCGGTCCGATTTTGGTATTTTTCGATCGAGTTCGTCCCATAAGTGCTCGATCGGATTTAAATCAGGGCTCTGCGGTGGCCAAGAAAGCAGCAATATATTGTTTTCGTCGATAAATTTTTTAACAATCTTTGCAGTATGTTTCGGATCGTTGTCGTGTTGGAATATGTATCCTGTATCTGGCCCAAATTTTTGAATCGATGGAAACAAATTTTCTTTTAGAATATCGATGTATTTCGCTGCTGTTAATATACCATCAATAACTGTTAATTTTCCTACATTTTCATTGTTGAAGCAGCCCCATAACATTATAGACCCTCCACCGTGTTTCACGGTGGAGGTGATAACATTTTGTTTAAAAGCTTCTCCTTTTTTTCTCCACACATATTTCCTTCGTTTGTTTGATTGTAATTCAAATTTTGACTCATCACTCCAAATTATGGATTCCCAGAATGCAGTCGGTTTATTAAAATGCTCTTTTGCAAAATTTAAACGTTCGCGAGCATTTGTTTCGGAAATGTGTGGCTTCTTCCTAGATATTCGGCCATGCAACCCAGCTTCGTATAAACGGGATTTTATTTGAGTGGTCCCTATTGGCAAATTTAAATCTTCTTTGATCTGTTTGGCAGTAATAAATGGTTCCTTTTTTGTTATTTTAACAATTTCTCGATCCTGACGGGGAGTTGTTTTTCTTTTTCTTCCCGTTCTAACTAAATTTTCAGGTTTCCCAGTAGTCTCTATCTTTTTATAAATTTTTCGCACCCCTTCCTTTGATATCCCAAAATCTGTGGCAATCTGTTGCAAACTTTGGCCTTCTATCCTTCTTTTATAAATTAATAATCTTTCAGACTCGTGTAATTCCCGTATTTTCGGCATGCTACAAGTAACCAATTCTTAACAATAACAATACATAACAAAAAAGAAACATTATATAAGAGACTAAATACATTATCAAATTATTAAATGCGCGTTTAATAGCAAAATTTTATTAATGAAATAAAAACTTGATTACGTCAACTTACTTTCCGGCGAACCAAATTTAGGAAATATTTTTACAGATTGACTGTTATTTGATTGTACGCGGTATTTTCACTTTGACACTCACTGGTATACTGAGGCATTTCTTGTACATAATGTAAACAATGTCAGAATGTACGGAAGGACGCGTACAAGTGTTTAAATTATGGAACAATATCGTCAATACCAGAAATACAACAGCGTCAACATAAATACCGACGCGACTGTAGCTTACAATGGTCTAAAATCAAAATTAGTATACAGGGTGAACGACCAATTGTAGGAAAAATTTTAATAGGGGATTCTAGAGGCCAAAATAAGACGAAAATCAAGAATACCAATTTGTTGATGGAGGCTTCGTTAAAAAGTTATTAAAAAATTTCAAATCGTTTTGGAAAAACTATTTTCGGTTACGGGGGTTCATTACAATCATTTTTGGTCATTACATATACCTCCGAAATCCTACGCATTTTCGAGAAAAAAAATTCCTTACCGAAAATTTAATTTGGTGCCTAAATTTTTCGACGAAAAAAAAAGATTTCAAATCGTTTTGGAAAAATTACTTTTGGTTGCGGGGGTCACTTACAATTATTTTTGGTGAATAGACATACCCCTGAAATCCTACGCATTTTTGAAAAAAAAATTCAGTACGGTCGGAACTTTAAACGTTAGTAACTTTTTAACGAAGCCTCCATCAACAAATTGGTATTCTTGATTTTCGTCTTATTTTGGCCTCTAGAACCCCCCATTAAAATTTTTTCCACGGTTGGTCAAACACCCTGTATATGAATAGTATATTAATATATAGAATATAATAAATATGAATAGAGTTTGTGAATTTTAACAAGGTTACGAAAATAAGTACCGAAACATATTTTAGGTTATGTAGCTTACAGTGGTCTGAAATCAAGATTTTACTTGTACAGAATAAACAGTTCTGATCTGGCAGCGAACGTGTTAAATGAGAAAATAAAAATTTATTGAATTTCCACCGAAACACTAAGCATATTGAAATTTATAAAATACCAAATATTAGGGCGTACGATAAAATTGTTATAAACATTAAATAAAAATATAAGGTCAGAAATTATATTTCTGTCCCTGAGTCCCAACAATTTTGGAATATTTAATACGGTGTCATAATTATAATAGATGCAGCGTTCGGTTCGTACGGACAATGCGTTTTATTATTATGTTTGGGTGACACCGATCGTGTTCTTCGTAGAATTAGAGTAGATAAACTCGAGGAATCTCATAATCGTATATAGAAAAAACGAATGGTTCATTCATCGGTATCCGCGATGAACTTTTAACACGTCCTCGGTGTTCGTAGCTCTCTTTCTCCCGTGGCATCTCGTCTTCTTTTTCCATTTTACATCCTTATCTATCAGGATGTGTGCGCGATGAGATAATTCTCGGAACACGAACGATGAAGACAGACAAGAGGAGGCACGAGTTCGAGCGTGAATATTTTATTTTTCAACCGCGTAGCTTTTCTGTTTAAACGTTACTTTCGAACGATTTAAAAATTTCCTTTGATTTTTATCTACCGTTATTAAATTGAATTTGTTATTCGAGCAAAGGATACCGTGTAATCGTACAAGTTAAATATAAAAAATTGTCATCTGTTATAATTGAATTAAATTTTTTATTCGAGAATACTGTGTAATTGTACAAGTTAAATTTTAATTTAATCGTTTCTTACGCACGAATAATATAGTACATTTTACTAGCGCGACGAACTTAACCTTTGTTCTGGGAATGCGAACGTTGCATCTTCGGAATCCGCTAATCGTTTGTGCCGTTAGAAAATAATCTTCTGAACTCTGCTACTACAAACGCTTTTGCATATTAAATTCCGTTAGGATCATTGTCGGATTCTTAACGCGAAGTAATGTTTCCTATTATGAAACAACTAATAGCAGATCTTTCTTAAAAGTGGAAAGTGTATAGAATCTCCGTCTGCGCGCCACATGTTCATTTATGAAAGAATCAGCCACTTACACCCCGCTGGCTTTACAGTCGAGAATTGCAATGGCGTAGAACTCGTTGCTTTCCGTTCAATATTTGTTAAATTCTTCATATTTAAAAACTCTATTTGCGATCATATTAAGAAATAAATATGAATAAACTTAAACGGTGCGCAGCAAATATTTTAATTTATATTTCTCTCTGTTTCTCGTTCGCTTCCAAACGGATATCGTTGCAGGGAAACAACAGTGGCGTGGAATTCGTTTTTTCTCAGTAATTTTGATATTTCTTACTGTGTATAATTTAAAGCAATTCGTTCACAATTATATTTTTAATGCAATACATATGACTATCGACTTTAACGTGGTAAATACAGTCGAACTTGGTTATAATGACAATGGATGAGATCATAACTCCGATGAACAAAAAGCCAAAACGATATTAGAATTTATAACCAATCGGTAAAAATAATATTAAATAAAATTTATTTATTAATACAAATTAATGTAAATGTATTATTTTGTTTCTGAAATCGATTTTTGTTCACAGAGTTATTGAAATTTTTTTAAATATTTAACTCGTCACTGGTACAATGAAATTATGTAGATTTTTTGGTTGCTCGTTATAACAGAGTTAGACTGTATTTTAATTGATATCTCCTGGTTTCACTTCTCTTTTAAACGAAAATGATTGTAGACAAGACATTCGATATAACGTACGTTCGAGTGCTTTTCGAGTCGCCACGTCCAGAAAGCTGGGGCATCTACAAGAGGAGAAACGAGGAGTCACCATGGGAGCCTTATCAATTTTATTCCGCGACTTGCAGAGATAATTATGGCTTACCGGATTCGAAGGAGACTGTGGAAGGGGACGACACGAGGGTGCTGTGTACCTCGGAATATTCCGATATATCACCCTTGACAAAGGGCACCGTCGCATATTCCACTCTGGAAGGTCGACCTTCGGCTTACTACTTCGAAACTAATACGGCGTTGCAGGTATGAACCCAATTCTTTCGCCATTGACTACGACCGAACGGGAAAAGCTGAAATTTCGGGGTACAAAATCGGTTCGGTACAACATACAGAGTGTTCGGCCACTCTTGGGAAAAATTGTAATGCGAGATTCTAGAGACGAAAATAAGACGAAAATCAAGAATATCAATTTTTTGACTGTGGCTTCGTTAAAAAATTAATACAACATTAAATTAAAAAATTTCAAATCATTCTGAAAAAATTATTTTTGGTTGTGGAGATCAATTATAATTATTTTTGGTCATTACACATACATTCGAAATTCTACCCATTTTCGAGAAAAAAATTCCTTACCGAAAATATAATTTCAAACCAGAAATGTCACTCGAAAATTTCTTGCGTATCTTTAAAACGTCATAACTTCTGAACGGATTAGAGGATTTTAATGTTTCAAACGGTAAACAACGCGTATTTTGGCGAAGAATATCTAGGAATTCTAACAGTATTGAAAAAGTTGTTTCTTCACCCCGTAAAGTTAGAAAATCCCCATAAAAATGGTCCAATTTTCAAACGACCATAACTTCTGCAATAGTAAATATATTTCAATGAAACTTTTTTCTGAAGTAGAGATCATGGGTACTTACAAAAAAGTATTAAACAACTTTTCGATAGGGTGTCAAACAAAATTACGAAAAATGAAAAACGAATTTTTAAGAAAAATCGACAAAAATGTCACTCGAAAATTTCTTGCGTATCTTTAAAACGTCATAACTTCTGAACGGATTGGAGGATCTTAATTTTTCAAAATACAAATAACGCGTATTTTAGTGAAAAATATGTAGAAATTTTAATAATATTGAAAAAGTTATTTCTTGATGCCGTAAAGTTAGAAAACCCCCCCAAAAATGGTCCAATTTTCAAACGACCATAACTCCCGTAATAGTGAATATATTTTAATGAAACTTTTTTCTGAAATAGAGATCATGGGTACTTACAAAAAAGTATTAGACAACTTTTCGATAGGGTGTCAAACAAAATCACGAAAAATGAAAAACGAATTTTTAAGAAAAATCGACAAAAATGTCACTCGAAAATTTCTTGCGTATCTTTAAAACGTCATAATTTCTGAACGGATTGGAGGATCTTAATGTTTCAAAATGCAAATAACGCGTATTTTAGTGAAGAATATGTAGGAATTCTAACAATATTGAAAAAGTTGTTTCTTGATCCTGTAAAGTGAGAAAATCCCCATAAAAATGGTCCAATTTTCAAACGACCATAACTCCTGCAATAGTGAATATATTTTAATGAAACTTTTTTCTGAAATAGAGATCATGGGTACTTACAAAAAAGTATTAGACAACTTTTCGATAGGGTGTCAAACAAAATTACGAAAAATGAAAAACGAATTTTTAAGAAAAATCGACAAAAATGTCACTCGAAAATTTCTTGCGTATCTTTAAAACGTCATAACTTCTGAACGGATTGGAGGATCTTAATGTTTCAAAATGCAAATAACGCGTATTTTAGTGAAGAATATCTAGGAATTCTAACAGTATTGAAAAAGTTGTTTCTTCACCCCGTAAAGTTAGAAAACCCCCATAAAAATGGTCCAATTTTCAAACGACCATAACTCCCGTAATAGTGAATATATTTTAATGAAACTTTTTTCTGAAATAGAGATCATGGGTACTTACAAAAAAGTATTAGACAACTTTTCGATAGGGTGTCAAACAAAATTACGAAAAATGAAAAACGAATTTTTAAGAAAAATCGACAAAAATGTCACTCGAAAATTTCTTGCGTATCTTTAAAACGTCATAACTTCTGAACGGATTGGAGGATCTTAATGTTTCAAAATGCAAATAACGCGTATTTTAGTGAAGAATATGTAGGAATTTTAACAATATTGAAAAAGTTGTTTCTTCACCCCGTAAAGTTAGAAAATCCCCATAAAAATGGTCCAATTTTCAAACGACCATAACTTCTGCAATAGTAAATATATTTCAATGAAACTTTTTTCTGAAGTAGAGATCATGGGTACTTACAAAAAAGTATTAAACAACTTTTCGATAGGGTGTCAAACAAAATTACGAAAAATGAAAAACGAATTTTTAAGAAAAATCGACAAAAATGTCACTCGAAAATTTCTTGCGTATCTTTAAAACGTCATAACTTCTGAACGGATTGGAGGATCTTAATTTTTCAAAATACAAATAACGCGTATTTTAGTGAAAAATATGTAGAAATTTTAATAATATTGAAAAAGTTATTTCTTGATGCCGTAAAGTTAGAAAACCCCCCCAAAAATGGTCCAATTTTCAAACGACCATAACTCCTGTAATAGTGAATATATTTTAATGAAACTTTTTTCTGAAGTAGAGATCATGGGTACTTACAAAAAAGTATTAAACAACTTTTCGATAGGGTGTCAAACAAAATTACGAAAAATGAAAAACGAATTTTTAAGAAAAATCGACAAAAATGTCACTCGAAAATTTCTTGCATATCTTTAAAACGTCATAACTTCTGAACGGATTGGAGGATCTCAATGTTTCAAAATGCAAATAACGCGTATTTTAGTGAAGAATATGTAGGAATTCTAACAATATTGAAAAAGTTGTTTCTTGACCCCGTAAAGTTAGAAAATCCCCATAAAAATGGTCCAATTTTCAAACGACCATAACTTCTGCAATAGTAAATATATTTCAATGAAACTTTTTTCTGAAATAGAGATCATGGGTACCTACAAGACAGTATTAGACAACTTTTCTGTAAAGCGTCGAACAAATTTATTAAAAATGAAAAACAAATTGTTAAGAAAAATCGACAGAGGGTGCCTAAAATTTTAGGCGAAAAAAAATTTCAAATCGTTCTGAAAAATTATTTTCGTTCGCAAGGGTCTATTACAATCATTTTTGGTAAATAGACATACTCTCAAAATCCTACGCACTTTCCGAGAAAAAATTCTTGAAATAACTTCTTAACGAAGCCTCCATTTCACACCTTCTCGAATTTTTTTCTAGAAAATGGGTAGCATTTCGGAGGTATGTCTATTGACCAAAAATTATTATAATTGACCCCCGCAACCGAAAATAATTTTTCCAAAACGATTTGAAATTTTTGAATTTAATTGTTTATAACTTTTTAACGAAGCCTCCATCAACAAATTGGTATTCTTGATTTTCGTCTTATTTTGGCCTCTAGAATTTCTCATTAAAATTTTTTCCAGAGTTGGCCGAACACCCTGTATATTATTTCGGATTTTTCAAGTAAAATAATTTTTTGGATAATTTATGTTGTTTGAATGAGTATTTTGTATTTTGGTTTTGATTATTCAACCTCATATTCTGGACCTAATGTTTTCGATTATTTTTACGGGCCCCCTGCAAAATATAAATTAACTTATTATTTTACAATTTAAACAATTTTTAACAAAATCTATTAAACAAAACATTATCTTCTGTTTCAATTTTTAACGAAATTTGTTTTTATTAAAACAAAACACATCCTTATAGTAAACTTAAACAAAAATTTAATATACAAAATTGACGGACACATATATTCGAACAAACAGTTTGAAACAAAATATTGTCGTTACACGCATTTTCAATTATTATTATAAAACTATATTTGTTGCTAACATTTATTAAAATTATTTAGTGTCAGTTAAACAACAATTCGAAGTATCACAATATAAGCGCTTTTTAATATCAATTAATAATTTTCGATAAAATTTTTTAACATTTTATTCGTCGACTAAAACGACTTACATTTGAATTAATTTTGAATAACATTTGAATAAACAGATTCCTCGATATTAAAATGGCGTTACTTGCATTCTCAATTATTATTATAAAACTATATTTGTTGCTAAAATTTATTAAAATTATTTAGTGTCAGTTAAACAACAATTCGAAGTATCACAATATAAGCGCTTTTTAATATCAATTAATAATTTTCGATAAAATTTTTTAACATTTTATTCGTCGACTAAAACGACTTACATTTGAATTAATTTTGAATAACATTTGAATAAACAGATTCCTCGATATTAAAATGGCGTTACTTGCATTCTCAATTATTATTATAAAACTATATTTGTTGCTAAAATTTATTAAAATTATTTAGTGTCAGTTAAACAACAATTCGAAGTATCACAATATAAGCGCTTTTTAATATCAATTAATAATTTTCGATAAAATTTTTTAACATTTTATTCGTCGACTAAAACAACTTACATGAATTACTTTAATTACATTTGAATAACATTTGAGATCCACAAGAATCTCTGCAGCAACGCAATATAATTCATCTCAAATTTGCATCTGAGGTTACCACCGTCGGTATGTTTAATTATTGTTTACGAAAACGGAATTTGCGTGGATTTTACGAACAATGTAATAGAAAACCTGTTAAAATTGTTTAAGAATAAATGGCGAACGTTGCTCTCGTTTCAAGGAATGGGTACAAGCAACCGATTTAAGAATTACTCTGGACAGACAAAACACGTTTGGAGACGAAGTGTTTGGTGATGATCACGTATTGAAATCTTATTACTATGCGATCGCTGACGTCGCCGTTGGAGCACGTTGTGCCTGCAACGGCCATGCTGGGGAATGTGTAAACAGTACCAGTGTAGATGGAAGAATTCGCAGAGTATGTAGGTAAGCTAATTTATAAATATTAGACCAAATACGAAACCAATTTTTTTTTAAAAGAATAAATAAATATTAATAAAGTATACAAAACATCTCGTTCATAAATAAGTTAAAATAATAAAAAAAAAAGATATATTCCTACCGTTGTTATATTTCGATGATCAATACATCAATACAATAAATATTAGAGTTATTCACATTTTTCTAAAGTGCAAGAACCCTAAAAGCAACCACACACGTTGCATTTGGCCAAAATTGTAATAATATTTTATGAGAAAATAGTTGCTTTCTGCAATTTTTATTGTTTCGCGGGGTAGAATGGAAAGAAAAAGGTTAACCTTGAATTTCGAAATTAATAACCTCATTTGTAAAAGTCGCGACAAATATTTTTGTACGCTCTGCATACTGTATTGTATTCTAATTTAAATCAAAATACATTGCGATATAAATATGTAGTAGGTTTCAATCGATCAATATACGTTTGTAAATTAGAATCTCGATTGTTACAACCTTGATTATTACAACAAATTAGCCCCCACGATTTTTCAGCCCCTTTCTATGATCTCGCTAAAAACTGTTTTCTATCGAAGTTAATCAGTATTTAACCGACGAGAAATTGCAGTTGCCTAAATTTAAAAACAAATTGATCTTCGATACAAAAAGTTAAGGTCACTGTTATGTTTTTAAACGAAACTAGGTATTTTTAAATTGATAATCTTTAACCCAGGTCTGGGTTAGGTTATTATTATTATTATTATTCATTTATTAACAGGATTAAACCCTTTAGTACAAAGAGGTAATATGTAAGGAACTACAGATGTGGATTTTACATAGTCAGACATTATTGCTTAGTGAATTTAACAAAAATAAATTAATTTACAATATCTTGCAAGGATAATTTTACACTTTCTAATGATTGTTCAATTAAATCTGTTTTGGTGTGTACAAAATTTGCATTACTAATCATTCTATTTACACAATTCTGAGATCCAAACGTTGTACTGTAACTTTCAGAGTAAAATAGAAAGTGATTTCTTAAATATCTAGATGGTGCATACAAAGGAAACAATTGAGTAATCGTTGAACACGAAATATGACCTTTGATTAGCTTACTTACAAACAGAATGTCTGCGATTCTTCTTTTACTATGCAGTGTTTGAAGATTAGTGTTGATAAGTAAGTCATCATAATTATGTGATTCAAGAGGCATGGGACTCACACTATGCGTAGCAACAAGACAAAGAAATTTGTGTGAACTCCCTCAATGTTGTCGATGTATGTTTTGTAATAAGGAGACCAAATTATGCTGCCATATTCTAGAATAGGTCTCGTCAAAGTACAATATAAGATTTTAAGCGTATTAGTTTTGCTAAAGTATCTGGAAACCCTACGAATAAGTCCCAGAGAGCAGAGACTATGCGAAATAATTTTGTCGCAATGAGTTATTAACGCAAAGTTATACCAAGATCTTTAACATGATTAAGTGAGGTTAGTTCGATGCCATTTAGAGTATAAATATAAACTATATTACTTTTCTTATTACTAAACTACTTAAGATCATCGGCATATAATAAAAATTTAGTGTTGGAATACCTTAGAAATGTCATTAATATACAATTATAAATAGAAGTGGTCCTAAATGTGAACCTTGCGGAACACCAGATGTAACATTAAATTTCTCTTGAGTAATTATTATTGAATTTAACTATTTGAACTCTATCGGATAAAAAACTGGATAGCTAAGAAAGCATACAGCTGTTTATTCCTAATGCCTATAATTTGAACATTAAAATTGGATGATTAATAGAATCAAAGGCTTTAGAAAAGTCAGAGTAAACAGTATCAACCCGCATGCCTTTATCCACGCAGTTAGTCAAATAATAATAATACTCCACAAGGTTAGTCACAGACGATCTACCGATAACGAATCCATGCTGCTCATCAATAAACTTTTACATTTCGATCTTACATTGGAAAACATTAGGTAGTCTTCATGAGATTTAGGTTATGTTACGTTGTTTATGCATAGCAGTTTTTCTTTCAATGTCATCTGTCATAGTGTCAGGTCATAATGTGTCAGGTCGTTGAATTCGTCTCGATGTTGCCTACAATACTATCAAGTTAAAAATACCTAGTTTCATTTAAAAATATAACAATATAACATTTAAAAATATAACCTTAATTTTTTATCGAAAGCCAATTTGTTTTTAGATTTAGACAACTGCAATTTCTTGTCGGTTAGATACTGATTAAAGAGGCTGAGAAATCATGGGGACTAATTTGTGCCTCACTCTGTATATGTATATGTTACCGTGAATGACCGAAATTGGAGAATGTCAACTTTCACCGATGAATGTCAACAGATACCAAATACGTCGGTGAAAGATCGAATATTTCATTACATTGTTGTACATTCGGACCCTCTCCGGTGTGTGTCGACAATCACAGATATGCTCTGGTGGAGGTCCAAAACAGAAGAGTCAAAAAACAAGCGACTGGCTCTCTCCTGCCAAATCCTTTGTTCTGCTCGGAGTCAATCAGCTTTGTCAGTCTTATGCAAGCTTTGATAACGCGAGCAACGTTTTCTTAATTTTTTTTCCGATACCCTAATTTATACTAAATGGATACTGCAGTAAATCGTGATCTTTTTCTAACCCAGACCTTGTACGTGGGGAAATCCTCATGGACACCCGCGGGCCCACCCGATGGGCGGGCCGGCGGGTAGTGCCGGACTCTTACCGGCTAAAACCCCACGGTGACCATCCTCAAGCGCTTGGCGAGGGACCGGGAACTCTAGTGAGACATCACAGAGTCCCTCGCCGCGCCGTGCCTTTTCAGGCCCTCCCCGGTGAGAGGCAATCCTCCCACCGCATTTCCACTCAACCGCAGGCGCCTGGTCACCAGCGCCCGCGGCCCCGTGACATGGGACTAAGCCGCCGGCCGCGGGGTCACGTTGGCCGCAGGACACACCCGCAGCCAACTGGCCAACCTGCGGCCTTAGGTCAAACCCGCGGCAAATATCCCATGCCCCAGTCCACTCACACACACATTCACACGCGCAACGCATTCATACCGGTGTTTGGTCCGCGGGAGCTTTCGCTCCGACCTCCGGGATGCCATGCGAGGATGCAGCCACCAGCCTTCTCAGGTTGATGACCCCATCCCCGCATCCCATCCCAGCGGCTGCCCCTATCCGCCACCTGGGGACGCGCCACGTAGGGGTTCACCTCCCCTGCCGCCTGGACAACCAAACGGGTGCGTGGTGTCCTAACCCAGACCTAACCCAGTCCTAACCCAGAGTTAACCCAGACCTAACCCAATCCTAACCCAGACCTAACCCAGTCCTAACCCAGTCCTAACCCAGACCTAACTCAGACCTAACCCAGACCTAACCCAGACCTAACCCAGACCTAACCCAGACCTAACCCAGACCTAACCCAGACCTAACTCAGATCTAATCCAGACCTAACCCAGACCTAACCGAAATCTAATCCAGACCTAACCCAGATCTAACCCAGACCTAACCCAGACCTAACTCAGATCTAATCCAGACCTAACCCAGACCTAACCGAAATCTAATCCAGACCTAACCCAGACCTAACCCAAATCTAGGGTCTGGGTCAGGTCTGGGTTAGGTCTGGATTAGATTTCGGTTAGGTCTGGGTTAGGTCTGGATTAGATTTCGGTTAGGTCTGGGTTAGGTCTCGGTTAGGTCTGGGTTAGGTCTGGGTTAGATCTGGATTAAATCTCGGTTAGGTCTGGGTTAGATCTGGATTAGATCTCGGTTAGGTCTGGGTTAGGTCTGGGTTAGGTCTGGGTTAGGTCTGGGTTAGATCCTTTCAGAAAGAGAGGCGAAAAAGTTACGTCACCCTTGTGACGTTTTATAGCGACTGAATTACGGAGAAGAAAATATAAATCTCCAACATGTTCAACACTCACCATTAGTGCATGGTGAATGTCAACATTTACCGGTGTAAGTCAGAAATGAGGGTGTTTAGCAAATATTTCGGTCATACACTAAGCGACTATGTGAATGTTGACATTCACCGGTGAAAGTCGACATTCTCCAGATTTCGGTGTTTCACTGTAACATATACATACATCATCCTTCCACGAAAAGAAGGCACAGCGTGTTTACATCCCCACTCTTGCTGCAGTCCGGTGATTGGCTGTCACTGATCTTCGTCACCGTTTTCGACCAATACCTGTGAGTCAGCGAACAGCAACAGAAGTGGGGATGTAAACACGTTGTGCCTTCTTCTCGTGGAAGAATGGTACATTGATTATAATAATCAAGATTGCAACAATCGAGATTCTAATTTACAAACATATATCGACCAATTAAAACTTACTACATATTTATATCGCAAATATATTTTCAATTAAATTAGAATATAAGAATGCAGAGTAAACAATACTTGTGGCGACTTTTACAAATTAAGTTATGAATTTCGAAATTCAAGGTTAAACTTTTATCTTTCCATTCTACCCCACAAATAAAAATTGTAGGAAGCAACTATTTTCTCATAAAGTATTATTACAACTTTGGCCAAGTGCATCGTGTGACATTGCTTTTAGAATTCTTCTACTTTAGAAAAATGTGAATGACTTAAATATTTATTGTATTAATCATTGGAATTTAACAATTGTTGGAATATATCTTTCTTTTATTATTTTAACTTATTTATGAATGTTTTGTATAAAGTAAATTAAATTTCAATAATTTTTAATAAATTAACCATAAATTTCAATATTTTGATCTTCTTCTTTGAATGAAAAGTTCATAATCCTGAAAAGAAATAATTACCTTCCCTCGGTAATCGAACAAAAGCAAACTCGATTTGCGATTCGTTTTTATTTAATTTTCGTTATTGTTTGTGTTGCCATTTTAGCAGTGTATTATGAAAGAAAAAAAAAAATAAATTATAGATTACTATATATTTAGTTTACAATAAATATATTATATTTTTTATTTAAGCTATTTAAATTATTTAAATTTATTAAATTATTAATTATAAATATTTTTATATTTTTTATTTAATTATATACGATCAAGTACAGTAAAATTATTATGAAATACATCATATTCGATAAGAAATCTATTTTAATTTCATATTTTATACCAATTATTAATAATTATAAAATTAAATCTAATCAATTTTTTCCTACTAATAAAATACTATTTTGATTATTTATTAATTCATTTATTTTATTAACATGATTAAGAAGTCAATCAATTGAATATCCGTGTATTTATTAAAGATAAAGAAGTTATTATTGGTCAATTTATAAAGCAAATTTTAATGTGGCCTCTTTTTTAATCGACATATAATGCCAAAGCAGAATTATGTTTTTAAAATGCATACGGTAATTATTCTTTATAGGTGCGAACATAATACCGCGGGTCCAGATTGCAACGAGTGTTTACCATTTTACAACGATGCTCCATGGGGGCGTGCTACAACTACAAACGCGCACGAATGCAAACGTGAGTATGCAGAATTATTTTAACACTTTTTTTGTGTATATTTTGGGTGAAAATATTTTTTAAATATTTTAAATAGATTTTCATTGTTATATAGTTGAAAATTGAAAAAATATATAATTAATAAAATAAAAAAAAGGTGTGCTTTAAACAGGGCGCGAACCAGTGTCAAAAAGTTTGCATCGTATCTACAATCAAGCCTCTTACTCACTGCACCATCATACCTTTTTGAAATACTGCTGATACTTCTGAATATAACGCGCATAGTACCTTTAATTTGGAGACTTATTTTTGTTTTTCTATTCTATACATCGTTCTACTTAACATAGAATTGTTTAAAACCATAGAATATAGTTATCCATTGAAGGGAATACAAAAATTCAAAGTATAAGTTGCTTTTTTACGTGAAAAAAGTCGAAAAAATCAGTTTTTGATTTTTGCTACTACGGCGCACCCTGTCAAAAAATCTGAGAAAATTCAGGGACATAACCAATGAGAATATGCATTTACAGTAATTATATAAATCTAGTGTCTCGAAAGCTTCAATACAAAATTGGTATTTTTCTGCGTTTTTTTGCGTTTTTAATTTTTCACACCTAGGATTTGGAATCGAAAAATCGGAAAAAATTCTTAAACACGTATCTCAATAGTCGCAATGCACCAGATTTTTTTCATAATTTTCATACTCGATTAAATAGGGGAAATAGGCACAAACTCGCTAAGCCGAATTTTCCCAATAGTTACCCTTCCGAACAAGGTAGAGGGTTGAAATTTGGCACAGAATGTTTTTTCTGCTGCTCTATCGATGGATTCATCGTATGTCAAATTTGGTTCAAGGGCACATTTGCCCCCCTTATTCCCCTTTACTCGACTGGGTTTTTGCAATTTTACTGTGTTTTTCTATAAGAGAATAAACACTTATTTCCATTGCTTTATAGATTTATTCAAGCATCTATCGTTTTAATTTCTTTGGTACAAATAAATACACTATAATTGTCATCGTTAAAGTGTAGTATACTGAACAAAAAATGAACGCTTTGACAGAGCATGTACTCATGACTATCCACAACGAACACGCACGTTCGGTGTAAGTGCGATGACGAGAGAGGATATCTTTGAAAGGTCGGCATCCTGATCAGTGTGTAGGTGGGCCTTGGCAAACCTGCTCTTCAAACGGTCGTTTTTCACCGTCCTATATCCGTCCTATATTGACTACAGTGCTCGGCTCAGTCTTATCATAAATTATATTTCCATTTACCTATTGTTCAAAACTGTTGCAAAACGTGTAATTGTTAATTTCATATACAGGGTGTTCGGCCACCTCTGGAAAAAATTTTAATAGGAGATTCTAGAGGCCAAAATAAGACGAAAATCGAGGATGCTAATTTGTTGATCGAGGATTCGTAAAAAAGTTATAGAAATATTTCCGGCCACACAGTATATTTTACTTCAAGAATTTTTTTCGCAAAAGTACGTAGGATTTCTGGGGTATTTGTATTCACAAAAAATGATTGTAATTGACCCCTTCAACCGGAAATAATTTTTCCCAGAACGATTTGTAATTTTTTAATTTTGTCAAAAAAGTCCACCTTTCTGAATTTTTATTTCGAAAGTGCGAAGGATTTCGAGGGTATGTGTATTCACCGAAAATTATTGTAATTGACATCCGCAGCCAAAAATAATTTTTCCAGAACAATTTGAAAATTTTTTTTTTCGCCGAAAAATTTCAGGAATCTACCCCGCCTATCGATTTTTCTTAAAAATTCGTTTTTGTTTTTTAGTAATTTTGTTTGACGCCCTATCGAAAAGTTGTCTAATACTTTTTTGTAGGTACCCATGATCTCTACTTCAAAAAAAAGTTTCATTGAAATATATTCACTATTGTAAGGGTTATGGCTGTTTGAAAATTGGACCATTTTTATGGGGGTTTTCTCACTTTACAGGATCAAGAAACAATTTTTTCAATATTTCGAGAATTTCTACATATTCTTCACTAAAATACGCGTCATATTTCAGTCCGTTCAGAAATTATGAAGTTTTAAAGATACGCAAGAAATTTACCAGTGACATTTCTGGTTTGAAATTATATTTTCAGTAAGGAATTTTTTTTTTGAAAATGGTTAGGATTTCGGCGATATGTCTACTGACCAAAAATGATTGTAATTAACCCCAGCAACCAAAAATAATTTTTTCAGAATGATTTGAAATATTTTAATTTAGTTGAAGAATTTCAGCACCTACTCGAATTTTTTTCTCGAAAGTGAGTAGGATTTTGAGGGCATGTCTATTCACCAAAAATGATTGTAATTGACCCCTGCAACCGAAAATAATTTTTCCGTAAATGATTTGAAATTTTTTAATTTAATTTTTTAATAATTTTTTAACGAAGCCTCCATCAACAAATTGATATTTTTGATTTTCGTCTTATTTTGGCCTCTAGAATCTCCCATCAAAATTTTTCCCAGGAGTGGCCAAACACCCTGTATTACTTTCACATTTCATGCTTAGCGTCAACAAGAAGAGAGTAACGTGTACATTGTATTGGAGTTATCTAAAACGAATCTTTAACGAAGAATCCTCCACAAAATATGGAGGTACCACTTTGGCAATGAAAACACCATAGTAATAATATTCTACTTGGCCTTGTTTCCGAGTTACAGCCATTTTTTATAATTTGTACAAAATATCCGCTTCTTTCTAGAGGAATTGTTCAAAATACAAGTTTTACTTTCAAATAATAATAAAATCCATTTCATTTTTATGTATAATTTTTCTTTGATTCAACTCTGAAGTTATACTTAAATTATGCTATTTTACTTATGTGTACGTATTCTCTTATGACGGAAATATCAATGACAATTTAAACAATGTTTAAATTCTTTACTAAAATTTTTCCATCTTTAGAAGTGAACTGAATTACAGCTGGAAATTAAAATTTAATTATACTAGAGATGGTCAAGAATATACAGGGTGGTCTATGCAACTTGTGCACCTCTATAACTTTCAAAGTATGCTCAAAAAAAATTTTGTTTAAATAGGTTGCACAGTTTTAAGGGTTGCATTATATATTTTTTATATTAAAATATGAAAGCATATCAAATTCTGAGTAGAAAAGTCTGAATTTCTATTAGTCATAAATCTAATAACTAATGAGTAATTTTACTTTATTTTTTGACAATTTTCCTCGCGTAATATCGAATTGGAGACACTTTTTCACTCAAAATTTGATATTCTCCCATATTTTTATATAAAAAGTATAGTATTATATTAAAAAAAAACAAAGTTGACCTTTAAATCTCTGAAACTCCTTCATTTATAAAAAAGACAAATGTACTACATAGTGTACCCCGTCAAACCATGCAAATTTTACATACAAAATTTTTTTGAGCAACACATATTTTGGAAGTTACAGAGATGCACAAGTTGCACAGACCACCCTGTATATGTGTGTTTTGTGTTAAACAAGTATCCATCGACAAAACATGAAATTTGAAAAAATATTTTGGAAATTATAGAGGTGCACAAGTTGTACAGACCACCCCGTATATGAATGTTTTATGTTAAACAAATACCCATCGACAAAACATAAAATTTGAAAAAATATTTTGGAAGTTATAAAGATGCACAAGTTGCATAGACCACCCTGTATATACATATATGTTTTGTGTTAAACAAATACCCATCGACAAAACATAAAATTTGAAAAAATATTTTGGAAATTATAGAGGTGCACAAGTTGCATAGACCACCCCGTATATGAATGTTTTATGTTAAACGAGTATCCATCGACAAAACATGAAATTTGAAAAAAATGTTCGTTGAGTTCTAAACAATTTATTTATAGGCCTGTTGCATTATTGTCGTTAAACAAGAATAGTGACCATTAACAAAACATGAAATTTGAAAAAATACTTTGGAAATTATAGAGGTACACAAGTTGCATAGACCACCCCGTATATGAATGTTTTGTGTTAAACAAGTATCCATTGACAAAACATGAAATTTGAAAAAAATGTTCGTTGAGTTCTAAACAATTTATTTATAGGCCTGTTGCATTATTGTCGTTAAACAAGAATAGTGACCATTAACAAAACATGAAATTTGAAAAAATACTTTGGAAATTATAGAGGTGTACAAGTTGCATAGACCACCCCGTATATGAATGTTTTATGTTAAACGAGTATCCATCGACAAAACATGAAATTTGAAAAAAATGTTCGTTGAGTTCTAAACAATTTATTTATAGGCCTGTTGCATTATTGTAGTTAAACAAGAATAGTGACCATTAACAAAACATGAAATTTGAAAAAATACTTTGGAAATTATAGAGGTGTACAAGTTGCATAGACCACCCCGTATATGAATGTTTTATGTTAAACGAGTATCCATCGACAAAACATGAAATTTGAAAAAAATGTTCGTTGAGTTCTAAACAATTTATTTATAGGCCTGTTGCATTATTGTCGTTAAACAAGAATAGTGACCATTAACAAAACATGAAATTTGAAAAAATACTTTGGAAATTATAGAGGTGTACAAGTTGCATAGACCACCCCGTATATGAATGTTTTATGTTAAACGAGTATCCATCGACAAAACATGAAATTTGAAAAAAATGTTCGTTGAGTTCTAAACAATTTATTTATAGGCCTGTTGCATTATTGTCGTTAAACAAGAATAGTGACCATTAACAAAACATGAAATTTGAAAAAATACTTTGGAAATTATAGAGGTGTACAAGTTGCATAGACCACCCCGTATATGAATGTTTTATGTTAAACGAGTATCCATCGACAAAACATGAAATTTGAAAAAAATGTTCGTTGAGTTCTAAACAATTTATTTATAGGCCTGTTGCATTATTGTAGTTAAACAAGAATAGTGACCATTAACAAAACATGAAATTTGAAAAAATACTTTGGAAATTATAGAGGTGTACAAGTTGCATAGACCACCCCGTATATGAATGTTTTATGTTAAACGAGTATCCATCGACAAAACATGAAATTTGAAAAAAATGTTCGTTGAGTTCTAAACAATTTATTTATAGGCCTGTTGCATTATTGTCGTTAAACAAGAATAGTGACCATTAACAAAACATGAAATTTGAAAAAATATTTTGGAAATTATAGAGGTGTACAAGTTGCATAGACCACCCCGTATATGAATGTTTTATGTTAAACGAGTATCCATCGACAAAACATGAAATTTGAAAAAAATGTTCGTTGAGTTCTAAACAATTTATTTATAGGCCTGTTGCATTATTGTCGTTAAACAAGAATAGTGACCATTAACAAAACATGAAATTTGAAAAAATACTTTGGAAATTATAGAGGTGTACAAGTTGCATAGACCACCCCGTATATGAATGTTTTATGTTAAACGAGTATCCATCGACAAAACATGAAATTTGAAAAAAATGTTCGTTGAGTTCTAAACAATTTATTTATAGGCCTGTTGCATTATTGTCGTTAAACAAGAATAGTGACCATTAACAAAACATGAAATTTGAAAAAATACTTTGGAAATTATAGAGGTGTACAAGTTGCATAGACCACCCCGTATATGAATGTTTTATGTTAAACGAGTATCCATCGACAAAACATGAAATTTGAAAAAAATGTTCGTTGAGTTCTAAACAATTTATTTATAGGCCTGTTGCATTATTGTCGTTAAACAAGAATAGTGACCATTAACAAAACATGAAATTTGAAAAAATACTTTGGAAATTATAGAGGTGTACAAGTTGCATAGACCACCCCGTATATGAATGTTTTATGTTAAACGAGTATCCATCGACAAAACATGAAATTTGAAAAAAATGTTCGTTGAGTTCTAAACAATTTATTTATAGGCCTGTTGCATTATTGTCGTTAAACAAGAATAGTGACCATTAACAAAACATGAAATTTGAAAAAATACTTTGGAAATTATAGAGGTGTACAAGTTGCATAGACCACCCCGTATATGAATGTTTTATGTTAAACGAGTATCCATCGACAAAACATGAAATTTGAAAAAAATGTTCGTTGAGTTCTAAACAATTTATTTATAGGCCTGTTGCATTATTGTCGTTAAACAAGAATAGTGACCATTAACAAAACATGAAATTTGAAAAAATACTTTGGAAATTATAGAGGTGTACAAGTTGCATAGACCACCCCGTATATGAATGTTTTATGTTAAACGAGTATCCATCGACAAAACATGAAATTTGAAAAAAATGTTCGTTGAGTTCTAAACAATTTATTTATAGGCCTGTTGCATTATTGTCGTTAAACAAGAATAGTGACCATTAACAAAACATGAAATTTGAAAAAATACTTTGGAAATTATAGAGGTGTACAAGTTGCATAGACCACCCCGTATATGAATGTTTTATGTTAAACGAGTATCCATCGACAAAACATGAAATTTGAAAAAAATGTTCGTTGAGTTCTAAACAATTTATTTATAGGCCTGTTGCATTATTGTCGTTAAACAAGAATAGTGACCATTAACAAAACATGAAATTTGAAAAAATACTTTGGAAATTATAGAGGTGTACAAGTTGCATAGACCACCCCGTATATGAATGTTTTATGTTAAACGAGTATCCATCGACAAAACATGAAATTTGAAAAAAATGTTCGTTGAGTTCTAAACAATTTATTTATAGGCCTGTTGCATTATTGTAGTTAAACAAGAATAGTGACCATTAACAAAACATGAAATTTGAAAAAATATTTTGGAAATTATAAAGATGCACAAGTTGCATAGATCACCCTGTATATACATATATGTTTTGTGTTAAACAAGTACCCATTGACAAAACAAAATTTGAAAAAATATTTTGGAAATTATAGAGGTGCACAAGTTGCATAGATCACCCCGTATATGAATGTTTTATGTTAAACAAGTATCCATCGACAAAACATGAAATTTGAAAAAAATGTTCGTCGAGTTCTAAATAATATATTTATATACCTGTCATATTATTATCGTTAGTCGTTACGTGTATGAAATATGCGAGGGTGAAAACATTCCTTCGTCATTATGGGGTATCACCTTCTCAAGCCGCAGAGGAGAGTTTGCGTCCACGATCACGTTGGCATTACCTAACCAGCTTTACCTTTTACGTTCATTGCTTGTCCCGAAGTGGGGATTGTTGGCAATGCAGGGGCACACAATGCAGCTTTTCTGTAGACCGCGAGAGCTCAGTGCTCAAGATACCGCGATACAAGCGAACATTATTTATTTATCGCGTTTATCGATACACGCAATTACACGATATTTTGCACGGGATCGATTTGAGCAGAAAACACGTTCGCGATACCGCGACCGTCAATTTGAAATATAAACCTCAATCGTTCGACTTCGTTTAGTTTCCGTACCTTTGATCGATTCTCTATCGATCGATCAATGGGGACCGACGGCGGAAACTTTTTCCACGAACATTATTAAATGTTCTTACCATCGTATCGAATTCTCTAATTATATCGCGCGAAGTTTCATATGTTTCGTGAACAATTTACACCCAATGGGAAACTGTTGATCATTGAAATGAATTCATGTATCAAGTGAGAATAATCGAACTGAATCACATTCTCGGTTTGTTTAAGATATTTTGCGATGGAGTGTTTGTTGTTAAAGGTGATGTTAGTCGTGACTTTATTATTGAAGAACGTAACGATATCAACACCATCGCAATGGGACGGAATTCTTCCGTGGTACTCGGGATCCAGTAAATATCTAGATAATGTTATTATTGACCTTTAAAAAGATTCGAGTCGTTGGTTGAGTACTTTCTAATAAGTGTCACGTTTACTATACATTTTATTTCGATTTTATGACGTTTGTTATTTTGTCGTTTTTCAGCCTGCAATTGCAATGGGTATTCGGAGAGATGCTACTTCGATAAGGAGCTGTATAAGGCCACTGGCCACGGTGGTCATTGCCTGGATTGCCGTGCTAATCGTGACGGCGCGAATTGCGAACGTTGCCGGGAGAACTTTTACCAGCGGCCAGAAGACAACTACTGCGTCACCTGCAACTGCAACGAAATCGGTATACAAAGAGACACGATCATCGCGTGATCGCATTATGAATTTCAATTTACAAGAGATGGTCACGATCTAAACAAACGTTTGTTCTAATCGAGATTAGCGACGACACTCGAACAATACGTACAGTGCCGATTATAGAACGAACAAAACAGTATTTGTACACTTAATTTTACTCTAGTAACTTTTCATAAGTGTCATGACTATAAAATCACTCTAAAATTTTCAATTTTGATATGTTGCTGTTAAAATAATGAAAAGCAAAGTATACTATATTTGAAACTGTGTTAAGAGACGATATTTTGACAAAGAAGGATAAATTGTATCCAGTAGAAAAAGGAAGAATTACAGAAGATTGATTTATTCTTGTATCATAACTACATTACACTTAATTTTCACCTAGTAACTTTTTATAAGTGTCATGACTATAAAATCACTCTAAAATTTTCAATTTTGATATGTTGCTGTTAAAATAATGAAAAGCAAAGTATACTATATTTGAAACTGTGTTAAGAGACGATATTTTGGCAAAGAAGGATAAATTTTATCCACTAGATAAAGGAAAACTTACAGAAGGCTGATTTATTCTTGTATCATAACAACATTACACTTAATTTCCCTCTAGTAACTTTTTATAAGTGTCATAACTGTAGAATCACTCTAAAATTTTCAATTTTGATATGTTGCTGTTAAAATAATGAAAAGCAAAGTATACTATATTTGAAACTGTGTTAAGAGACGATATTTTGACAAAGAAGGATAAATTGTATCCAGTAGAAAAAGGAAGAATTACAGAAGATTGATTTATTCTTGTATCATAACTACATTACACTTAATTTTCACCTAGTAACTTTTTATAAGTGTCATGACTATAAAATCACTCTAAAATTTTCAATTTTGATATGTTGCTGTTAAAATAATGAAAAGCAAAGTATACTATATTTGAAACTGTGTTAAGAGACGATATTTTGACAAAGAAGGATAAAATTGATCCACTAGAAAAAGGAAGAATTACAGAAGGTTGATTTATTCTTGTATCATAACAACATTACATTTAATTTTCATCTAGTAACTTTTTATAAGTGTCATAACTGTAAAATCACTCTAAAATTTTCAATTTTGATATGTTGCTGTTAAAATAATGAAAAGCAAAGTATACTATATTTGAAACTGTGTTAAGAGACGATATTTTGACAAAGAAGGATAAATTGTATCCAGTAGAAAAAGGAAGAATTACAGAAGGCTGATTTATTCTTGTATCATAACAACATTACACTTAATTTTCCTCTAGTAACATTTTATAAGTGTCATGACTATAAAACCACTCTAAAATGTTCAATTTTTATATGTTGCTGTTAAAATAATGAAAAGCAAAGTATACTATATTTGAAACTGTGTTAAGAGACGATATTTTGGTAAAGAAGGATAAATTTTATCCACTAGAAAAAGGAAAAATTACAGAAGATTGATTTATTCTTGTATCATAACTACATTACACTTAATTTTCACCTAGTAACTTTTTATAAGTGTCATGACTATAAAATCACTCTAAAATGTTCAATTTTTATATGTTGCTGTTTAAATAATGAAAAGCAAAGTGTACCATAGTTGAAATTGTGTTAAGAGATAATATTTTGTCAAAGAAGGATAGATTTTATCCACTAGAAAAAGGAAGAATTACAGAAGATTGATTTATTCTTGTATCATAACTACATTACACTTAATTTTCATCTAGTAACTTTTTATAAGTGTCATAACTGTAGAATCACTCTAAAATTTTCAATTTTGATATGTTGCTGTTAAAATAATGAAAAGCAAAGTATACTATATTTGAAACTGTGTTAAGAGACGATATTTTGGCAAAGAAGGATAAATTTTATCCACTAGATAAAGGAAAACTTACAGAAGGCTGATTTATTCTTGTATCATAACAACATTACACTTAATTTTCCTCTAGTAACTTTTTATAAGTGTCATGACTATAAAATCACTCTAAAATTTTCAATTTTGATATGTTGCTGTTAAAATAATGAAAAGCAAAGTATACTATATTTGAAACTGTGTTAAGAGACGATATTTTGGCAAAGGAGGATAAATTTTATCCACTAGATAAAGGAAAACTTACAGAAGGCTGATTTATTCTTGTATCATAACAACATTACACTTAATTTTCCTCTAGTAACTTTTTATAAGTGTCATGACTATAAAATCACTCTAAAATGTTCAATTTTTATATGTTGCTGTTTAAATAATGAAAAGCAAAGTGTACCATAGTTGAAATTGTGTTAAGAGATAATATTTTGTCAAAGAAGGATAGATTTTATCCACTAGAAAAAGGAAGAATTACAGAAGATTGATTTATTCTTGTATCATAACTACATTACACTTAATTTTCATCTAGTAACTTTTTATAAGTGTCATAACTGTAGAATCACTCTAAAATTTTCAATTTTGATATGTTGCTGTTAAAATAATGAAAAGCAAAGTATACTATATTTGAAACTGTGTTAAGAGACGATATTTTGACAAAGAAGGATAAATTGTATCCAGTAGAAAAAGGAAGAATTACAGAAGGCTGATTTATTCTTGTATCATAACAACATTACACTTAATTTTCCTCTAGTAACATTTTATAAGTGTCATGACTATAAAACCACTCTAAAATGTTCAATTTTTATATGTTGCTGTTAAAATAATGAAAAGCAAAGTATACTATATTTGAAACTGTGTTAAGAGACGATATTTTGGTAAAGAAGGATAAATTTTATCCACTAGAAAAAGGAAAAATTACAGAAGATTGATTTATTCTTGTATCATAACTACATTACACTTAATTTTCACCTAGTAACTTTTTATAAGTGTCATGACTATAAAATCACTCTAAAATGTTCAATTTTTATATGTTGCTGTTTAAATAATGAAAAGCAAAGTGTACCATAGTTGAAATTGTGTTAAGAGATAATATTTTGTCAAAGAAGGATAGATTTTATCCACTAGAAAAAGGAAGAATTACAGAAGGTTGATTTATTCTTGTATCATAACAACATTACATTTAATTTTCATGTCGTAACTTTTTATAAGTGTCATAACTGTAGAATCACTCTAAAATTTTCAATTTTGATATGTTGCTGTTAAAATAATGAAAAGCAAAGTATACTATATTTGAAATTGTGTTGAGAGACGATATTCTGCCAAAGAAGGATAAATTGTATTCACTAGAAAAGGGAAGAATTTATAGTAGGCTGATTTATTCTTGTATCATAACTATAAAATCGGAATAACGGGGTATTCTTATTAAACAAATTGTTCACTTCATTGAATTAAGTTATAATAATAATTTAGTAACGTGTAGGACCTCCCTTATTTTCAAGAATTTCAATTAGTCTATTTTTTATACTTCTTATTAGATTTTGTCGTGTTGTATTTTGTATCTCGCCCACGCTCTGTAATTGTATTTCTTAGTTCGGATATATTTTGATACTGTTTATTACTAGCATAAATTTATCGAACAACAATGCTCCAAAGTGTTCTGTACTAGATTCTGGTCTGATTGAACACGTGATTAAATAAGCATTGAAAGAAATGTAAAAGTACTTTCACATTATTTTTGTGAAAAGCTAAAATTTTGCCATTTTCTTGCTCACCACGTAGCATTATTAACCAAATTAATATTATCATATTTTCAACACACTGGACAAAACAAAACTGACGAAATATCGACAGAAAACAATATTCGAGTGCTTGGTTCTATAGTTATGAAACATTAACGAATCAGTTTTCTGTAGTTAATTTTTTTAGGATAAATATAATTTAACTATTTCTAAGGAAACATAGATTATTAACGTGATCTCAAATATGGTATATTTCGTTTCTTCAAATTTCAACAAGAATATACAGTGACTGTAACTTAAAATCATACACCTAGCGATTCAGTCAATATTTTTTCAATAAAACATGAAAATTGTACTAAATTATTGAAACTCATTTAGAGGCATATAGTCTAATGTTTCTTTATTTGATAGATAACAACAATATAAAAAAACCTTTAGTAGTACTCAGTAAATTAAATAAAAATTGAGGTTGTAAATGAAACTCAGTTGTCAGTAAAAATCGTACAAAGGAAATAAGATACAGTTTTAGAATAATATATAATAAAAATTGTTTATATTAATATTTAGTTGGATAACCAAATGCATTTTGAACACATTGCAGTCATCGAAGAATTGATTTTACTAAACTCTCACAAAATTCAGGTGTTATTTTTTACCATTCTTCTTGCAAAGCTTTTCCAAGGCTTTCCTTGTTTATAATATTATGTAATCTTACTTTTTTGTCCAATTCGTTCCAAATATGTTCTATGACATTAATATCAGGAGATTATGGAGGCGTTTGAAGAACTTTAGGGCAGTTATACAATAACCAACTCTTTGCTACATAAGAATTGTGCTAAAATTGTTTAAAATTCCAATTTTTTTGGCACTTATAACACGTTGACTACCAAACCAAACCCCTCAAATTAAATTTTGTTTTTAGACAATTGGAAACTAGCATACCAAGAATTTGTCATGAAATTTATTTTCACAGACTCGTTAAAATTCAAGGGCCCTACCTAGCTTTATTTTCTTTTGCATCTAATCTTGAGAATTAATTTTTTTAACTCCTTGGTAAAAATTCGTGTCATCCATATGTGGATGACATGGCAGTCAATATGTTAAATTATTTTTTAATATACTCAAATATGACCACTTATCCATTATATTATCAATAAATACCAGATTTTCAACACTAGATGCTGGCAGATTGATGACCCACTGGCAAATTGAAGTGTCACTGAAAGATTTTTAATATCCATAGCTGTATTTGGTTTTCTCCATACAATTATTCTTCCATCCGAATCGAAGATATTACATGTCGATTCGTCAGTAAAAGTTACATTTTTCCAAAAAGTTAACTGTTTCTTTTTATACTTCTTAGCAAACTCGTACCTCTTCTTTCTATTTTGCAAACTTATGAATAGCTTCTTTCGAGCAACTCTACAATGATACTTCTGTTTTCTTAATACTCTTCTAATGGTTGAATCACTTACTTCCTTATTGAAATATTTTTTAACTTCCAACGCTAGTTTTGGAGCACTAATCCTCGGATCATCCTTAATTTTTCTAACAGTCCATCGTTCATCCCTGATATTCAGTTTCATATCAGACCTCTCTTTTAATTTATTGACTACCCGGTCCTCTTCTTTGTATCGTTTTATTATACATTGAACTGTGCTTTTTTACTTCGATTAATAATTTTACTAATTTCATTATAACTTTTTTGTTTTTATATTGATAAATAACTAATTCACGCTTTGCTACTGTAGTTTGTCGCATTTTAAGTCTTTTTTATTGATTTTTTGGCAGAACAACGCATATAACAATCAGAATGTTGTTAAATCAGCTAGATTCAATCGTTGCTAATCATTGTTACACAAAAAACAATTGGGGATTCACCGGATTTCCAATGTTACCAACAGTGTACGATTTTTACTGACAGCTAAGTTTCGTACGCAACCTCAAATTTTATTTAATTTACTGAGTTCTACTAATGGTTTCTTTGTATTGTTGTTATGTATCAAATGAAGAAACATTGCACTATATACCTTTATATGAGTTTCAATAATTTAGTACAATTTTCATGTTTTATTGAAAAAATATCGGTTGAACCGCTAGGTGTACGATTTTAAGTAACAGTCACTGTATATTTCCTTAAAAACAGTCAAATTATATTCATAGAACCAAGAACCAATTAATTTGGTTAATAATGCCACATGAAGGTTATTTAAGTGAGCAAAAAGGAGGCAAAGTTTTAGATTTTCACGAAAGTAATGTGAAAATACGTGAAATTGCACGTAGATTTATTCGTTCTCACAATGTTGTGACGAATTTTTTTATGAATCCCTATCAATATGGGTAAAATGAAAACAGGGGGCCAAAGAAGCTTTCTCCCTGATCTCAACGTTTAATTCTTAACACAGTGAGCAATTCCAGAAAAACACTTATTGAAATAAGAAATATGAAAAATCGACTAATTGAAATTCTTGAAAATAGGGGAGATCCTACACTATATTTGTATAATTTCTGTAATAAGAATACCTTGTCATTCTGGTTTTATAGTTATGGTACAAGAACAAATCAGCCTTCTGTAATTTTTCCTTTTTTTATTGGATACAATTTATCCCTCTTTGGCAGAATATTGTTTCTTAACACAATTTCAAATACGGTACGCTTTGCTTTTCATTATTTTAACAGTACCACATAAAAATTGAAAAGTTTAGAGTGGTTTTATAGTAATGCTACACAATAGAGTTTCCTCTAGTAGCTTATTACATACAGAAGCAATATCTTTGTTTACAGCTTTTAATATTGTGGCACAAGAAAATAATGCAAACGAAACGGAAGTAAGTTTTACAGGCTTACGATTTCGATAGTCTGTGATTACGAACTTCGCTAAATAAAAGTAAAACAAATTGTAGGTTTATTGTAAAACATATAAGTAAAAAGAATGCTACTACGAAAAGACAGTTATTCTAACGTTTTCGAACTTCGTTCTTTGTTGGATTTGTTTATGCGTTTTGAAAAGTTCTGAATATTCCATATTTCTGTGCGTATAAATAACTGAGATACAAACAGTAGAGTTAGAATAATGTTTATATGCAAATGGAATTTCTTACTATAACTAAAACAATGTAATTAAATCAGAAAATATTTATTTACAATATTAGTTAGTTGACAGCCTGATAGTAGTTCATAAATCAATTACAAGAGAAAGATAATTATAACGACGAAGAATAATACTGATTAACTAACATTTCAGGTTCTAGAAGCTTACAATGTAACAGCGAAGGAAAATGCCAATGTAAACCTGGTATTACGGGTGACAAATGTGACCATTGCGCAACAAATTATTATAACTTTGGCTCATACGGTTGTACTTCCTGTGAATGTGACGTAGCTGGCTCCCTGTCAAATACACAGAACTGTAATCCTGCCAGTGGCACTTGCATCTGTAAAGAGAACGTTGAAGGAAAGCGTTGTCGAGTGTTAGTACAAATTATTAAATTAAAATTTCAGTAGCCTATTAGAATCTCCATTATCTGTACTAAATAATAGGTAGGCATGATTGTTCCGATAAATGAATATTTGAATAATAGTGTATTTAATTTTAACCGATGTAATTGAATTCGATTGAATATTAATAATAAAAGTGATCAAATAAGAAGTATTATAATAAATTGATATGGTCAGAGTAAATTGTCCCCATTACAGAAGAATATTTCAATAATATTTTAAAGGCAATAAAGTGCTCAGACAGTAGCGTATTCTAATAATGAAGATTCAAACAATGGTAGTTCTAATGTGGTATACTGTAGAAATAAGAAAACAAATTACACATTAAATTAGCTACTTAATTTATCGTAATTCGAGTTAATTCGCTTACGCTGTCCTGATGATAGATGTCGACCAGGATACTTCAATCTTGCGCTGGACAATGAGTTCGGTTGTACGCCATGCTTCTGCTACGGCCACTCTTCAGTGTGCAGACCAGCAACCGGATATTCGAAACTTGTAATCGAAAGTATGTTCGTGAGAGCAGCTGAACGATGGACAGCTACTGTGGCTGGCAACTCAATACCGCTTCATTATGATCCTCTTACTCAAACAGTATCAGCCACGGCACTGGACCGAGACAACGTCTATTTCGTTGCACCTGGTAAATTATATAAACATTCAGTAAACAAGTTTACGTGCTTCTCTTATGCAATTTTTAATCAAAATTATAACGATGGGAAAGAAAATTTTAATGAAAAATTAATTATGTGCAGATAGATTCCTTGGCGATCAACGAGCCTCGTATAATCAAGATTTGTCATTCACGTTAAGAATCGGAGAGGTTGGGCCAGCGCCCACTGCCCGTGATCTAATACTCGAAGGAGGAAACGGTGAACAAATCACGCAACCGATCTTCGGACAGAATAATCGTTTGCCTACTGTAACAGTAAGTAAAACGACAAAGCAACGAAGCGCGTTAGTTCTAAATTGACCATGAATCGTTACAGCCGCAAGAATATCATTTTAAACTGCACGAGCACCCTAACTATGGATGGGAACCACGTCTGTCCTCCCGAGCTTTCATGTCCATCTTATCAAATCTAACAGCTATAAAAATTCGTGGGACCTATACGCATCAAGGTAGGATCGATTACAATCTTTAAAACGTATGTTTATGCTAATAAAGTATCTAATACACTTTGCTTTGCTTTCACAGGCAGGGGATTCTTGGACGATGTTAAGCTGGAGACTGCTCATCGTGGAGCTGCTGGTGAATCCGCTGATTGGATAGAACATTGTCAATGTCCCCACGGTTACGTGGGACAATTTTGTGAATCTTGCGCGCCCGGATTCCACCACGACCCACCAAACGGTGGTCCTTTTGCTCTCTGTGTTCCTTGCAATTGCAATAACCATGCTGATATTTGTGAAGCCGAAACTGGTAATTATTTAAAATAGAATTGATCCTTTCAAAATGTATTTTTACATTTACTTACACCCTTGAATTTAATTTATTTCAGGTCAATGTATTTGCCAACATAATACAGCTGGTAGCAATTGTGAATTGTGTAAACGTGGATATTATGGTCACCCATTGAAGGGAACACCTAACGATTGTAACCCCTGTCCTTGTCCTGACAATGGACCTTGCATATTGCTTGGCAATAAACCAGACCCAATTTGCTCCGAATGCCCGTCGGGTAGAACAGGTAATGACTGAGCGTTTAAAACGGTGGTTTTCAAAGTAGGGGACCTGACATTATGGGAGGGGGAGGGATACAAAGGGTTAAAAAATGTGATTCATGCGGTGCATAACTATAGCACCATCCAATTTCTTTAATATTTCGGACTTCTGATAAATGCAAGAAAATTGACTACATAAGTGTAAAGTGTCTGATAAATAAATTCAGTTTAATAGTTTTCAAACTTCTACGATTAATTTTCTTGCATTCCAGCTCAAAAATCCAGTACAGTAACAAATTTTGGCGATGCTATAGTTGTGTATCGCACTGCATAAATGCATTGATCATTTGAATTAATAATTAGTAGGAGTATATTTTCTTTATTTTATTTGGCATATACAAGTGGTGGAAAGTAATTAGTGCGAGGATTTTTAAAGTATTTAATTTGGTCTAAAAAATTTGGAAACCATTGTTTTAGTATATGTATTCAATGCTCTTAACTAATAATTAGTGATCTGTTATTATCGTTATCTTCAGGACCTAGATGTGAAACATGTTCCGATGGATATTATGGAAATCCTGAGAAAGGTGTTGACTGTCGATCTTGCGACTGTAACAATAACATCGACTTGAATGCTGTTCGAAACTGCGATCATGAAAGCGGCGAATGTCTAAAGTGCGTGAACAACACAGCTGGTTTTCATTGCGAGGAATGTCTTGCAGGTACACAATATATAAATTGACGCATAAGTTTCTAAATATTTGCAAATTGGTTTTCATCCAACTGACATCGATCAAATGATTAATGGTATTCACAACTTATGGTAATTGTCATGGTTGAAAGATACAATACCGCGAATACAGCTTTCAATATTGTTGTGTTATTAAATCCAAATTTATTATATCTTTTTGCTTGATTCAAAATTTTCTAACGTAAGAATAACGTAGATTTCTTTATAAATAATAATATTTATTCTTAGGGTACTATGGAGACGCTCTGTCCGATCGTAAAGAAGATGGATGCAAGTTGTGTCAATGTTATCCACCGGGTACCATCGAACTTGACGATGGCAGAGTAGCGCCTTGCGAGCAGTTGACAGGTCATTGCAGGTGCAAGCCTCATGTAATCGGTCGCAATTGCGATAAATGCGAAGAAGGATATTATCATATACTGAGTGGCGAGGTATTTCAAATTTTTTATGTAATAAGTATTTCTTATTTAAAACATATGATAATAACGTATATACATATTTATACATTGTGTCTCACGGACTCTATCCGCTTAAATATCTTGATTATTTCAAACAATGCAAGGAAATGTTACTTACAGAAGTTGTAGGGTTTAACAAAGTATCGTCCTTCCACGAGAACAAGGCACAGCGTGTTTACATCCCCACTCCTGTCTCAGTCCGCTGATTGGCTGTCACTGATTTTTGTCACTGTTTTCGACCAATACCTGTGAGGCAGCGGTCTGCAACAGAAGTGGGGATGTAAACACATTGTGCCTTCTCGTGGAAGGACGATACACAATATGGTATTGTGGCGTCGCTTCCCATGCTCGCCACCAGAGGGGTCGCGCTCTCACAAGCGCTCGACCAACTCCTCGGTTGCTATACAGGGTGTTCGGTCATCCCTGGGAAAAATTTTAATGGGGAATTCTAGAGGCCAAAATAAGACGAAAATCAAGAATACCAATTTGTTACATATGATAATAACGTATATACATATTTATACATTGTGTCTCACGGACTCTATCCGCTTAAATATCTTGATTATTTCAAACAATGCAAGGAAATGTTACTTATAGAAGTTGTAGGGTTTAACAAAGTATCGTCCTTCCACGAGAACAAGGCACAGCGTGTTTACATCCCCACTCCTGTCTCAGTCCGCTGATTGGTTGTCACTGATCTTCGTCACCGTTTTCGACCAATACCTGTGAGGCAGCGGTCTGCCACAGAAGTGGGGATGTAAACACGCTGTGTCTTCTTCTCGTGGAAGGACGATACACAATATGGTATTGTGGCGTCGCCTCCCATGCTCGCCACCAGAGGGGTCGCGCTCTCACAAGCGCTCGACCAACTCCTCGGTTGCTATACAGGGTGTTCGGTCATCCCTGGGAAAAATTTTAATGGGGAATTCTAGAGGCCAAAATAAGACGAAAATCAAGAATACCAATTTGTTACATATCATAATAACGTATATACATATTTATACATTGTGTCTCACGGACTCTATCCGCTTAAATATCTTGATTATTTCAAACAATGCAAGGAAATGTTACTTACAGAAGTTGTAGGGTTTAACAAAGTATCGTCCTTCCACGAGAACAAGGCACAGCGTGTTTACATCCCCACTCCTGTCTCAGTCCGTTGATTGGCTGTCACTGATTTTTGTCACTGTTTTCGACCAATACCTGTGAGGCAGCGGTCTGCAACAGAAGTGGGGATGTAAACACATTGTGCCTTCTCGTGGAAGGACGATACACAATATGGTATTGTGGCGTCGCTTCCCATGCTCGCCACCAGAGGGGTCGCGCTCTCACAAGCGCTCGACCAACTCCTCGGTTGCTATACAGGGTGTTCGGTCATCCCTGGGAAAAATTTTAATGGGGAATTCTAGAGGCCAAAATAAGACGAAAATCAAGAATACCAATTTGTTACATATGATAATAACGTATATACATATTTATACATTGTGTCTCACGGACTCTATCCGCTTAAATATCTTGATTATTTCAAACAATGCAAAGAAATGTTACTTACAGAAGTTGTAGGGTTTAACAAAGTATCGTCCTTCCACGAGAACAAGGCACAGCGTGTTTACATCCCCACTCCTGTCTCAGTCCGCTGATTGGCTGTCACTGATTTTTGTCACCGTTTTCGACCAATACCTGTGAGGCAGCGGTCTGCAACAGAAGTGGGGATGGAAACACATTGTGCCTTCTCGTGGAAGGACGATACACAATATGGTATTGTGGCGTCGCTTCCCATGCTCGCCACCAGAGGGGTCGCGCTCTCACAAGCGCTCGACCAACTCCTCGGTTGTTATACAGGGTGTTCGGTCATCCCTGGGAAAAATTTTAATGGGGAATTCTAGAGGCCAAAATAAGACGAAAATCAAGAAGCCGAACACCCTGTATATTCAATCCTCGACCGACTTCCCAATATTTCAATCGTCTAAGCCCAGGGCCTGCTAGAAAGCTTTACTAATGGAGTCCACTAACAGGCCCGGACGAAACGTGCCTCCCCTTCTTTCCTTTTCTGTCCTACAAAATTCTCGGAGATTCTACCCACAGCAAAGCAGCGCCACAGTATAAATGGTATTCTCGCAAGTGGGGGCGTAGAGAAGATATAGAGGTAAATTTTGTTGTTTTTTTTTCGATTTCGACAGATTGGCTTATTCTGAATATGAAAGTACTAAAGTACGTTTGTCCTAAAACTTAACGTTTCTGAGATGTTTGACTGTTTTCATGAAGCACATTCGAAATTTTGGCTATTTGCAGCAATGTAACGTTATATCGTTGAACTGCTGCACGCCTTATTGTTGAATCGTCTGTTGTAGCATATGCTGCAATAGTTCGTTGTTTCGAATCTTCCACAGTTGTCAGTGCATCTCTATACACAATATTTTTCAATGCTCTTCTCAAGAAAATACTCAGGAATGTTAAACCTGGACTTCGTGCTGGCCAAGAAATAATGCCTCCGAGTTCTATCCATCGGTTTGGGAATACTGCGTTAAGTGTACTTCTCATCCTTCGCACATAGTGTGTTGGACATCCATTGTGCCGATATCACATTATCTGACGGATGCTTAATGGTACGTTCTCTAATAAATTTAAGAACGTATCATATTTTTGGTTAATAAAAGTGCCTATGATTCCACGCCACACATTAATTGACCGGTGTCTTTGATGATTAATTTAAATATATTCAGAATACGCCAATCAGTACATCTCTTCTACGACTCCACTTGCAAGAATACTATTTATACCATATTATGTACTTAAACTTCTGGGAGTAACATTTTCTCGCATTGTTTGAAGTAATCAAGATATTTAACTGGACAGAGTTTGTGAAACACACTATGTACATGTATATATATATATATTTAGGGATGTGCACCTTGTAATTGTGATCCTGAAGGATCTTACAATCGTACTTGCAACCCCATTAACGGCCAATGCGAATGTAGACCTGGTGTTACTGGTCAACATTGCGATGCATGTCTTCCTTATCAATATGGATTCAGCAGAGAAGGTTGTAAATCTTGCGAGTGTGACAATATTGGTTCTCAAGATCTGCAGTGTGACACTAGTGGTCAGTGCCCGGTAAGTTTGAAAATTATTTTAATCTAAGCATATGCAGTGAATTGTAGAGACTGACCGGTATAATTATTACAATACGATTACCAGTGTCTCACGAACGTGGAAGGAAGACGTTGCGATCGTTGCAAGGAAAACAAACATAACAGGCAAAACGGATGCGTAAATTGTCCGGATTGTTACAATCTTGTTCAAGATGCAGTCGATAATCATAGAGAACGTTTAGCTGAACTGGAAAACACACTCAAGAAAATTAACAGCAGTCCAACCGTCATAAAAGACTCCGACTTTGAAAAGGAACTGAAAAACGTACACGACAGAGTGAAGAATCTTTTAAAGATTGCGAAACAAGGATCTGGGAGTAAGTGTAACAAGTTCGTCTTTATTTAAACGAAATTACAAATAAAAATATTCCAGATGAAAATAAAACTTTGGTGGAACAACTCGATGAACTACACGATCAGTTGAATGAAATTGGACAGATCTCGCAAACGGTAGATTTAACTATTTCTGATGCGAACGATACTACTGCTGAAGGTTTGACGAGTATCGAGGAAGCAGAAAGAGTGCTCGACAAAATACACGCTCAGTTAACTGTAAGAATAATATTTGCACAGCTTTTAATGAAATTCATAAAAACGAGAATAAGTTTAAATGTAATTTATCAAAACGCTAGGAAGCAGAGGATTATTTGGCCACGGACGGGGCGTCTGCATTATTTGAAGCGAAAGTGCTCGCGGAACAAGTTGGCCAACAAAACAAACAGATGACCGCGACTGCGCAAGAAGCACGTGTATTGGCTGACTTGTAAGTAATACATAACTACACATTAGAGTGGACCTTAGTTGTACTTGACAAAAACTTCTTTTCGTGAGTTTTTTTTTGGAACATCCCCTGTAATTGTGACAAGAAAATAAACTATGCAAAATCTGAAATTGATCGGACAACGGGAAGACGTGGCACATAAAAGTTAAAAATTTGTTATTTTTGTAACACGTTTTTCTCTATCATATATTTTAGTACCTCTTTGAATTCGTCTTTTTACACTTTATAAGGACATAGAAACAAAAAGTAGAATTTTTTGTTTTTTATAAGTCGCGAGTCTAAAATTTCAAAAATTTATTGCGGAAAAAAAATATACTTTTCGTGTTATATTTACTTCATTAAATAGGACAAGTTTTATCTATAACATTTTTTTATATTAATTAATAGAAAATTTGTTCGTCGAAAGAGAGTTAACTCAACAAATTATTCAATTTTCACTTTGAATTTTAGAAACAGAAAAACAGCTGCGAGACTGTTATAGAAAGTTTTTGGAATTAGTAATTATTTTTCTGAGTTGGACGCTATGAAGAAATGTGTTCTTTGAACACTGTTTTGCACACGTTTCCATAAACTATTTTGTACGCATGAATTAATTGCAATATTAAATAATTAAGAAACTATAATCTTGATATACAGTGAGCATCAATATAAAGTTAACACTTGAAATTTTTAACTTCTCTTCGAAATAACTTAAAAGGTATGAAAGAAAACAAGAAAAAGGTGTATGGTATTGAAAGCTCAATTTGACTTCTATAGAAAACATATTTTTTTTAGCAATAATTTAACAATAAGCAAACATATAATGCAAAGAACAAAAAAAATCTCTTTTCCTTGAGTCAATATAAAGTTAACAGCCCTGCTTTTATGTACATAGTTATGACTATTGCAACAATTTCTGGTTATGTTGGCATCACTGTTTAGTAATATGATCTTGGAAAATCCCCATGTTTTGTTCCCATGGAAAAACAACAGAAGGAGATATTATTTGTGTAATCTCGAAATGGGTAAACAAGCAACTGTTGAAGAGCGTCAAATAATAATCGAAATGCATATAAATAAACAGTCCTTAAGAGAAATTGCTAAAGTTGTGCAAAGATGCCATGTGGTTGTGAAAAAGATCATTGACAAATATAATAATCTCGGATTATTAAGTAATATTGATCATAAACAGCAACCAAAGTAACTCAATGAGAGTAATACGAGACATATTTGCAGAAAAGTAACACAAAATCCTTTTTCGAGCGCTGTAAAAATAGCAGAAGAGTAATTTAAAGAAAGAAACGGTTAGTGCAAGTACAATCCATAGAAGACTGAATAGAGCCGGGTTATTTGGAAGAGTTCCGAGGAAGAAGCCAATGATTTCTGAGGTGAATCGGAAGAAACGGTTACAGTATGCTAAAGACCACTTCAAATATAATGAATCTTTCTGGAACGATGTTCTCTTCACTGATGAGAGCAAATTCGAAATCTATCAAGACAGAAAACCACCAAAAGTATGGAGAACTGAAAATAGTGTTTTGAAGGAACAGAACTTAGTCCATACAGTCAAACATGGAAGGGGATCTGTGATGGTCTGGGGGTGTATGGCTGCTTTCGGGGTTGGAAATCTCGTGTTCATTGAAGATACAATGAAAAAGGAGGATTACGTTGAAATATTGTGGAGAAACTTAGAGCCTCCTGTTATGAAATTGAATTCATCAAAAACATGGACATTTTAACCCCTAGCCTTACGATTTAATTTCCAACTGTGCGTGCCAAAAGCGACACCAAGGTTTGGCCCGGTAGAGTTGTCACGTCTCTGAGACGTCTTATTCATGTTTGGCCCGGTAGACTTATCACGTCTCTGAGACGTCATTGTGAGCTAAGGGGTTAAAGTGACAAAGATCCGAAGCATACATCACACATTGCAAAGGAATGGTTTCTGTTGCAATTTTAATCCGCAAATTGTGCCGTGATCTTGGCAGACACTCAATAATTATGTAGGAAAAAATAACCAACACTTATTTATTTATTGAATGTATCAAGAAGTTTAACAGAATTAAAAGGCGAATATATAATACAATATGAGACACACGTTTTTCTAGCGCACACCTTCTACGTGAACTTGAGACAAAAGAACGTAGAACAAAAGGTGGAGCATCTCTTTATACATGTTGCTTTATCGATTGGGTAACAGGTGTCGCCTTCATAGATGATAAGATGTCGCGTATTTCAACAGTTTCTTTACTGGATACCAAAACAATTAAAACATCCTCCGGAATCCCCAGACCTTAATCCCAAAGAAAATCTATGGGATTATCTGGATCGAAAAATACGAAAAAGAGAGGTAACGTCGAAAGAAACTCACAAGAAAGTTATTTTAGAAGAATGGAATCAAATTCCAGCAAATTCTATGTCTTCATTGGTCAAATCTATGAGAAATAGATTGACCAAAGTTGTAAAAAATAGCGGACGTTCAACAGAATATTAATTTCACAAAAAGAAAAGGAAAAATTGTTATTACCTATAGATATTAACTGTATATTGACTCAAGGAAAAGGGACTTTTTTGTTCTTTGCATTATATGTTTGCTTATTGTTAAATTATTACTAAAAAAAATATGTTTTTTATAGAAGACAAATTGAGCTTCCAATACCACACACCTTTTTCTTGTTTTCTTTCATACTTTTTAAATTATTTCAAAGAGAAGTTGAAAATTTTAAGTGTTAACTTTATATTGACGCTCACTGTATGTTACCTGGCGAGATTTGCATGGCACGCAGTCGTGGTATATTAAATAAACACTATAATTTATTAATACTGAACACTAAATTTATAATTTTAAATGTACATATAAATACGTGTAACTCTAGTTATACGCGCACAAGAACATAGTCCAACGTAATTTTAATTCTTTAAGAACTTTTCCGTTGTCCATTTTACATGACGGTTCTCGATAGAACATTCCACAAGAAAAAAAAGGAGAACGCATACGCGGTAACCCCCTCGTATTTATACACGTCTCGTCCAGACAGCGGTACCAACTACTGAACATGCAACTAGGGTAGCGAATATGATTTTACTAAATTATTTCACTAAAAAGTAGTATTTATTTCACGAAAATATGAAGTCGAAGACGTAAAAACGGAATCACTTAAATACCTTCGTTATTTATAAACATATAAAAAAATGTTATAGGTAAAACTTATACTATTTAACGAAGTAAATATAATGTGAAAAAGTATATTTTTTTTTCCACAATGAACTTTTCAACTTTTAGAATCACGACTTACAAAAAAACAAAAAGTTCTAAATTTTGTTTCCATATCTTTATAAAGTGTAAAAAGACGAATTCAAAGAGGTACTAAAATGTATGATAGCGATACATTTTAATGGAGAAGAACAGGTTACAAAAATAAAAAATTTTTAATTTCAGATTTTGCATAGTTCATTTTCTCATTTAGTGTCATAATTTTGGTGTTCCAAAAGAAGTTTCAAAGTTGAAAAATAAGGTTCACCCTGCTATAAATAGCTGATATTTTCTAATACAAGAAAACATCTATGACGCGTTTATGGTTCCATCTTTTTGCGCTGCAATACGCTTAAGAAAAGACAGTTAATCTCCACACATGCGTCTCTGTTTCAAAATCTATAAATAAATCAAATTAAATTTTATCATGATATATATTGAATCTTTTTTTACAGAAACGTTAACGAAGCTAAGAAGATTCATGCACTGGCAGAGCAAGCTCGGAGTACAACGATAGAAGCGTACAATCTTGCAAAGACAGCTATAGCGAAAAGCACCAATCTGACGTACGTACACCAGTGTTGTACGAATGACCTAAGCTTTGACGATTTCCAAAAAGTCGAATATAATTATTGTAGTGAATAGCGTATCTTTAGAAAATTTATTTTGTTTTTAGCGAAGATATAAGAGGTTTGGAGAATAAATTGGAGCTATTAGAGCGTAGTATGAACGAAGTGCAAAATCTTACCAGTATAGCAGCTAATAAATCATCCGCTGTTTCGCAGGAAGCAATAGACTCATTGATTCTCAATGTAGCACTTCCGCCTGTTGACATTCAGCAATTACAAAGTCAAGTTAAAGAGGTTAACAATGAGGTAATTTTCGAATCAAGGTAAACCATATTTATATAGATGCAAAGCTGAAACAACAAAAAATATCATTGCAGGGATTGCGGTTGAAAGAGGAGGCGCAATTGTTAATAGATCGGCATGAAAATCTTATAACCGAGATGGTAGAAAAAATAAAGAAAAGCGAAGAATTGCTGGACGGGGCGCAGGTTCAGCAAGCAGCTACTGCCGATCTTTTGGCAGAATTGGACAGAGCGAATGAAAAAGCAAACGACGCTGTGAAACGAGGTGACCAAACTTTAAAGGAAGCTCAAGAAACACTGAAAAAACTAGGCGGTATTTATCATTTTAATTACTATCATTGACAAACGCGATTAATACTTGTATGAGAATAGAAATACATAATATAACTTCGTAGAGTTTGATGCTGAAGTGAAACGTGAACGCATCAAAGCTCAAGATGCATTGAAAGGTATAGACGACATCTTGATGATGATTGCGGATGCGAGACGGCAAGCTATGCAAGCGGAGGAAGTGCTGATCGGGTCAGAAAATAACGCCAAAAATGCTCGTAAAATAGCGCAGAATGCTCAGGTACGTTGATTTTGTTTGTCGAACGTACGACAAAACACAATTTTCCATTTATTAAACGAAGAGTGATATTTTTAGACGTACGCAGAGGAAGCTAGCGCAAAAGCAAACGTTATTAGAACCGAAGCAAATAAGACCAAGGTAGAAGCACTTCGCGTAGGAAACGAGGCAGAAAAATTACATCTGAGGGTTGACACTACAGACTCTATGATGACAAAGTACGAAATTCAAATTGACCAGGATACGAATATCGCAACAGAAGTAAGATATCGGTCACGTGCAATGAAATTAATATTATAATTAAATAACATCCGTCACGTTATTAATATTTTTTTAGGCAAATCATAAAATTGGCCAAACGAAAATCAACGTAACCCTGGCAACGCAACAAGTGGACAAAGCATTAGCCGAAGTGGCCGAAATAATAAAAGACCTTGACAATCTGCCGAAAATAAGTACGTTCGTTTCTTCTTACCGATTCATTTAGTTAAATTATCATTGAATCGACGTAACTAACAAAATCTAAATCATTTCCAACTTAGATGAGACCGACTTGAACGATCTGGAAGAACGTCTAGTCGCGGCTGAAAAGGAGATCGCGGTTGCAAATCTGGATCAAAGGATCCGTGCATTAACGGATGCAAAGAATTTGCAAACACAGTGGGTAAAGAATTACGAGGACGAGATTAGTAGATTAAGAATAGAAGTTGGGAATATCGGTGACATAAGGAAAGTTTTGCCTGTCGAGTGTCACAAGCGTGTACGATTGGAACCGTAATTATTAGTATGTTGTAAACTATACGATACTTAAAAGTGCGATCGTTCCATTCTTTTTTTTTCATATCGCTAGAAGTGCCTTACGTGCATATAAAAAAAATGTGGATCGAGGAAGATACTTAATGAATATATTTTGAATCAATGTCTTTATAAAAACCAATATGGAACGCTGTACGTTACAGTTATATATTCAAAAATGGTAAAGAATATTTTTCATTCGAATAACAAAATTATTTCTCACTTTAGCGAATCGTTAGGTAAACAAAGTAATATTCTTTTCGCATTTATACTTACGTTATTTTATTTAACGAATCATTTAAAACTGCTTTTACATATATTTTTAACGATTAATTTCATGCGTGTACACGATACGAGTGATTGCAATAATGAACACTATACCAAAGATTTTATATAATAGAAATATTTTTTCCTCTGCTGTCATTACTAGGTCATTTGCGTTATTAAATTTTTCTAACATCTTTGTAACACGATTTCTTTATACTTGCGTACAAAACGTGTATATAGTATCTATGTACATTCGTTTTGTTGTAACTGCCATGTCTTTTTAAGTCTTTGTTTTTTTTTTAAGTTCTATGAGAGCTTCCAGAGTTCCTCCAACGAAAAGGCAAGTGTTTTAATTTCCAAATGTACAAAATTGAATGTATTACATTGCGTGACTTATTTATACGGTTGTAAGGGCAGAATAATGCATTACTTTTACATTCAAAAAAAGAAAAAAACATTTGAGTAATCTAAAGGAGAGCAATAGAAGCCTAAATATATTTTACAATATATATCGTCATAAAACTCTTTTTATGTATAATACTTTTATAAAAATATTGTTGTCTTATATGAATAAAAAAAATTAACAATCATCGAATAATCTGTGATTGCTATCTGTTAATATATCATTGATTCAAACCTGCGAAAGTGTAAAATAAAGTATCGTCCTTCCACGAGAAGAAGGTACAGTCACAGCCGACTCTAGTACTTACTAGCCGTGCTATGAAACGTGGCAACACCGCTCATGTGCGGATCGGGAGTCCTATTTTCAATAGTGGAGTTTTGTGTTCAGGATTATAATTAACGTTATTTTGCGATATAAAATTATACTAATATACAGTATTTTTTATTAATTATGTATAAGGAATATATGAATATCATAACTATAGTAAGTAGAAGTAATACAGAAGTATATTAATATTTATAAATGTGGTATATATTTTGTGGACTGTCGGAATAGTTTGGTGTTGTGATGCATTATATTTGAAATATTTACAGAGATTTCAAGAAAATAGAAGTGCGAAACAAGTTAAAACCATCTTTGAACCAAACTGAAGGATTTAAAAATTGATAAAGGTATGTATAAGTTAATAGAGACCTGAAATAGGCAAAATTATTGGTACGAAGCCGAACAGGTTAAGTGCCCGTGGAAAAGAGGTTAGCATAATTAGCTACTGAAAGGAACAATTATGGAGTTAATTATAAAATCGTGTTAGAGGACAGTATGATAATTGTGAAAAATTTCCTTACCACCCTAGGGGTATTTACCATGGCGCGTTACCTTTTTTTTTTATTATAATGGGTGGTTCGCCAATAGCCATATCATCCCATTTTCTAAAATAAAATTAATATTTTTAAATAGAACATAACAAAAACATAACTTTTGTATTCTTAAAGTAATAAAGTATTACATTTTGAAATAATAATAAATAATTTTGAATAATATTAATAACAAAACACATCAAAACATACTTTGAAATTCTCTTGAAATACAACTAATAAAACTTTGAATCTTGTGAAATAGTATTCATAATAGGACTTCCTTTTCCGGTGTGAGAGTGTAGAGACGGTGGAGTGAACGGTGCGTGTGAAAGAGGTGAAAAAAGGGTTTGGCGGGAAGGGTAGGGTGTGGAAAGGGTGAGCGGTGGTCTGGGGTGAGCAGGTTGTGAAGGGTGAGAAAGGGTGAGGGAAAGGGCGTGGTGGGAAAGTGGGAAAGGCAGGTAGAGAGCGGGCAATTTGAGGTTAGGGTTAGGAGAGAGAGAGTAGAGTGTGAGAGGGATAGGCGGTAAAGCGCGGAGAGAGAGAGGTAGGTGGCGACATCGGGCGGCTGGGAGGGAAAGTAAGCTAGGAGCGGGTGGTAAGGAAGGGAAAGGTGCTTTTGTGGGTGGATAGGAGGGTTAGGAAGAAATGGCGGGAGGGAGAAAGGGTGGAAAGGGGGAGGAAAAGGGTGATGACAAGGGGTTAGGGGAGACGAAGGAAAGGGGGAGGAGGATGTGAAAAAGAGAGGGAGGAAGACGAACGCAGAAAGGATGCGGAGAGAGAGGAGTACGAGTGGTGGAGGCACGCGGGAGTTGACGGAGTTGTGGGGGAGGGGCGGTGAGAGGGAGGAGGGAGAGCGGGAGGAAAGGGGTGGAGGAGGCGGGGAGGAGGCGTTCAGGAGGAGCAACAAGGTGCTGAGGTCGCCGGAGGAGGGAAGGGAGAGTGGGGAGGGGAAGCTGGCTATACTGATGAGAGAAATGAGGGAAATGAGGGAGGAGGCGAAGGAACATAGGAGGGAGGCGAGGGAGGAGTTAGAAAGAATGAGAGGGATGATGGAGAGTTGGGAGGAGAGGTGGAGGGAGGAGAGAAGGGAATGGGACGAAAGAATGGAGAGATTAGAGAGAAGGGTGGGGGAGGTGGAGCGGAAGGAAGTTAGGTGGAAGAGGGTAGAGGAGAAGGTAGAGGAGCTGGTGGCAGGAAGGGCAGGGGAGGGACGAGGGGAGAAGGAGGGCGGGGAGAGAGAGGGGGAGGAGCGGGAGGCGAGGGTGCAAGAGTTAGAGAGGAAGGTAGAGGGGAAAGAGAGGGAAGAGAGAAGGAGGAACGTGGTAATAAAGAGGGTAGGGAGGGTGGGAACGGCCATGCAGAGGGCGAGGGAAGTTTTGGCAATGGTAGGTGTGCAAGGGGGAATTGTAGGGGCAAGGGAGATAGGAGGAAGAGGGCAGGAGGGGAAGGAGGCGATGTTGGTGGTGAGGTTGGATTCGGTGGAGGCAAAGAGGGAGGTCATGAGGTGCAAAGGGAGGTTGAGGGGAAGGAAGGAGAGGGTGGAGGATGATTTGACGTGGAGGGAGAGGAGGATGCAGTGGCATCTTAGGAGGATAGGAGAGGAGGAGGAGGGGAAGGGGAGGAGAGTGAGAGTGGGCTATGGAAAGGTTATGGTGGATGGGATGATGTGGTTTTGGGACGAGCGGAGGGAAGTTCTCAGAGACTGGAGGGGGAGAGAGAGAGGAGGGGCAGTGAGGGAGGTAAGGGAGGGGAGTGGGGAGGGAGGGAGGAGGGTGGAGGGACAGGTAGAAAGAAGGAGTGAAGAAAGAGGGGGAGCAAAAAACTAGGAGGAAAGGAAAGAAGGAAGAAGGGTGAAGGGGGGATGGAGGAGAGGGGAAGGGAGGGAGGAAGGTGGAAGATAGGCTTTTGGAATGTGGCGGGGGTGACGAACAAGGACACAGAGTTCTGGAAGGGGTTGGAGGAGTGGGAGGTGGTAGTTTTAATGGAGACGTGGTTGGAAGAGAAGAGTTGGGAGGGCGTTAGGCGTAGGCTGCCAGTAGGGTATCGGTGGAGAGCGCAATGGGCGAAGAGAAGAAATAGGAAGGGGAGGGCGATGGGAGGCATGGTGGTAGGAGTGAGGGAGGAGATGGTAGGGAGGGAGCAGCAGGGACAGGGGGAGGAGGAGGGACTGATGGTGGAGAGGGTAAAGGCGGGGGAGCAGGAGTGGGCGGTAGTGGCGGTGTACGTGAACGGGGATATGGAGAGGAAGTTGGGAAGTATCAGAAGGTGGATGGAGGGGCAGGAAGAGGGAGGCAGGGTGGTAATAGGGGGGGATTTCAATGCGAGGACGGGCAGGCAGGGGGGCAGGGTAGAAGGAAGGGAGGAGGAGGAGGAGGAAGGGGGAAGAAAATCGAAGGACAGGAAGATAAACGGGGACGGAAGGAAGTTGGTAAAGTTGGTAGAAGAGACAGGGTGGGAGATTCTGAATGGGAACGTGGAGGGGGATGAAGATGGGGAGTTCACATACACGGGAGGGAGGGGGGAAACAGTAATAGATTATGTGCTGGGGGACGAGGGGACAAGGAAGGGGCTGGAAAGGGTGGAGGTAGGGGAGAGAGTGGAGTCGGACCACCATCCGGTGGTGGTGACGATGAGAGAGGGGGGGGTGGGGGAGAGGGGTAGGAGGAAGAGAGATAGGAAGGTGGGAGGAGGGCGGTGGTCGGGAAGGATGAAGGAGGAGTTTGAGAGGGGGATGGGAGGGGTGGCCATAGGAGGAGGTGGGATTCAGGAGGCGGTGAACAAGGCGACGGAAACGATAAAGGAGGTGATGAGGAAGGGGGAGGAGGCGGGGGGGAGAGAGGAGGGGCGTAGGAGGGAGGGGTGGTGGGATGGAGAATGTAGGGAGAAGAAGAGCGAGTTGAGAAGGGAGCTACGGAGGTGGAGGGGAGGGGAGGGGAGTAGGGAGGACTACAAGAGAAGGAGGGGGGAGTATAAGGAGCTGTGCGATAGGAAGAGGGAGGAGGAGAGGGAGAGGCTGGTAAGGGAGGTGGCAGAGGCAAAAACGGAAAATAGGGTGTGGGAAATAGTGAATAGGGGTAGGAAGAAAAGGAAAGGGGTGGACGAAAGTATAAAGAAGGGGGAATGGAAGGAACATTTCATGGGGCTGCTGGGAGGAGTGGAAGATAGGGTAAGGGTGGGGGGAGAGGAGGACAGGAGAAGGGGGGAGGAAGAGGGAATAAGTAAGGAGGAAGTGAGGAGGGTGGTGAGAAGGTTGAAGGAAGGAAAGGCAATGGGAGGGGATGAGATCCCGAATGAGGCTTGGAAGTACGGGGGAGAGAGGGGTTTAGAGTTGGCATGGGAGGTATGTAGGAGAGTGTGGGATGGGGAGGGGTGGCCGCAGGGGTGGAAGGAAGGGACTATAGTACCGGTGGCGAAGAAAGGGGGCGGGAAGAGGTTGCAGGATTACAGGGGGGTTACGCTGATGCCGACCTTGTATAAGGTGTATGCGGCGGTACTGTTGGGGAGGTTGGAGCGGGAGGTGGAGGTGGGGGGGATGATTCCGGAGAATCAGGCGGGGTTCAGGAGAGGGAGGGGTACGGTGGATCATATCTACGTGTTAGTATTCATAATAAAAATATACTAAGCAAGTAAATAAAACTCTATTAATGTATTAAAACATATTGGAAGGAATAAGTTAAATATATATAAAAATTAATGTTTTAAGAAAGATGAAATTAAAAAAAATCATTGAAAATCTAGTTCCTATTAAAAGTTTTTAATTCACGATTTTTAGAAGTAATGTCTGTACGTGTTTCCAACTGACTATTATTTACAGTTTTCACATAATCGTTTAATAAAATATTTGAAAAAATTGATAATAATTTAAACCAAATACTTTGGTAAGCTCGACCACAAACGCATGTATCTGAAAATGCTAAATAATGTATGTCTGATTGAATGCTAATATATGTTAATTTACATAAAATATGTTTATGATTTCCAGATTGCAAAAATTGAGATTCTAAATTGCCATCATTTATTATGGCTTCCATTATTCCATACATATGAATAAATGAGGCTATCGCTTCTTCAGTGGGGACAGAAAGGCCCCCTCTTTGTAAGCGATCAAAATATACATCGCCTACAGTTTTACCTTTATCCTCCACAACTAATAAACGACATATATTGCAATTTAATTTTTTAGCAACAGAATGGGACCCATATCCAGAAATATAAATTTTAATGGAATCATCTACAACACAATCGGACAAGTATTCGGTATCGAAGATTCCTGAGAAACAAGTCACATCAGTGGGAAGATCATGAAGATCGTTATTATTGTCATCACAAATTCGAAATTTATTTTTGATTTCAGTAAGAGAAAACGAATTTGCCGATTTTGTAAATATATGTTTTAATCTAATTTTTTTTTCTGCATGAATTATTTCGTTATATGACACATGATAATTACAACCAGATAAAAAGTCTATAATTTCCAAATCGTTTTTCTAATTTTTCGGTTGTAAAATGGAGGGTACTACATTCCTTATAAGCCTTGGACATCTCAACAAAACATTCTCCAGTACACCAGTGGGCGATAGAATACCGTGGTACCTTTCAATATCAGTTTCTGCAAAATGCAAACTACAGGCGGCAGAATATTTTGATGGTGTCCAATTCTTACGAGGAATAGCAACCCTCCATTTCTCCCGCAATTCCTCATCTTTGGGGAATAAAAATATAGAATTGTAATTATTATCTTTTAAGGTACTATCACAATTTCCCTTGCAATTGGGAACACAGCAACGCCGTGGCATTATTAATGAATATGTGAAATTTATAAAAAAAATGTATATAAAACAAAATGTCCAAAAATGGATTATATTAAATAAGTGTGCTACACACCAAAATCAGGATCTGTAGAGTTAATATAAATAAATGAAACACCTGGATTATTGCTCCGTTGCTCACATTTAATGGACTTCAGTACATTAATATTTGAAACATTTGAAAGATAGGCGGGAGACCGGAAGGCCGGTAGATGGAGCCTATGTAGCCCGGTGGGTAGTGGGAGGCTGTTGCTGTAGGTTGGGCTAGGTATATCGAAGCCGGACTCCCGCGGTGTTGCTATTTTTTTTATAGCACGGCTAGTACTAGAGTCGGCTGTGGTACAGTGTGTTTACATCCCCACTCTTTCCGCAGTCCGTTGATTGGCTGTCGCTGATCTTCGTTTTCGACCAATACCTGCGAGTCGGCGGACTGCAACAGAAGTGGGGATGTAAACACGCTATGCCCAGTGATGGACATTCGTGGGATTCCTTTCTGCGCATGCGTAAGCTGACGTCACAGCTACCTGTCGTGGGCTACCATAAATGTATCTTTAGCGCAAAAAGAGGTGCATGTTGGGAATTTCCATGTTTTGTACAAAATTGAATTTTCTACTTCAAATGTAATGTAAACACGCTGTGCCTTCCTCTCGTGGAAGGACAATAGATCAGTAATAATGTTTCTCCTTTTCCCCAAACATTATTTGATGTTAGAGTCGGCGCAAATTTCGTGATATTTCAAATATTTTATGCTCTTTGGGAAGGAAATTCATAGAAACTCTGTTAAAAATATAATAACTGTCAAGTATTTATTGTAATGGATCATAAAATATCGCTATCAATAATTTGTTATTAAAACATAATTTAACACATTCGACTAAATGCTATGAAGAAGAACCAATAATTCTTATGGACGCTAAGAAATTAAATGATTCACTTAATTATAAATAAAATTATTAGAAACACCAATATAGCAGTCAACACTCCAATGGCTACCCATTGTCTCCGATCTAAAACAAACGGAAAGTAACATCACATGCGTCACTTATAAAAAAAGTTATAGAATCAAATTATTTTATCGTTGTTCTACGAACAGAGATAAAATTTAACAAGTAAAATACAAATACTGTATAAGAAAAATCAATGCACATATATTTGGCCCTTCTTCAAACAGTGGATATCGTACATTATTTTAAACATGCACTTTTTCAACAAGCTTTTCGTAACAACACTAGAAAATTTTGATCGATACTCTGCACTTAAGTAAAGACTTATACATCCGAAATTTGTTACGGAATTAGAAAAAAATAACGCATTTTAAATATTTGTTGTTGGTAATAAATTAAGTGCAAAGAATCAATTTCGTACTTTAAATAATTCCTTAAAAAAAAACAAAAAAAAACACTAGATCTGAAGTTATTCGTAACTAACGATTAGTAACTGCAACATTAAATTAACTTATGGAAGCTCCAAAAACAATAATTCTTATATGTATTAATTTTTATATAAATTATTTTCATATGAACATACGTAAGCATAAATTTAAACAAAATGACACATCTATAAACGCACATTCATAAACATATTTCAAGTGAAAAAGACTGTAATTCCATGGTTGAGAGATTTTATAATACAGATTAGCAAACATTCTAAAACTAAACACAGCTATCAAATTAAGATGTTTAAAAAGTTATTTTCAATTAAAATTAAAGTGTATCATTTGTAAATTGTATTCTCTCAAGCACCGAACTTAATGTAACGAATTCTTACATAATAATCTTACTTCTGTAATTGTTATTTGAATAGTTTGAATGGGTCAGGAGTTTGCGGTACTTTACAGCAAATGTACAATATAAATAAAGTCGCAAATTTTATTCATCTGTATCTATTTTCACAATTGGTCATTTATGAGAAATAATATAAAGTGTATCCTTTCATTTTAGCTTTTTGTTACATACTAGAATAAATAATTTCTCTTTTGGTGTGTATTCACAATGTTATATTAATAACACTCTTCTAACAATGGAATAAATATTTTCATTGTCTAATTTATCAATTCTTTTTTTTATTTTTAATTCTCAAATCTAATCTTCCTGTAATGAAACTTCGAACTACCAACCACTAAATTTCATAGTATTCGCGAACGATTTCGTTTCCATTGTGAAACCAATCAATCAGCAGTCATCATTCGTACAAATAATTGCTTTCACATTTTTCTCCCATTTAAACATTTTCTTCTTTCAAACGTTATATTTTTCATTTACATCCATTACACACATAAACTGACTGGTATATTCGCAAATGTGAATATCTCGCAGTATTGTGCACTAAACTATTTTCTTTATCTACGCATTAATTAATACAGTAATATCACATGTTGTACACATTGGAAGTAGAATATCAGAGGTTTCAAATCATACTGCAAATGGTCTTCTAATATTACATGTATTTACCTATACGTTCATTACGTTAAAGTTTCTCTTAGGCACAAATTACTTGCGCTACTTTTCCTGCTTTTGACACTTGCCTTACAATATTTGGCGTAACTTTTGTTAAATCTGATTGTAAATGAGGTACTTAAATACAATCCATTATTTATCTACAGACTTTTGACATACAACGGCTTAACAATATGTCTCTGATGCTATTATCGAATTGCAACGTGCTACACTTGTCAATACCTATCGTACTACATAGATAATGGTTATTTATGACTGCGAATGGTCCATTTTGATATTATACTTCTGTTATTTACTAAATTTAAACGAACATCAAATTTTGCGAATTGCCAATTTCGTAATTGTTTGTATATGTGTATTTAACGATCGTATTGCTAAAAAATTAATATTCTTTGTGTATGTTTACCTCACTCACAGCGAAAATATAAGCAGATATAATTCTTATAATATGTTTAAATGAAAATTATGTAAAGAAAGCATAGAAAATGAATAGACGATAGATAGGATTTGAAGTTAAGTTTAGGTTTCCATATTAATCGCTATACAATTTTATAGTTTATATATTTAAAAAAAATAGCACAGGAATATTCCAGTATTTAGGTAATGATTACTATTAAATATCTGTACTAATTATTACTTTTATTTTATGTTCTTAACATATTTTATCTATACTATTAACATTCTCTTAAAACGTAAAACATTTTCTTTAAGCGAAAAAAAAAAGAAAAATAATGAGAGAGAAAGAATATAAATTTTTAATATTTCTATTTGAGCAGAAATCAAAAAGTGTTTTGGAAAATTTATTTCAATTTATGTTTGCTGAATGATTAAGTAATAAATATATACTTTATTAACTTTCATTTTAAATATTATTTTAGTCAGATTTCTACTCTCCGATAAATCACTGGATTAATTGCATGTCTGTATAACCCTATGCACGTTTAACAGGGGAAAAATAGAAAAATATTTTAAAGGTAAAACAATGCTATTAGTTTCGATTAGTTTGGTAAGTGTACATAAAAATTGTTTATCGACAATGCTAGTATGCAACGTTATAAAGACAAAGTGAATATCAACTTTTGTTTTAAAAATCCCATCATTTTTCAGTAGTTACATTAAATCGTTATTAATTTGAGTATAAATCAAACGCAAATAATACAACTGAATATTATAAATGTACTCCGATGAAGTAAACAGTTAAGCGAAAGAATGTAAATAATGTTTTAATTTTATAGATTTACTGAATAATTATGGTACGATTGTGGTAACTGTACCTATTTAATCTCCGGAACATAAAAAACAATTAGTTATTGTGTTCGATAAAGACGATAGAGAAGAAGGTTTAGAGGCAAGATCAGAAACACTAGATGTTGCAGTAGTAGGAGCAGGAATGTAATTATTATAGTTACCATTACTCATATGAAGAACTTTGGCCATTTTTTTCATTGTTGCGTCCAATTTAGAATCTGTCACCTCTAACTCATTACCAAATTCATCTAGCATACTGAAATATAAACCAACCAATTAGATAATATTTTCATTATTAACACATTCCGCGCCGTACCATCTTTCGAAGACTTTCTGGTCAGGCTGCACCGGGCATATACGACCCATGCTTTTACGATTTAAAATATATGATTGTTTTTGACGTACGCCTTACAATTTCTCAATAGTATAAGTAGCAAGAAAAGGAAATAGATTTTAATATGCATTAGACAATAATGCAATAAATTTTTAAGAAATTATTCTAGCAAATGCATGGTCGAACGATTATTCTACTAGAATCGTTAGCAGCCTGAACGAAGAAAGTTCAGCGGGGATTGTATACGCCCCACAAGGCACGGAACGTGTTAATATTATTAACCCCTTAGCTTACAATGACGTCTCAGAGACGTGATATGTCTACCAAGCCAAACCTTGGTGTCGCTTTTGGCACGCACAGTTGAAAATTAAATCGTAAGGCAAGGGGTTAAGAATTAAAAGGTTTTTAGGCGATAAACTTACACAGCTTGTTCATCTAATTCAGTATTGATTTGTCTAGATACTGTTTTAAGAGAACCGATACTTTCTCCCATCATGTCCAATTGCTCGTCTTGTTGTCTCATCATGTTATTCTGTTGCTGTAACGTGTCTCCCAAGAATTGCCTATTCGGGCTATCAATTTCATTTTCCAATTTACTGTACTTAGTCGTGCCATGGTTAACAGGAACTCGTGCAGGACTGTTATCCAATAGTGGCTGCGATACGAATGCATAATTACATATAAAATTAGATAAAAATTTAATTCTTAAATTAGCGATAACTACTTAATCATTAAATTACGCGACTTCAAGAATCAAAACATTTTTCGTAAATCGTTATGTAGCAAATAATAAATAATAAATGTAATTAATCGTAATAAAATTACTTCCTAATTTCGTTTTCTGTACGATCGATGATAAGAAGTATTGATTTACCGTATAAACCATTTCCTTATTTCTGTGGAATTTTTTAGAATAGATTTATATCGTAGTCTGATTCGCGCTAATTTATTCGTAATACTATAAAAAAAAAAAAGAACATACCGTAAGTAAAAAAAGAAAACAAACAGGAATTACTTCTAATGCCGCTGTTGCGACTAACGTTCACAGCTGATTAGCATTATCGGCGATTTGACAGTTACTCTCGTAGATGTCGCGACGTTCGCGATTTTATTTTACAAGCGAAATTCAAAGAAATAACAGGTCAATTCATGTAAACTTTTACTTCCGGTATTTGTTAATCGTATCGTAATAAATTTTGATCACTACAAAACAAAATATAAAGATGAAAATTAAACAAATTCTATTATTACGTTATATATTTTTATGCTCATAAATAAAATTTAATTGTAACACACCTGTCTTGCTGTACTATCGCGGTCCCGACCTCTACTTAAATTCATCTTATCCTTCATGATCTATAACAAAATATCGTTTAAGGTATCAAAATTAAGCTACGAATCACACTTGTATATGTATACAGGGTGTTCGGGCACCACTGGGAAAAAATTTTAATGGGGGACTCTAGAGGCCAAAATAAGACGAAAATCAAGGATACCAATTTGTTGATGGAGGCTTCGTTAAAAAGTTAATAACAATTAAATTCAAGAATTTCAAATCGTTCTGGAAAAATTATTTTCGGTTGCGGGGGTCGATTATAATCATTTTTGGTGAATAGACATACCCCCGAAATCTTGGGCATTTTCGAGAAAAAAATTCAGTACTGGCGGAACTTTAAACGTTAATAACTTTTTAACGAAGCCTCAGTCAAGAAATTGGTATTCTTGATTTTCGTCTTATTTTGGACTCTAGAATCCCCCATTAAAATTTTTCCCAGGGGTAGCAGAACGCCCTGTACAAAAAAAAAATAGTAAATTTAAAAATAGTTGATATTGTACGTAACACGCTTTACCTTCACTTCTTCTCGTGTTTGTTCGATAAAGCTTCGTTGAACCGTTAACTCCTTATTATCTATTTTAAATTTCGTCGGATTCTTTTTTACGATACGTATATACGTACATAATGTTAAGAATAATATAGAGCATAGAAATTTGAAATGTATAAAATTATAATCTGTAAATTATTGGATTAACGATAAGAGCGTTTCGTCATATCTTGAATCAAAACAAATCATTTTCACATTTGCGTTCTTTATTTAAGCGTAAGATCTCAATAGTACATCTTTAACATCGTAAGTGAAAATTTAAAAAAAATTTTTTAAATTAAAATTCGTGTTAAAATCGTATTTTGGTCCATTGTTGGGGCAGGGCGCTAAAACACCTAGGCACGTCCATGACAATACTAACTTTTCGAGGTTAAAGTTTCAAGAACTTCAAACTCGACGAAGGTGTGAAAAAAAGAAAATGAAATAATTTTTTTTGTAAATGTATCACGTACATCGTGTGTAACGTATACACGCATTAAAGGATATGGATCGTATGTTCTAGATCATCCAAATCCCATTCGATCGATCGTAATGCTTTCTGCAATTCTGTAGTCGTCCACTCTAATTCGTCGCGCGAGATCGGGATTCCCCCACTCACAGTAGGGCTCGTGACAATAACATCCTGCAATTCCGTCCAGCGCCCGTATAAACCGCGATTTTTATTCAGGGCCTTACAAACTTCGCTAAAATACAGAAACAGAATTATCGATTCCTGATACAAAACGGTATAATAATTTTAATTAGTCGCAACTACGTACTATTTCGTTTGCAAAAATTCTTTATCCTCGTACGTTGAAATCTAACGACTATCGCGAAACGATCGAGATAAAATATCGAGTTATCGAATATCGAAATAATCGAATCATTTAATACTTGACAATAAAAAATTTTTATTTATCGATCTCTTTTGTGCTATCGGTACCGATAATCTTTGAGCGATAAATTTCATATGATGAAATATGTATCGTATAAATAAAAGCATAACGTAAATTACAAAGGTTATGTAACTGCATCACAATTTCTAGTAAATTATGTTTCTACTTCTCCAATAAATCAGTTATTTTATTAATCGTTCTATCGCTTGCGATTAATCAAAACTGTATTTATATAAAACTAAGTACTTATTGTATGACAATGGGTAAAAACATCACTTTATACATGAAGTAATAATTTTACCCGCTTATAAAAATATAAAAACAGACTATTTGATTTCTTTTTCGCGAAAATGACGAACGTGTTCGTAGATTTTATAAATTTCGAAAACAAAATTTATAAAATCTTGAACCATTGTTGAATGTATTCAATGCTGCTCCCGATAAAAATAACAAGTCGAACGTTATATAAATACAACAAAACAGAAAAATATGTAAAATGTTGAGATTAGAGGTGTTTACAATTTATGTACGACGAGATAAGATTTTATGCAAAGGGATTGGTCGTAAAACGTATGTAAAAAGTATCGCGAGTTAGTAAGTTTTTGACGTATCGAAACGTCAAAAGTAAGGTTCCTTTGTAACGCAGCTCGCGACTATTCTTGAAGGGCTGACGTATATATACAACAGCAATGTCGCGAAAGGTACAACAAAAGTTCAAACTTGACAACCGTGTAAATTTCGTGGTCATCGGGATTGTTCGATCGTCGACGAATTACGTACGGTTGCGAAAAAAAATTAATAAGCAAAAGTGTTCGTGATTGTTAAGTTTTACTTACTCCTTGACGACAAAGAACGGATTCTCCAGCGTCATTCCTTCTTTTAATTTAAAGAGGTGGCCTTTCTCGCCGCCTCACGGCACCCATAGGAATACGTATACGCGATTTGCCGATCATCGGTAGAAATTCCGAACGATCTCAATGAAAGCACCGATTGCCCTCGTAAACGACGACAATAATCGAATTGACACTTGCTCGCGCCCCACTGTTACGCTACCACGCGCCGTGGTGTATTGTGACGCCTGCTCCGAATCTTTCTGCAGACGACTATTTATTCGATTTTAACGTTCGTGCGCAAACACGCCTCTCTAAGAGCCACTGTGATATTGATTTCGCGTCGAAATGCATAAAGCGAGGTTCACAGTCGCCGGGGAACGGTGCAACTAATAATCGAAACGCCAATGAAATCTGAAGAATAATTATTTAAATATAATCTTTAATTACGACCTAAGAGTATACGATACTAATATTTACTATCGTTTAAATAAATATTCTCAACTGTTTGATAGTACTTTTACTTTCTATTGCCATCAACTGAACCTGAGCAACAAGAGACTAATTAATAGTTGCGTGAGTTTTCAATAAATTAAAGTTTAAAGTCGATGTCAACAGATTCAAGAAAATTAGAATTCAAGAGTAAAACTTAGTAAAGATAATTCCGCCACACAGCGCCATCTTTTGGCGAGCACGCCAAAATATATATGTGGTTTCGTATGAGGTTGGCCCTCGTTTCTTTGCGTGATCTCATAAAACAAGCTAGGCCACAGCCGACTCTAGTAGTACTAGCCGTGCTGAAGGTAAAATGGCAACACCGCGGGAGTCCGGCTTCGATATACCTAGCCCAACCTACCGTAACAGCCTCCCAGCCTCCCACTACCCACCGGCCTCTGGGCTACATAGGCTCCATCTACCGGCCTTCCGGTCTCCCGCCTATCTTTCAAATGTTTCAAATATTAATGTACCGAAGTCCATTAAATATGAGCAACGGAGCAATAATCCAGGTGTTTCATTTATTTATATTAACTCTACAGATCCTGATTTTGGTGTGTAGCACACTTATTTAATATAATCTATAGCATTTTTGGACATTTTGTTTTATATACATTTTTTTTATAAATTTCACATATTCATTAATAATGCCACGGCGTTGCTGTGTTCCCAATTGCAAGGGAAATTGTGATAGTACCTTAAAAGATAATAATTACAATTCTATATTTTTATTCCCCAAAGATGAGGAATTGCGGGAGAAATGGAGGGTTGCTATTCCTCGTAAGAATTGGACACCATCAAAATATTCTGCCGCCTGTAGTTTGCATTTTGCAGAAACTGATATTGAAAGGTACCACGGTATTCTATCGCCCACTGGTGTACTGGAGAATGTTTTGTTGAGATGTCCAAGGCTTATAAGGAATGTAGTACCCTCCATTTTACAACCGAAAAATTAGAAAAACGATTTGGAAATTATAGACTTTTTATCTGGTTGTAATTATCATGTGTCATATAACGAAATAATTCATGCAGAAAAAAAAATTAGATTAAAACATATATTTACAAAATCGGCAAATTCGTTTTCTCTTACTGAAATCAAAAATAAATTTCGAATTTGTGATGACAATAATAACGATCTTCATGATCTTCCCACTGATGTGACTTGTTTCTCAAGAATCTTCGATACCGAATACTTGTCCGATTGTGTTGTAGATGATTCCATTAAAATTTATATTTCTGGATATGGGTCCCATTCTGTTGCTAAAAAATTAAATTGCAATATATGTCGTTTATTAGTTGTGGAGGATAAAGGTAAAACTGTAGGCGATGTATATTTTGATCGCTTACAAAGAGGGGGCCTTTCTGTCCCCACTGAAGAAGCGATAGCCTCATTTATTCATATGTATGGAATAATGGAAGCCATAATAAATGATGGCAATTTAGAATCTCAATTTTTGCAATCTGGAAATCATAAACATATTTTATGTAAATTAACATATATTAGCATTCAATCAGACATACATTATTTAGCATTTTCAGATACATGCGTTTGTGGTCGAGCTTACCAAAGTATTTGGTTTAAATTATTATCAATTTTTTCAAATATTTTATTAAACGATTATGTGAAAACTGTAAATAATAGTCAGTTGGAAACACGTACAGACATCACTTCTAAAAATCGTGAATTAAAAACTTTTAATAGGAACTAGATTTTCAATGATTTTTTTTAATTTCATCTTTCTTAAAACATTAATTTTTATATATATTTAACTTATTCCTTCCAATATGTTTTAATACATTAATAGAGTTTTATTTACTTGCTTAGTATATTTTTATTATGAATACTATTTCACAAGATTCAAAGTTTTATTAGTTGTATTTCAAGAGAATTTCAAAGTATGTTTTGATATGTTTTGTTATTAATATTATTCAAAATTATTTATTATTATATCAAAATGTAATACTTTATTTCTTTAAGAATACAAAAGTTATGTTTTTGTTATGTTCTATTTAAAAATATTAATTTTATTTTAGAAAATGGGATGATATGGCTATTGGCGAACCACCCATTATAATAAAAAAAAAGGTAACGCGCCATGGTAAATACCCCTAGGGTGGTGAGGAAATTTTTCACAATTATCATACTGTCCTCTAACACGATTTTATAATTAACTCCATAATTGTTCCTTTCAATAGCTAATTATGCTAACCTCTTTTCCACGGGCACTTAACCTGTTCGGCTTCGTACCAATAATTTTGCCTATTTCAGGTCTCTATTAACTTATACATACCTTTATCAATTTTTAAATCCTTCAGTTTGGTTCAAAGATGGTTTTAACTTGTTTCGCACTTCTATTTTCTTGAAATCTCTGTAAATATTTCAAATATAATGCATCACAACACCAAACTATTCCGACAGTCCACAAAATATATACCACATTTATAAATATTAATATACTTCTGTATTACTTCTACTTACTATAGTTATGATATTCATATATTCCTTATACATAATTAATAAAAAATACTGTATATTAGTATAATTTTATATCGCAAAATAACGTTAATTATAATCCTGAACACAAAACTCCACTATTGAAAATAGGACTCCCGATCCGCACATGAGCGGTGTTGCCACGTTCCATAGCACGGCTAGTAGTACTAGAGTCGGCTGTGGCTAGGCTAGATATTCCCATGTGCTTGTATATCATGTAAACTTCATTACATATTTTAACTTGTTACTAATAATAAAGGGTTGTGTGAAATAAAACGCTGACGTGCAATACCAAACATTTATAAACACTCAGATTGGACGAAAATTGAATAGATCTTTACTGAACGGACTCTGGTTAAGTAGTATAATGACGTGTTGATTTTCAATTTTACGTTAGTAATATAAATAATACAATTTTGTTTTACGCCAACCTAATTACATGGATTTGAATATTATTAATTTTATATTAAAACAATATCGTGATTATACGAAGCGTTCTCAGATTTAATTTGCCCTCCAGAATTAAGCATGAGCATGGACGTTATACAATCTAACCAAGCTATGTTCACGCAAGAATGAGATCGAAAACATGTAGTCGGGAGTTATAACTAGAGATGGCGTGCAAAATCACTAACAGTGATTTATCACAGAATCACAAAATCATGATCACACTCGTGATTAAACTCCATTCACGACCGTGATTCGAAAGATGGCGTTTTTAAAACTAACTAGAAACTAACAAAAACTAGGGACTTAACTAGATGGCGCTTGCTACGCCTGTGACGTTAGCCGCCACAGTTCATGTTCATGTTAATTGTAATAGTTAGTGTTCCGTTAATTCCCCTCAGCGGAAATTCAAAGAATTACAAATGCGCCAAATTTAAATTGTATAGCAATGAAAAAGGCTGCTTAATTGCATATTTTGTACATTTCAAATGTCAAATTGTTTCAGTCGATTATTTAAATAAATGATAAGTTTGTTGCCACGAAAAAGGAGTATTGCTTAAGTGTAAAACGCTCGCTTTAAAAATAAGAAAAAGTATAAAATCATCAGTAATGAAAATTCTTATGTTCATTTATATGAAAACATACGTATTATATATTTATATACGTTTTTATATATTAATATGACATTTTTATATTATAAAGAAATAAGTTAGAATTTAAAATTACAAACAGGTTAGTTTTGCATATACATTACTTTGTTGAAAAATTTCACGAACATTTATGAAACGAATGTTGAAACAATGAGAAATAAAACTTATACTTGCATCTGTTTATCACTTTTAATTTTTCCTTTTCTTTCTCCTAATAAGAAAATTATGTTAATATTGCTTTTAGACCATATTGTAATGTAATATTACGACTCTCTAGCGTGGCGTTCTACACAGCTGCCACTCTATCTAGGGGTTTACCCTAGGTCGCTAGGGAAATGTTCCTAGTGACCCCTACAACGTGCTTGCATGAGCGAAGAAGATGCTTGGTAATTTTCTCCTTAAATAACTAAATTAGTTACCGGTGCGTCGCGGCGTAGTAAACACTGAACTGTACAATTTCGCGGCAATCTTTTGAAAACGTGCAAGCGGAAGAATGTGTTTAAATAGTTGTGCATAACGTGAATGTATTATGTTAAAAACTGTTCTGTTATTCCTTGAAGATTCATTATAGACGAGAACGGTACACGCAAATCCAGTATTTAAAGTGGGTGAGTGAAAAAGTTCTATTCTAATTGTAAATGTTTACGTTTGTTGGTCATAACCTCCTTTCCTATATGTAGATACAAATGAATTTACTACACACGTTACACGTTTGCAATAACAGTTTAATATATATATGTATATATATCTTTACATATTAAATTTTGTTAACGCGAAATTAGATTATTAAAATATCTGTGTTTCGTATATAGTTTTTATTGACATTAGAGCAATTATGCATAGACTTTTACCATAGGTGTTCTACGAGTACCAGAAAATATAACATTTACAAAGCAGATATCACATGTTCATAATTATATAGACAGTGGGGGTTATCCGTTAAATAAATAAATAAATAAATAAATATCAATATCAAGTAGTTTGAACATAAATACATGTACGTTATATATTTACTCTTTTCTATAGTATTCTTTTCATTATTTAGAATATACACAATGAACTATATCCAAAATGTTTAGTATATTTGTAGCTTTAAATGAATAAAGTTTTTCCACGAGTATCGTATCTTCGGAAATACTTAGAAGAATAAAATATTCTGTATATAATCTTCCACGAGAACTTCAAAATCTCTTTTATCAAGCCAGTAAGAGTGCATCGACTTACTTAACAAGTTTAAGATTTACAATTATATTACAGGCATAAGCATGCTTGCAAGGAATATTTTTTAGGCATTAAATACGTATCTCTGGATTAACACGATATAATACCTGTCATAAAATAAACTTCGTATTCGCCTAGAGACATAAATTATGCAATTTAATGAATATGCGTGTTTAACATAATCCGCCTTCATAGTCATCTTCATCGTTTCCTGTACTCTGCGAAGGCGCTGCTGATTGTTCTTGATCTTTTTGAGTTCTTTCTTCCGATGGTTTCTGAATTGTATCTTCGGATACTCTGCCACTTGTACTCTAAAAGGTAATATCCTTTATTGCAGATTGCAACTATTGCTGTGTTACTGCTAAGAAACACCGATTAATAGATGGGATAAGGTTAACGTATATATTACGTACTTGTACTTCGTTTGTAGTTCCATCAATTAATTTTGACGCATTAGGAGATGTATACGAATCAGCTGCATTTGCTCTTACTCCTGGTGGCTGTACTGCATACTCTTGCTGCGGTAGAGGTATAGCTCTAGCAAGTTTAGCGTACTCGACATCCATGTGTTTAATAAAAGAATCATTTAAAGCTGCTTTAGCAGCGTCTGCATCCTCATTATCGTATGCTTGTAATAACATTTCTAACGTATGTATCTGAAGATAAATATGTTAAACGTTTAGGAAGAAAATTTAAAATTTGTGTAAACTGTACTTTATACCTCGGTTGGTTCGCAGTAATTCCCCCATTCTTTGAAAGCTTTCTCCGCAGCCACTTGATCACCTCGAGCTAACTGTACCAATACTAATGCCACTGTTAGTCTTCCCACGGAAGCTACATGATCTATCTGTTGATGCATTCCAATTTCTCTGCGGATAGCATCTGCTGCCTCGTCGTACATCTGTAATTTTACTAATAATCTAGCCACTTTGCTCATATATTCTGCTGCTTGTGGCGGACTATCTTCACCCTATATTAAAAGATATGTACTGCGTAAAGTTTCTCATTACATTTTCATGATCGTAGGAATAAATGGTATCTAACCATAACGATGCTAGCAGCGCGTTTGAACAATTCTAGTGCCTCTTGCGGCTGAGTGGCTTCCATTATCTTTCCTGCTTTATCGAGTACAGATGCGCCTGATTCGGGTGATCCGTGCATCTGATAAAGAGAACACGCACTGTGCGCCAACTTTGGCACTTCCGCAAGGTTTCCCATTTCTTTGCAAATTATCACAGCCTGTTCGATGCTCCTAAAATTTTTAACGTAATAATATTTCTTTCAAAGAAAAAGTATCAGGGGGACCGGAAAGTAATGTCGCTTTTTTACATTACATTCAAACAGATAAATTTTGAACATGTTTTTATTTTTAATCGATACTGTAATCACCCTCGTTATCAACAACCGTTTGCCATCTAGTGTGCAAATTTTCAATGCCGGATCAATAAAAATCAATTGGTTTTTGAGCAAAATATCTGGAGATGACATTTTGGGCATCATTCAAATTTTCAAATTTTTTGCTGCTTAAAAAATGTAACGATCTGAATAGATGGAAAAGTATGATGGGTGAGAAAAATTAATTTTTTCTAGGGTTCGTCTTGCATAGTGGGGTTGCATTATCGCGTTGTAGTATAACGCCTTTTCTGTTGACAATCACTGAGCACTTTTCAATTCAAGATTGATTTACTCGATCCAATTGTTCACAGTAAATGTCTGTATTCACAGTTTGTCCAGGTTTCAGCACTTTAAAATGAACAATCCCGCGAATACTCCACCAGACACACAAAAGCGTCTTTTTGGGGTGTAAAGTTGGCTTAACTGTACTTTTTGGCGATTCATTCGGAAAGAGCCACTGCTTTTTGCGTTTTGGATTATCATAGAGGACTCATTTTACATCTCGAGTGATCAAACGATCAAAAAACGCTTCTGTATTGTGCCGTTGAAGCAATAAGTTGCATGTGGTGGAGCTTTGTTTTCTTCAAACAGATTATGCATGGCCCAAACACCTGCTCTGCTTACTTTACCAATCCTCTGCAAATGTTCTTGGATGGTCGACCAAGGTTGGTTAAGAGTCTTTGGCAGTTCCTCGATTGTTTAACACGGATTTGCTTCCACTTCCGTCATTAACATGACATTGTTTAAAGTTATTGGTCTTCCTGATCGATAGGAGTCAAAAAGGTCAAAATTACCGGATTTGAACTTAGAAAACCACTTTTGGCATTTACGAACGTCTTGCACTTGGATAAACATTGCAAATGTTTTTGGTAGTAACTGTTGCGTTACTACCCTTGTGAAACTCAAAAAGCATACAAATCTCTGATACGTACCTCTTCTGATATTTGGCTCGCGATTTCACCATAAATTGCAAAAAGAATTTAAGATTTAATTATTTACGAATAAACAGGTCACTCTAACCTTGAGCCGATAAATGACAAACAAATATCTACATGCTCAGAAACGACATTACTTTCCGGTCCCCCAAATATAATACAAATCGTAAAGAACTTACTTCGCAGCATGAAACCATCTTTTATATAATTAAAGTTAAAGAATTGTATTTTCGAAGTGCGCAGGAAAGATTTAAATCGTAATATTTCTAAATATTATAGATAAATACATATTTTTATTAAAAAGGATACGCTTTGTTTTCTTTATAACAGTCGGAAGCTTTCATCAAACAATTTTTACATTGTTGGTAGGACTTTGCTATTCTAAAGCAGGTTGCTGTAACGTAAAGAATGTAAAATGTAATATGTTACATTAAATGCATTATAAACGTAATATATCTACGTATATCTTACCAGCACTAGTATACTCTTCGGCCGCGACTTCGAAATCGGGTCTCCATTTTAACAAGGTTGTTTTTGAGCTGTAATATAGATTTCCATTACTTGTTTCATCCGATAAATTAATAAAAATTAATTAATTTTTTATTCCGCGATCTTCATTAATTTCACGTAAAAAGTTGACATAGTTATCCGTGAATTGTCATTTCGCGGTGACAGTACCTTTTCTCAGCTTGCCGTATATGAGCATTTCCTTCTTCGATTTTTGACATTTTCCTCCAAATGATGCTTTCGTTTGATTCGCTTTAAGTTCAGTAATCGTAACAGTAAAGCCTGTCAGCTTAATGATCAATTTAATATCGAATACCACTCAACAACCACCGTAAAGACGACAAGTTCTTCGTGCTATACGGAGAAATAAATGTGCATGAGAGATTTATCAGTGTATATCTCTATATGTATATCATCATGGAGTCTGCCATCTTATCAATTTCGTATCATTCGCTACATTACCGACGTGACGGCATATATTTTAGCGGGAGTACTCAATACTATTTGAAATTATTAACTAAAAATTTGATTTAAGATTGCAACAAATAATCACATAAATGTAGAGAGGCGTAAATGTACATATCAATTGTATGTTGAAATCGTTTATAACTGATATGTAATTAATTGCTACGATTCATGCTTACTCTATCTTGCATTAGATTCAAAACTAGCAGTTTTTCTAGAAACCAGAATTAATGGTCCGGTACTATGTATATTAATTTTTATGTTTTACGTAGAAATATATTTCGATAGAACTTAAGTAAAATATAAACAATATACTGTACGAAGACATTCGGTTTATTTGTACAATCATAAATTTAAGAATTTTTTAAGTCCATATTGATCCGAATTTTAAGTTTCGTGTAACAACGCAAGGATTTTGATCGATTTTACATGTTATCATATTTGTAAATTCTTTATTTATTAATTTCATTAACTTTACAAGTTCGCTTACTATTAATATTATTATTGGTATTTATCAAAAACCAAAACTTTATGACCTTGAAAGAAATAATTTACGTAGATCCAAATAAGAGATTTTATTAGACAAACAAGGATGGTATTTTTGGATGTTCGCAAATTTTGTTTTTTAAAGAAATTTTGTGGGTAGTTTTGAATTTCAACTACATACGTTTGTACATTTCATACAAGACCCACATAAAAAAGCGTATACGAGTTTCAATACCCTCTGATGAGTTGGATTAATATTAAACAGGCCCCTCTCCGTTACACAAACATTGCCGTCATGTTTCAACTCTCAATTCCATGCTTGCGCCTTATCGTGAGAAAGAGGCAGAACTTTTTCGCGACAGAATTTATAGCGATTTAACAGGATATGTATACAGAGTGTCCCGTTAGAAAAAGTTTTATCTGTAGATAAACTAGAAAACGTTACATAAGCATGGAAGCATCTAACCACCATTAGCGATGCAAGATTTACTGCGATTCAAAATGGAATTTATCGTTGTACGAAGTTCATTTGTATTTTGTTTCATTTCTGTAAATGCATCCTTAACACGTACCGTTTTTTGAAGACTTTCCGTTCAGGCTAAATGGGGCGCATACGACCCATACTTTAACGATTTAAAATATAAGATATACTTGTTTTTGACGTACACCATAAGTAGCAAGAAAAGGGTATAGATTTTTTTAAGAAATTATTCCAACAAACACACGATCAATCATTTACTTTGTTAAAATTGCTAGCAGCCTGAACGGAAAGTTCTGATAGAAATTTAATATCAATAGCTTTCATGACCACACGTAATAAATATGATTTGCAAATACAAAACAAACATAAATATTACTGATCGATTCCAGTACTGTATTGCGTCTCTTAACGTTTACTTTAAATTTTACATTTCCGTTTATATTTGCACCTTAAATTTAGGGCACCCTGTATACATAAGTGGTTTGTCACGAAAAAGTTGTCTTGTGATGAGATATGAACATAGTCACTATTACGAAATATAATAATTATTAAGTTACATATTGAATTAGTAAATAGTAAATAATACTCGTTTACAATAGTAATTATTTAATAACTATTTATTGAATAACTGTATGATATAAACATATATAATTAACTTTTACCAGATCAAAAATTTGTAAGATAATTTTATAATATAATTATTTACATACTGAAAGTGTACAATTATGCTGACCCACACTGATGTTTGAAAAGTGAAGGTCATACCACAGAGAACATTAAATATGACGGCATACTACATACTCATATAACGATCCTTCGAAACTTTTAGTCTCACTTACCAGAGGGTAAGTCGTATACGTGTGGCACTAGGCAGAGTGTGATTGGGTGTCCAAGTCCGTATGAACGTTTCACGAAAGAAATCACACAAGATTTTCGCTATAAACTCTTTATTTCATGATAATAAAACCCTGCATCAGGTCACATTAGTATGAAGCAGAGAAAAGAAGTGTTGTCAAAGACCATGTATCAGCCAACCGCTAATTAACCTAATGTACCTTCGCGTTACCCTAATGGGCAATATTGCGTTAGTAAATTAGTGATTAGTCTACCCTTTTTCTAGCCGTCGGTTTTATCTCTTGTCAATTCCGAAATTACCCCTAGGGAAACCATTTTTGCCTCTGATTGGCGGAACCCGCGACATCTGCGCGCCGCCAGCGGAGAGTACTAGAATTACCTAGCTAAAATGGACGCGCACGCCGCCAGTGGCGGACGAAGACCCTATAATTTTTGTACAATCAAGTTTGTATCGTGCGTTAACGTTGTATTACGTTGTATCATTAACTTTTATAAACAGATGTATAAATGTTGATATTATTCAGTGAAATTTTGTGACACGTATATAGAATTACTAAAGAAAATTTCATGCTTTAATGATATTTCGTTAAGCGTTGAACGTGATGTTTTTTATTTCATATATACCTTGCGTATGATTGAATGCATTGGCGGGAAATAAAAAGGAAGAGTTTGAAGAGTAATCGTCACTTTTCTTTTGATTCGGTTTTAATTTAGTTCATTTAGTTAATTATAAGTCAACGTTTTTCAAAGAAAGGTAATTCTTGTATTGATTCTAATTTTCCATGATTCGGCTGTGTTTTTCATACACGCCGAATCATAACCTTTAAACGTAAAAGTTATCAGTATAAAACTGTTATTGCTGTTTCGAGTAATCACAATCAATGATATTACGTATTCGTAGAATATATAGTTTAAAAAATCCGATGGCAGAACGGCTCGAAGATCTCAATTTACCAAATGCAGTTGTATCAAGGATTATAAAAGAAGCATTACCTGAAGGTGTTACAATTGCTAAAGATGCCAGAACCGCTGTGGCAAAGGCTTCTTCAATTTTTATATTGTATTTAACATCGTCCGCAAATATAATTGCTAAAAAGGGAAATCGTAAAATGATAAGCGGTCAAGATGTCATTCAAGCTATGACCGACATAGACTTTGATCAGTTTATTCATCCGTTGGAAGATTCGCTAGAAAATTTCCGTAAAACTCAAAAAGAGAAGAAAGATGCAACAAAAAAAAAGCAACAGAAAAAAGATGGAGACGATGTAATAGAAATAGAAGACGACGATGGAGGAAGGGAAGTTATGGTCTTTTGATACATATTAAATATATTAATATGTAAAAATAAGTATATAGATTCATACTATTTTATATAATTAGTACATAAGTCTGAAAAGTTTGTCATATTCTATTTATTCTTACCAAATGAAAAGCAAAATATATTAGTACAAAAAATTAATTTGAGCATTTTAAATAATTTTCTTCAATTTAACAAGTTTCCCTCGACTCTTATTAATCTTGCAAATGAAATGGGTAATTGGTTTTAGTTTCTATGTTTAAAACAAACATTTCGTTTAAGATCCTTTTATTTTAACAATTTTTGTTCGAACAATACATACAAATCAGTTAAATGTCAGTGCTTTGGTAATGGATATTTTTAAGATACTGCATACATACGATTTTTTGTTTATAAAAATTCACTTCTATCGTTTATAAAAGCTTGCTTACAATCTTGGCATTTGCATTATTAACTCTCAACCACTTTAATAGATTTAAATGTTTTTTCTCTTCACAGTATTTATAAGGCTATTACATGTATAGATATGTCAGTGACCATGTTAAAAATTCATATTTTGTAGTCAAGTGTTAATAAATGCAATTCATTCTATTATTTTATTTCCAAATACTTAGTATATGCATTGTAGATAATGTAGGATTTGCAGGAAAACAGCTTTCAACTTTTAATAAATATATTTCAAAACTCTCCTCTCGACGTTCTTTACACGCTCGCTGTTCGACTTAGATTAAACTCTCGCCCAAAAGACCACGCACGGTGACGCGCGCATCCACTCGAAAAAACAGAAACCATTCACGCGTCTGCGCAGAACGTCGCCCTACGTTTCACTCTAACCCAAACCCCAAACACTCGTCATTCACCACAGTTCACTCTTATCTCTCTCACTCTACACAACCATCCAAGACGCACTCGACCACAGTTCGCGCGAAATTCACACACTTATTACATAATAATATCCTACAATAATATTTAAAAAAGTTAGGCAATATTAACTTATTTTAAATATGATTATAATGTATTATCTCAGTGGTATAAATAACTATCATTATGGCATTGAAAAATAACAGATTGGATGCAAACACGCATGCACCCGATTTAAACTTACTGTTTTGTAAAACGATTATTTAAATTGGAATCATAAGAGCTTAAAATAAAACTAAAGCTTACCGTTAAATATGAATTAAAAAATGGAAAAGGACAGCAAACAATTAAAAAATACTTTCAGCGAACAAATATAAATGTCATACATTTTACGTAATGGAATATAATTGGAAATGTCTGAAATAAATATATATGTATACTGTAATTTGCTGTTTTTCGTATAAATGTTGTTTAAACGATAGTCGCATATTATAAAAATAAAGCATCAGGGATAAATAGATTAAATGGAATTATTTACAAAAAAAAAAAGCATTATTTTGGTTTCAAGGCTTTACAATGTGAATTTTGCGATCTATAGCACTTCTACACATTGGACAACCTGAATTAACCATATTTGCACAACCTGAACAGCAACAAAGATGTCCACATGGTAGAAAAATTACTTCACACTATAAAGAATATAGTACAGAAATTATACGATAGCTAATTTTATCATAGGAATTTTCAAATAAGGTAAAAGTTATGCTTACTTGTAAATCAAGGCATATTACACATTCGGCAGTATCGATACTCTGAGTTGTGTTACATTCTTGGTAATTAGAACTAGTACATGCTTCTTCAGGTGGTGCAGATGGCGTAACAGGTGTTCTGTATTCGTTGAGCTTTGCTTCCGCTAAATAATTTTCAACTGCCAATTTTATAGCAGCACGATCTCTTTGACAATGTATTCCAATCTATGACATTAAAAGGAATATACGATTTATTAAAAAAAAATAGCGAATATTTATTATACACGTAAAGAAAACTTGTCTTTTACATACACTCTTCAATTGTTCGTCGTTAAGATCTGGAAGTAACGATGGCAGAGAAGCTAAAAACGGCAAACAATGCAATGCCCCTGCTATCGCCACATGTCGTACTAGCATAGGTTCTAACATTTCTAATAAACCCTGAGGACGGGTTTCCATTAAAAACTGATATTGAATTAACCAAAACTGACTTCCTCTTTTAGAATTCTTTAGAAACAAAGATACGGCTTTATAATGGTCGTTATTACAGGAGAAACTAAATGAGAATTATGCCTATACTTACGCTGATACAACGTTGCTGTTCTATGTTATTGATTGTTTCCAGAAGTTCATCTCTTCTGGTTTTCTGTTGTTCTAATAGATTTACCAGAATAACGCTCAAAGTTACTCGTTTCTCAGCTATATCGTTCTATCGTTTAAAGCAGTAAAACATTTTTGTAAGAAAATCAGATATTCTGCGTAAAAAATAATTGATTCAGAAAATAATACGTACAAGTTGTTGGTTAATTTCTAGTTTTCGTTTCTCTAACTCGATGGCTGTAAGCGCTGCTAATTGCGATTGCACCAAGTTCACTTGTTGCACGATACTCCAAGAACGTGCATCGCTGCGTTCCAGTAACGCTGCAACAGCAGCCTTTTGTAATACTTTGTCTTGCCTTAACGTATCAATTAAATTTTGTCTGTTCTTTTCCTGATTTTGTACTATTTGTGCTAAATGATCGTTATTTCTTACTTCTCTGAAATATTTTTAAACATTGCAACGTGCTTATTAGTTTCATATTTTTCTTTCTATTATTCAGAACATTCTTATTAGTGTCTTACAATGTGAGCAAAGATTGCGCAGTATAATCTCTATATTTACTATGTTCTTCCAATTTTCTGGTTCTGTGAAGTTCCTCTTCCAATAACTTTTCCATTGAAACTGCAAACACATAAATGTGACTATACGGTGACAATTAAAATATAAATAAGCGGTATACATTGTTTTAAACATTTGATACTCACGAAGGGTATCTTTCGTACGGAATATAAATTGTTCCGAACGACAAGAGGATAACATTTGCATTTCTTCTTGTTTTTCTCTTTCGAGTAATTCAGCTTGGCTTTGTCTTTCTTCTTCGCTATTTCTTAGAAATTCTTTAATAACATTGTCTGCATCTTTTTCAGCTAAAAGTTGAATCGAAACGTTAAAAATGGTTACATAAAAAAAGAATCATTTCATTTTTATTACTTTCTTTTATGGATAAACAGATCTTTAATAGAAACACTTTTATTATACCATTATAAATGTAAGAAAGTAGACGTGTTCTGTTAGAATCCTTTTCTTGTTGTACTTTTTCTAGTTCGTGTTCTAATTGCGTTTGTTGTAAAGCAAGGTCTTCCAACAGCTAAAAATAAAAAATAAAATTAAAAAATGTAAATAACAACGACAAACTTAATTTTAAATACCTTTTTCCTATGCTTTTTCAACATCGATTGAATTCCAACTTCGTACTCTTGTTGTTGTTTGATATTTTTTTCCACTTCCAATAATGCACTTTGACGATACTCCTATAAAATGGAACTAATTATTAGAGCATGATTTCCTAACCGTGTATTGTATCTTTTTAATTTATTGAAATATTATACAAATAATTACATTTAAGTAATTCAAGCAAAAACCAAAGACTGATTAAAATTATTACAACACTCTGAATGCATATAGTAAATTAATTCGATTTCAAACATGCAAAAAGTAATTAAATTAAAATTAATTTTCATAATAAATAATATAAAATATGCAGCACATCATATTTTGAAGCGTACTAAAATAAAAGAAGCATCCACATGCCTTCATTTTTGTTAGCTTCTGTAATGCTGCCTAAAAATAGAAATGAAAACATTTAAAAACACATTGTGCGAGTGCAACATCAAAATTTATAGTCCTCTAATACGTTGTACCTGTACATCGTTATTTTTATTATGATATACCGCTTGCATATCTTCAGAACTTATGTCTCTCGATAAATCTGATTTCGAAACAGATTCTTCTGGTGAAAATTCGATGCCGCTCTCATTCGCTAAAAATGCTACGATTACTATTGTACCTCCGTTCACAATATCTTGAGGCGGATAAGACAGGTTTAATCCATTGATGTCCAACTGTGCCAATTGTTGCGCATAACCCAATGATTTAGGAAGTTTCTGAAGGGATATATTTTGACTAATGTTCAACGTAGTTAACTGCTTTAACTTTCCCATTGTTTCTGGCAACTGTTTCAAATTATTATTCGCAATATTTAAGATACTCAATTTACTTAAATGTACTATTTCGTTTGGTAGTTTCCTTATATTGTTGTCTTGTAAATAAAGCTCCTAAAATGTATAAAATAATATACTATAATTAAGAATATATACAGTCGAACCTCGGTTCACAAACTCAATTCGTTCCTGAAGGTTGTTCGTAAACCGAAACTATTTTCCGCGTTGGAATTAATGTAAAATGAATTATTCCACTTCTGGTTCTTAACACAAAAATCAACGGACACCGTTAAATCTATCCCAAAAATATAAACGTAACACTAAGCAGATCAAATATAGACGAAAACTTAAATTAGTTTTACCCTGCCTGTAGGGAGGAGAGTTGACAGGGATTCTTTTTCCTATTTTCTGTTCGTAACTTGAGATATGGTACATCATCCGAAACGCTTTGTGTTTGGAAAATATTTTCGTAAACAGAATTGTTCACGATTCGAGGCGTTCGTGAACCAAGGTTTGACTGTACTCTCAATATTTGGGTTATATGTACCTTGAGTGAGACAAGACACATTATGTCGGAGGGTAAATCGGTAAATTCATTTCCATGAATATCTAACACAACGAGTAATGACAAATCATTTAAGGCACCTCCCCCCGAAAGTGAAGTTAATTTGTTATTGTTCATCCATAGTACTTTTTTCCTGAACACTTTACACAACGAATAAATACCGGAGGGTACATTTTTTAAAGCGCATTCTGATACATCGAATATTGGTTCTGGATTTTCTCTTGCCTGTTGTAGTGAAAAATAATATTTCTATATACGAACATTAATACTAATAGTATATATATATAAATAAGAATTTTATTATTAAAATCATTATCTTTAGAATTTGTTTGTACATTTAAGAAATTATAATTTATTAGAATAGATATCGAGGTTTACTATCAATAAATGAACTAAATTAACATTAAACAGAAGGAAAATGAATATTACGTATTTGACAGTTTCTTAGTTATTCATATTTATAATTGAAAAATAGTAAGATATTACGCGAATGTTATTATGAGAGACGAGAGGGAATGAAGCTGAAGAAACAAGGTTATTGATGATGCGATAGAGGTGAATGATTAACCTCCATACATTAAGAAACGTACCAGATATAATTTGTGCTCGAGTCGTGCTTTGTAATCGACGTTAACCTTGTTCCCATGCTTTCTTGGTAGAGACATCATTAATCGTACACGTCATGGCAATAGAGAAATATGATAAATGCAGGTCATTCTGCTGTCGGTTTATCCGAAACCACTGACACGTAATTTCATGTACATTGCAGGATGTTAACCAATATCTGTCAAATTAACAATTACTTGGTAAAACGTATGAAATAAGTGACGTATCTTAATGTTGTAAGCAGAGATGACAGACGGAGCCCCGGGTGCACCGGGGACCAGTGTCGCCAGATCGGGCATAATTGAGTGCATCGAAATCGACAATAGTGACGACGAACTTCCTTAGCGTCTAACGGAGTGGTGGGGGTAGCGAGCATATACTACCGCACGAGCCACGTGTACGTGAGCTCGGCACTTCGTACAACTTCGGGAAACCGATAAAGAACGCGAGCGTGAGTCTTTCCTTCTTGCTCTTGTAAAAGAGAAACAGCTGAAATACGACCTCGCGATAATCGGCATACGATTCCAAGTCTCGACTGCCCCAGCATTTTTACTTTCTAACCTATGTAAGGTACAGTAATCCCCCCTATAACACGGTACTCTTATACAGTGAAAACTCGATAAATGTCCTCAAGAGCTGTTCCATAAATGATACATTTTTATCCCCACCACTAGGGGGATCCCCCTTGAACCAGTGAGGCGAAGTGTAACCGGAGACGTAGCGGCTTTCTTTAAAAATCTTTATTGCCTTCGTCAGCTTAGTTTAAATGTCCCTGTCAGTGTGACCACACTACTGTACAAGAAGAAAGTTTTTTATTTTTTACTTTTTTTTAATAAAAATTTTACTATCATGTGGGGAAGATTTTTCTAATTAAAATGTGACTAAACACGATATAAATCGGCCAATATTTGTTACCATAATATTGAATTAAATATTGTGTACTCGTATCTTCGCAAGGTCAGTGGATTGGTACATTTATCGAACAGTGGTAGCTAACGAAACCCCCTATTTCATAAGTGTTGCAGTTTTTGATCACTTACGAAACGGTGGAACCGTTCCGTTTGAAAATAGCTACCTCCCGTTCGATAAATGTAGCCAGCACCTCGATGCGTCGTTCTTTGATATTTCCGAACAAAGAAAAGGACAGCACAAGAAGGATAAATAAAGAGAGAAAGACTCGCAAGTACAATATTTAATTCAATATTATGCTACCAAATATTGACCGATTTATATCGTGTTTAGCCTCATTTTAATCAGAGAAATCTCCCCAACATGATAGTGAAATTTTTATTAACAAAAAGTAAAAAATAAAAAACTTTCTTCTGTGCAGTAGTGTGGTCACACTGACGCGGATATTTAAACTGGGGCGATAAATCCGAGTTTCAGTCCCTCTTTCTTCTTTAGCTACTGACTCTTTCTACGTTCGAAGCGTCGGCAAACTACAATCAAATTCGAAAGACGATTCTCCTATTCCGTAAGTGTTGCTGACCGGACCCGGAGTAGCGACATTTATCGAGTTTTCACTGTAATGCGTTTTCATATTACGCGATTTTATGTCCCTAACGCGGGGATTTCTCATGTTATATTTCTGTACTGTGAAATTTATAATAATTTGTACAGTTCATAATCAATTTCGCGTACGTTTGCACATTGTGTCAATTGTGTTCTTATAAAATTAAATTAAATTATTTTATTAAATTTGTGTTCCTAGTTTTTGAGTTGTAAGAACATTGATTATATGTACAGTAACATTGATTGTACATACATCTGTGTTTATACGTAGATCTGTGGCGACACCGTCGCGGCCGCGGAGCCGGAAGCAAGAGCTACGGCCGCGCCTTCGTACAACGCGTTTTCCTATAACGCGGAACCAATCTACCGTGTTATAGGGGGGATTACTGTACCTAACCTAGACCTAACCTAACAATATTGTACCTAACCCAGACCTAACCCAACAGTATTGTACCTGTACGTGGGGAAATCCTCATGGACACCCGCGGGCCCACCCGATGGGCGGGCCGGCGGGTAGTGCCGGACTCTTACCGGCTAAAACCCCACGGTGACCATCCTCAAGCGCTTGGCGAGGGACCGGGAACTCTGGTGAGACATCACAGAGCCCCCCGCCGCGCCGTGCCTTTTCAGGCCCTCCCCGGTGAGAGGCACTCCTCCCACCGCATTTCCACTCAACCGCAGGCGCCTGGTCACCAGCGCCCGCGGCCCCGTGACATGGGACTAAGCCGCCGGCCGCGGGGCCACGTTGGCCGCAGGACACACCCGCAGCCAACTGGCCAACCTGCGGCCTTAGGTCAAACCCGCGGCAAATATCCCATGCCCCAGTCCACTCACACACACATTCACACGCGCAACGCATTCATACCGGTGTTTGGTCCGCGGGAGCTTTCGCTCCGACCTCCGGGATACCATGCGAGGATGCAGCCACCAGCGTTCTCAGGTTGATGACCCCATTCCCGCATCCCATCCCAGCGGCTGCCCCTATCCGCCACCTGGGGACGCGCCACGTAGGAGTTCACCTCCCCTGCCGCCTGGACAACCAAACGGGTGCGTGGAACAGTATTGTACCTAACCCAGACCTAACCCAACAGTATTGTATCTAACCCAGACCTAACCCAACAGTATTGTACCTTTTCGTGGGGAAATCCTCATGGACACCCCGAGGCCCCAAGTAGGGGGGGGCCTCGGGGTAGTGCCGGACTCCTACCGGCTAAAACCCCACGGTGACCGTCCTCCGGCGCTGCGACGGGGGACCGGGAACTCTAGTGAGACATCACAGAGTCCCCCGCCGCGCCCTGCCTGTCGAGGCTCATCCCGGGAGGAAGGACAACATGTCCATCCCCCCCCTGATTTCTCCGCCGCGGACGCCAGGTCACCCGACGCCCACGGCCCCGGGGCTGCCTTCGGTGCTAGGGCCCCACGCACACAGCACCTGCAGCCCCAGGGGCGGCTCGTCAACCCCCAGGCCACCGACGTGGTGGTCGGAGAATGCAAACGGGCCGCCCCACTACTGGAGGCCCGTCCGGACCTCAAGTACGTTGGAGGGGGCCAGGAGGCGAAGGATGCCTCGCCCTGGCCCCCATCCGAGCCCTCCCCCTCCTCCTTCCTCTCCTTCTGTGACATGAATACCTCACAGAAGGAGGCCCCCACTTGCCAGATTTTGTCGCTGGCCACCACCTTTCCCACTATGGTGGCCAGCGAGAGATTCCTCCCAACTTCCTGTTCCAGGACACGGCGCTCATCTGCCCACGCTGGGCAGACTGCCAGCGTGTGCTGCGCCGTGTCCTGGGGTCCACCACAATGGTGGCACACCGCCGTCGCCTCCTTCCCGATTCGACACAGGTACTCACCAAAGCAACCATGCCCGGTGAGTACCTGTGTCATCCTGTAGGACAGCCTGCCTAGTTTGTCCTGCCACTCTTGCCAGTGTGGCAGGACTGCACCAACGGACCGTTGCGTGGCCCCAGCTCGAATCATCTGCTGGAACCACATAAATACAACGGTCCGTTGGGCATGGCGCCTCGTCTCCTCAACACAGTATTGTACCTAACCCAGACCTAACCCAACAGTATTGTACCTAACCCAGACCTAACCCAACAGTAATCCCCCCTATAACACGGTAGATTGGGTCCGCGTTATAGAACAACGCGTTGTACGAAAATTACTAAAAATCAAAAACTAATTTTTAAGAAAAATTGACGGTACTGAAATTTTTTGGCAGAATTAAAAAATTTCTGATCATTTTGAAAAAATTATTTTTGATTGCGGAGGTCAATTACAATCATTTTTGGTGAATACACATACCCTTAAAATCCTACGTACTTTCGAGGAAAAAATGCTTTTCCGAAAAAATAATGTGAGGTTAGAAATGTTGCCCTGAAATTTCATGGGATTTCATAACTTCTGAACGGATTGGAAGATTTTAATGTTCCAAAATGCAAACAACGCGTATTTTAGTGAAGAATATGTAGAAATTCTAACAATATTGAAAAAGTTGTTCCTTAACCTCGTAAAGTGTGAAAACCCTCATAAAAGTGGTCGAATTTTCAAACGGCCATAACTCCTACAATAGTGAATATATTTCATTGAAATTTATAGTGACCAGATCAGTTTCAGACTTACGTTTACTTTTTTTTTTTGAAAAAACTGCTTTCTGTTTAAAAACAATCAGAATGAATTAACTAAGAAACTTTTCGTTTCTATTTCTTATCAAAACGTAACAATTAAATATTAATTTTAGTACGACAGAAAATTGTACCGTTATCGTTGAAAAGTAAAACAATTTTAACATCCTATTTTCTATATACTCGTGCGGACATGGTGTCAAATGATAGACGTTACTAACAACAGTTTAGATATTTTTATTGAATTATACATTGCCATACAAAGGAACAAGTCATAAACATCATATAAAACGTTGAATACATGAGAAGATGATAGCAATTGATATTGTATTTTATTTGCAAAATTTGTATTTTATTATCGATATGCTGATCAGATCTCATGTATTACGATTCGTGCAATAATTAACACCGGTGATAGTTTCTTTTTCACGTCATCTATGAACATTGCTTTATAAATCTCGTTTTCTCGTAAGAATTGATCCTATAGTATTCTAATGTATTCGTGTACGTTGATAAATGGTCTAAAAAATAGGCAGTTGTTATTTGTTATGTATGTACGTTCTAAAACTCGGTAGAACTAATTCGGATATTTCGTTCGCTTAGAGGTAATGTCTTTTTGTGAGCCCTATACTACCTGTATCTAGAATCTGAGAATACAATATTGAGCTATACGTTTCTCTATAACAGTGCTCTCCGGTGTAGGGGCTCCTCGTGCAATTGCCTCCCCTTTCGCTCGCTCGTACCCCACATAACAATGTACAGGGCGATTTGCTCGCTAGTGTACCGTGCTTCCACGAGAGGGAGCCACAGCGTGTTTACATCCTCACTCCTGTTGCAAGCTAGAACGCATCCAAAGCAATGCCATAAGAATAGCAATGGGATACAGAATCTCCACTCCAAAAAACGTAATAATGGCAGAAGCCAAAATAGCATATCTAAAAGACAGAGCTACTTTCCTGGAGGCCAAGTATCTCGCTAAATGTATCTCCAATAGCTCACACCCCTTCCTTAGCACTCTAGTGCAGTTCTGCGAAACATACAGAATGCAGCAGCATAGGAGCAACCCTCACCCACATAAGGACAGACCTCTAGTAAGAAGCCTAAAGGCAATAGAAGACTTCATACCTCTCATAGATAATCTACCTGACTTCCTACCCAACACAACAGACTTCTCCACTCTTGTATTTCAGCCAGAAATAGCCACTTCCCTTTCCAAATCCCTTCAAGCCTCTGCAAGACCGGCAGAAGTCTTTTTAGACATCACAAATACCTTCTTCAGAAACCACATAATGATATTCACTGATGGGTCCAAATCGGAGGACAGTCCCGCTGTCGGCGCAGCTTGCATTGTGCCCCAAAACAGCTACAGCGAAGCCACGACACTTCCAAAGTCTGCCTCAGTCTTCACGGCAGAATGTGCAGCCATGAAGATGGCAGTGGAATATGCACTCAGAAACCGGACAAAGTCATACTTGATATGCACGGATTCGCTCAGTGTGTTACAAAGCCTGCAAAAAGCCCCGCTCACACCTCAATCCAACAGATACATAGCAGAGATCAAACAAGGACTTAAAACATTCAGGGAAGAAACAAAAATTGGGGAGATCACACTCATGTGGGGCCCCTCGCACAGCGACATTGAAGGCAATGAGCTCGCTGACTCACTCGCCAAAACTGCCACGTTCTCCACATCAAACTGCTGCATCCCATATACAGACATCACACAACACCTAAAAGAGAATATTGACCATGTTTCAGAGGAGGAGTGGAAAACACAGGGAATTTATAAAGGGACCCTATTTTTCAGGGATTTCTACCATAGAACAAGACACCCCTGGTTTTATAACACGAAACTTCCAAGACGGACCACAGTCTGGATAAACAGAGCTCGGGCTGGGCACTACAATCTGGCGGCTTCTCTTGCAAGGTGCCATATCATAGCAAGCTCGGCTTGCACCTGCGGATACAGTGAGCAGACCCTAGACCATATTCTGTGGGTCTGCCCCCTGACTAAAGATCAGAGGGAAACCATGATAAGAGATCTGGAACACAATACCTGGAAACCACCTCACCAAATTCAGACATATCTGCAACAACCCAACATTAAGGCGCTCCTGATCATTGATGCGTTCCTACTCCACCATAAACTGTTATTATAATCTAGGCATAAGTAGTAAAATAAGTACAAATAAACTAAGACTGAATAGGTTAAGTAGGCTAATATTCAAGGTATGTACATACATTTACAAGTGCAATTACTAAAAAAAAAAAAAAAAAAAAAAAAGAAAAACTCCTGTTGCAGTCCGCTGACTCACAGGTATTGGTCGAAAACGGTGACGGAGATCGGTGACAACCAATCAGCAGACTGCAGCAAGAGTGGGGGGTGTAAACACGCTGTGTCTTCTTCTTGTGGAAGGACGATACTCAAAGGTCGTGGCGCCACCTAAAAGATCGCGGCAGGAGTCTTGGGTTCTTACGCGATAACATAATGGTTGCCGCAGTGAAGACGTTTGTGTGCGTATGTTTATGAACTGTAACGTTTCATTTTGAAACTTTGGGGACGAAACACCCTTACCACGGTCTTTAGGCAGCGGAATGACGTTAGTACGACGTGAGTACACTAGCGAGTAAATTACCCTGTAGCATACTTACGTTGTGAGAGAAACATTGTTGTGTTAGAGGTAGTCCTACTAACAAGGGAAGCTTGGAAACCCGGAAATTCAATAAATTATTAAACTTTGTGTACAGATAGAGCAGGTCATCTGTAACACACACCTATTTTTCGTTCGTGCCATAATTCACTTTTAAATGATCACCCCTTAAAGAAAATGCAAAATTATCTTCCTCATCGAATATCTCGTGAACGATGGGAGATATTGAAAAAAAGTTCAAACAAAGTTTGCATGCTATTTTTATGTTTACTAAAATATGTAAAAAAATTAAAAAAAAATCGATACTTTTTGAATTACCCCCACCACCACAGCTTAAAATTCATTTTTTGATTTTTTAAATTTCATGCAAAAATACTTTACGGTACCCTCTATCCATCTATGTAAATAGTTTATTTTATACATTTTTTTATTAATAAATAAAGCGTCTATTATCGAATTTAGTCTGCTCTTGATGTTTTTATTATTAGAGTGGTTTCATAATGCATAACTTACATTATCATTTACACAGGGTCTTCGGCCACCTCTGGGAAAAATTGTAATGGGGGATTCTAGAGGCAAAAATAAGACAAAATCAAGAATTTTTTGACTGAGGCTTCGTTAAAAAGTTATTAAAAAATTAAATTAAAAAATTTCAAATCATTTTGAGAAAATTATTTTTGGTTGCTGGGGTCAATTACAATCATTTTTGGTGAATACACATACCTCCGAAATCCTACTCACTTTCGAGAAAAAAATTCCTTACTGAAAATATAATTTGAGGTCTCAAATGGTTTCTTGAAATTTCATGTGAATCTTTGAAACATCATAACTCCCGAACGGATTGGAGGATTTTAATGTTTCAACCGGCAAACAACGCGTATTTTGGTGAAGAATATATAGAAATTCTAACAGTATTGAAAAAGTTGTTCATTGACCCCGTAAAGTTAGAAAAACCATATAAAAATGGTCCAATTTTCAAACAGCTATAACTCCTGCAATAGTGAATATATTTCAATGAAACTTTTTTCTCAAGTAGAGCTCATAGGTACCTACAAACAAGTATTAGACAACTTTTCTGTAGGGCGTCAAACAAAATTACTAAAAAACAAAAACGAATTTCTAAAAAAAATCGACGGCGAAAATGAAACGTTTCAAATTATTCTGGAAAAATTATTTTTGGCTGCGGAGGTCAATTACAATCATTTTTGGTGAATACACATACCTCCGAAATCCTAACCACTTTCGAAAAAAAAATTCGGGAAGGTGTGAAATTTTTTGACAAAATTAAAAAATTTCAAATCGTTCTAAAAAAATTATTTTTCGTTTCTGGGGTCAATTATAAAAATTTTTGGTCAAAAGAAATACCCTCGAAATCCTACGTACTTATGAGAAAAAAATTCTTTACCGAAAATATAATGTGTGGCCAGAAATGTTTCCCCAAAATTCCATGCGTACTATAATAACATATAAACTATTTACATGGATGGATAGAGGGTACCGTAAAGTATTTTTGAATGAAATTTAAAAAATCAAAAAATTAATTTTAAGGAGTGGAGGTGGGAGTAATTAAAAAAGTATCGATTTTCTAAAAAATTGTTTTACATATTTTGGTAAACATAAAAATAGCATGCAATCTTTGTTTGAACTTTTTTTCAATATCTCTCACCGTTCACGAGATATTCGAAATATAATTTTACATTTTTCTTTAAGAGGTGATTTCACGTTAAATAAAAATGGATGGGGGAAAAATTTGGGGGAAATACATAGCATTGGCTAGCTCTAGCGATGTATGTTATGTGTCATTTTCACACTATTGACTGATCTTGACAACGCGTACGGAATTGGGAGAACCTCAGAGCTCTGATTTGGAGAACACTGCTCTACAAGATCAGATCGCTAATCGAGTTAGAGCATTGCCCTCATTTTAACTATTATATTATTTAAAGTGTTTCAATGAAAATGGTGGACAGTCGAGATTCATTTATGAGAAACAAAATTTCCCAATGCATCTTCATTGTGAATCCTGAAGGAGCTCCCTCTGTCGTAATCGATACTCTGTTGGTGTCAGTATACCTCTGGAAAATAACACGATTCATTAAATACAAAAACAATATTATTTAGTATAAAATTATAGATAAATATATACTGTAGTGGCTTTTTTATGGTTTTTAGTCTTTTTTTTAAATGGTTTTTTCACAAAAGACTGTATTTGATCCGCATGAAGAAATATAGATGGGGGAGGTTGAAAAAGTAATGCACTTTTACATTTTTTTTTAACAAAAAATACTTAAAATTTTAAGAAACTATAGTATTCGTGGCGCAATCCCGATGATTTTTGAGTATGTCATAGAGAATGAAATTGTGAACAACTTTTATCTGAACAATAATTGACGCTCGACCTTAGATTTCGAGATATTCCGCAGAGGAACATCTCTGTATACAGGGTGTTCGATCACCCCTGGGAAAAATTTTAATGGGAGATTCTGGAGACCAAAATAAGACGAAAATCAAGAATACCAATTTGTTGATTGAGGCTCCGTTAAAAAGTTATTAACGTTTAAAGTTCCGCCTGTGAAACGGCAACGTGCGAACAGCTGCGTGAGCGCGATAGTGGTTCTCACTCAGAAAACTGTATGGCTGTCGGTACGTCAGTGAGTAGAGTGTCTCATGCTGAGTGAGAACCACTGTCACGCGCACGGAGTTGTTTGCAGATTGGCGTCTCACAGGCGGAGCTACAAACGTTAATAACTTTTTAACGAAGCCTCAATCAACAAATTGGCATTCTTGATTTTCGTCTCATTTTGCCCTCTAGAATCTCCTATTAAAATTTTTCCCAAAAGTGGCCGAACACCCCGTATATGAACTCCTTTTTGAGTTACTATATGTTTTTAATAGTCTCAATAATTTCAATCGTATTTTTCTAAATCGATTCGAATGTATTCGTGATCGTGTGTACGGAGTTGTAATTATATGGAAAAACTTAGTTGCGTTCCAACCTTAAAACAGTGTCAAAGGACACGGAAACACCTTTATCGCACATTTTTCTGTAAAGATGCCAACACTCTTTTTCTTTGTTAGTGTGGAACTGCGGTTTTACGGGTGCTGGTTGTACATGTTGAATAGTCCCATTTGAAGTTGTTGCACACGTTTGCTTCACCTGTGAATTATCTCGTGACAGTTTATTATACATTACGTTCGACGACAATGACAACATTTGCCTTACGTTTGCGGGGTAATTAGTCGCGGGCGTTTTAACGTGTTGCACGGGGCTCGATATATTCTGCGGAACGGTTCTCGGCGATTCTTGCATTTTTACTTTCGATGAAATTGTCTGTTTCTCCATTACACTATAAAAAAAAAAAAAACAAATAAACCTTTACAATTTTTTAAAACAAAATTTGAGTCTATTCTACTTTTGGCAATCGCAAGGAAAAAGCACACAGTTTTCGTCAATATCGTAGTAAACGAATCGAGAAAATAATTTCTTATTGCTAGGTCGTTTCGATAGTCCTTGAACAAAAGGAAGCATATTATGAGAACTATTAATATATCTCGTTCACGATCGTACCATCCTCTTTGTTTCCATCATCGTAGACATCTTATCGTTTCAATTGTTTTCTTTCTGTCAATACCCTGTAAATCCCCGAGAAATCGATATCGTTCGATATAATTATAGCGTAAACTGGTATTATATTTCATGAAAGCGATACGGATTGGTTTCTTGAAAATGCTTATCATTATTATCGCATTTTTTCTTCTTTATCATGGAAGCTACTGCGAAGAACGTATAACGATCGGAAGATGGCGCTTAAGTGGAGATTCTTGTGTAAAAGTAATTGATACTTATGAATATTTTTTTAAAAGCTAACTTGGATTCATCTTTAAAATACAAAACAAAACCAATATTTTTATGTTGATTATTCTTATCATTTATTAATTAATGTAGGATCTTGTTAACTTCTTCGATAATATAAACCCTGTTTGCATCTTGTGTAGCACTTGTCACATTCATCCAATTGTAAAAAGCAAACAATTTTGTTAAAGTTAGAGGTAATGAACTTGGTTTTAAAGTGATGAAATGGAAAATTGAAAATTTTATAGTAGTTTTTTTCGTAGACAAATGAACTTTATATCGATGAAAAATACGTTTACAACTGTACGGTATTAATTACGATTTAATACACAAATTAAGCATCGTTTTAAAACAATATATGTATCTATTGAATTATAAATAGTACATGTCTGTTATTTTACATTGACTATTATTTCCTGATATTATTTCAAATTTGATAATACTCAGCGACAAAATGTTTGAAGAGAAATAAAACAATACGGAAATACAATAGGTAACCGTAAAAATTCTAGACAAGTCTGTATTAAAGATTTTTACTCACTTTACTTTTTATAAATTCCGATGCAAGTAGCGATATCTATTCTGAATCGGAATTAATATAATTTCAGAGATAAGAAATCGTTTTTTATTTCAATTAAAATAAACAAGGAAACAATTCAACATTCTGGAAGGTTATGAATTTCATCACAGACGAGATATATGAATAGACGTTTCACCTTATGGACTTTCGCGGCCGAATCTGACTGCCATACCGACCTGAAAATTCGTAGCTGATTTTAGCGGCCTCTTCTCATGGATGGCGGTTAGTTGAGAAACTAGGCACTGAATTAGTATTGATGGGCAGCCAGCTGAGTGTGTACGTAAATACATGTGAGTTGATTATGGGAGGGATTGGAAAAGACAGTGGAGTATTATCAGACGGCAGACCCGTGCCGAAAGGGAACTGCCCCACCACTCACACACACTAATGCCAACCACCTTGTATATGAGTTCTGGCGTTTCGTATAGCTTCGTAGATTCGAGAAAGGCGGCGAATGTCAGTCTATCCTTCTTGCTCTCAACACAGCTGAAATTCGATCTCGCATATTCTCGAGCCGAGATTCTCGACTGCCTAGGCATTTTTGACTTTCCGACCTGTGTAGGCATATACAATGTATAAGCAATATACCATAATGAAGAAAAAATTACAAAAATTTGTTTTTACGGAAATACACGTTTTAAAACGATAATATTTTATGAACATATTTTAACCCTTTGCACTCGGTTGTCCCCTCTGAGGGGACATGAAAGTTTATTAGTGATTAAGGAGAATGAACTGATTTCACCGCAATTTTTTAAGAAACACATGTTTTCCTGTACTTTCCTATTAAAATGGGAAATATTCTATTAAAATGAGAAATATATCAGCCGTTTTTACGTTGGAAGTGGAAGGATTGTCGAGGATGGTCAGAGGCGTATGGTCGGATTCAAACACGTGGACAATAAACGTAACTATATAAACTATATTATTTAATGTTTACTAAAATTATTTAACATAAAGAACGTAAAACGTAAACGTAAAAAACTATAAACGTAAAATCGAAACTTCATTCAAAGTCGGACCATTCCTATTGCTATCTTCGTTATAATCTAAATAAATTAACGTTCTTTGTCGGACAATAGAATGAATAATAAGCTACATATTCCAAATGTAGGCCAAAGAAACCGGGACTGCATTATTTGTTCCGACAGGAAAACACCAGGAGAAAGACGTCAAACAACATTTTATTGTGAAACATGTATAAATCAACCTGCTATGTATATTGGGAATTGTTTCAGAATTTACCATACCATAGAAAATTATGAGAAATAAATTTTTATTTTGTATTGTAAATATGTGTTCTTCAATGTCCATAAATACATATAAACCAAATTTCAACACAATGCCTTACTTGGTTCCAAAGTTGTACCATATAATATCACGACTCAAGGGTTTTCGTTTTCGCGAGAAAGTAGCGTCGAGTTGCTGATAGCTAACGTCCGAAAAGGTGCCGAGTGCAAAGGGTTAACTATTAAAAAAGACATTTTTTTACTACGCTTATGGACGTGCGTTCATATATTTATACTATTAATACGATTGAGTCTAAACAATCAAATGAATTTCAATGTAATTTTACATTAAGTTTTGTGTTCTCATTTCAAAGTTTGATACACGTTATTTGTAAGAAATTAAAAAAATGTAAAGTAATAAAATTATAATTATAAAAAATGATTAGGTAATAACCAACAAATTAAAATTTATTTATTTATTTAGGAAAGGTCGGGTCTCAAAGATTTCGATGATTTTTGAATATGTTGTAGAAATCAACATCTTGAGCAACTTTTTCCTATAAATATAACCACCGCTCGGCCTTAATTTCCGAGATTTTTCTTCACAAATATCGCTGTTACTACAATGAATTCTATCTACACTTACGTGCCTGTTATATATGTATATACGACTCGCCGATTGTTGACAAAAAATCTGCAGTATGTATACGACTCGCCGATTGTTTATTGTTTCTATAGATACATCGAGGCGGCCGGCAATGAATGCGTATAACAGCTGTGATTAAAAACTCGATTTGTGTAGCCGGCCGCCTAACGGCGGCCACGCATTCATTTTCTATTTCAATTTTCTTTATTGATATTATCAGAAGTGGGAAAGATTTCAGCCATTATTTCGACAAATTTAATTATTAGATCATTAGCATGATATTGTCGACGGAAGAAGAATTCACCTAAATAGCCTACATAATGTATTTGGCGAGTTCCATACTTCAGAATATTCGAACCTTTGACAACAATGCAGAACTAGATTTAGCTCGACACATTATACATTATTTGTCGTCGGTTGTCATGCCGACTAATACAAACAAGAGAAAAAAGCAACGATCGTGGACTGATGCAATACAGAGCCACAGATATGTACATATAGACAGAATTCATTGTAGTAGTAGCGATATTTTTGAAGAAAAATCTCGGAAACTAAGGCCGAGCGGCGGTTATATGTATAGGAAAAAGTTGCTCAAAATGTTGATTTCTACAACATATTCAAAAATCATCGAAATCGGTGAGACCCGGCCTTTTCTAAATAATTACCTCATTTTCTTTCAATAATTCTCCATTGCAAAAATTCTACAGTATTCTTACATTTTTTTATATTTTAAAATTTTCCCATGTTATTAGAAAGTAGATATACAACGAAAGTTATACAATTTATAGTTCCTAGCATGTATAACATGTGTATGTATATAACGCATGGTCGCTTCGTATGGAAAGTCAATGAATCTTCAAAAAGCGCCCAGGTCCGATTTCGAGAAATGTAAGGTCTGTCGGTCACGATGGCTTTTGTCGTTTACTGACGATTCGAACGGTTGGCGATGCCAGGCTTGCTTTCGAGAAATGTAAACGACGTCAGCGATGCAAGAGCGAGAAGGAAAGCGAGTATCAGCCTGTTCTTCTCGGCTCTTCCGAAACTCAACGAGCTCACGTACACGCAATTGAGCATAGTGTGCGAAAGCGAGGAATGAGGAGTTTCCGGGGCCCCGATGCACAGTCTGATTAAACTGATTTCGAGTCGCAAATACGTTTCGGCCGAGTTATTTTTTTAATAAATGATGTATTACAATTTAAAATAAAAAATAGAGAATTTGCGGTGTACGTATCAATGAAATACATCCTTATGAATTTTAATAATCTTGAAATTTTTAAATACTCTTAATCGATTGATTTCTCCAATGAAATTAATCGATTAATGTCCAATGATGGACCCTACAGCTTTAATTCCGTTCAAAAATAATAAAATTTATGTAATTTTATTTTCTGTCTCGCTTCCTCTTGTGTTAATTTCTGAATCTGTTGATAACGTAGCGAGTGACACGAAAATGGTAATGGGGTCCCGGGACCCCAGAAACTCCGACCGAAAAATTACATTACGTGAAACGTCTATTCATATATCTCGTCTGTGATTTCATTCCCATACAAGGGGACGATCGGTAAGACATTTCTGACTGCCATACCGACCTGAAAATTCGAAGGTGATTTTAGCGTCCTCTTCTCATGGATGGCGGTCAGTTGAGAAACTATTCAATGAATTAGTTGATGGACAGACAGCTGTAGTTGTGTGTGTAAATACATGTGAGTTAACCCATTTGCATCCAAGCGCGGAATATTCCGCGAGCCGCGACTGTCTACTATCACCAAGCACGGAATATTCCGCGAGCCGCGACTATTTATTATCATCAAGCGCGGAATATTCCGCGAGCCTATGTTGCTTTCTTTTACCAGTTGCGAAATAGCTTTCAATTGCGACAGACAACGTTTAACCACTTGCGAGAGCGTTTAGGTTCTTTAAGTTCAATATACATCAGTGTATTTTAAAAAAGTTTTACTTTTTCTGTGAAAATCTTTCAAACTGCCGCTGCGAGTAAGTATATTTAAATTTAAGAATGAAAGTTTGGAAAACAATCTTATTTTATAATATAATCTAAACTTTAGCTGCCCCAATGGATTTTGAGTATCCTGATTCGGATTCAAGTATTGAGGTACGACGTCCTAGAAAACGTTGCCGGAGGATTTCGTCAAGTGATGATAGCGAAAATGAACAGTGCGACAGTTGTATAAATGGAGAGTTTGTGTGGAAAGCCGAAAATCATACTCCCATTATACATCGTTTTTCAATTGCGGGTGGTGCAACCGTAAATACACGGGGTCTGTCGAGAAGGGAGGTTTTTGAACTATTTTTTAACAATGAATTAATTACAAAAATAATTACTGAAACAAATTTATATGGCGCAAGCGACGCAGAGTTTATACCTCTTGAAGAGGGCGAATTAAAAGTATTTATTGCCTTAAATATTTTAATGAGTCTGATTTCCAAGCCCACGATTCAAAGCTATTGGTCAACAGATGAAAGTATAGAGACTCCGTATTTTAAGAATATCATGAGCCGTAACCGATTTATTTCTATCACAAAAAATTTACACTTTTCCAGTACAAATAATCCTAATGACGCACTGACTAAAATTCGAGAAGTTACTGAAATTGTAAATAAAACTTTCATTCGCATGTATGTCCCAAATAAAAACATTTCCATTGATGAATCACTAATGTCATGTAGAAGTCGTTTACATTATATACAATTTATTCGAACAAAACGTGCGAGATTCGGTGTCAAGTTTTATAAACTCTGTGATTCACAATCGCGATACATACATAATTTCAATATATGTACAGGAAAAGATAAAACTGATACAGGATCTGCTGGCAGGAATGTTGTAATCAATTTGTTAAAAGAAAGTCAATTATTGCACAAGGGGTATTGCCTATTCATTCATAACTGGTATAGTTCGCCAACATTATACCGAGAATTATATAATATGAAAACAAATGTATGTGGAACAGCAAGAATAAATAGAAAAGGAATGCCTCCAGAATTAAAATCACACCTACTACAAAAGGGTGAAGCTGTTATATTTAGTACAAAAGAGATGGCGGCGATAAAGTGGAAGGACAAGAAAGATGTCGTTATGCTAACTACTATGCACGATTTACATTTTGCTGAGACAGGGAAACGAAACCGATATACTGGAGAAAATAGTTTAAAACCAACCGCAGCAATAGATTACAATAAATATATGGGTGGAGTTGATGTTGGCGACCAGATGTTAAGCAAATTTCACACTATTCGACGATGTAAAAAAGCCTATAAAAAAATATTTTTTTATTTTATTGACATGATGTTGCTGAACAGTTATGTAATTTTTAAAAATCATAAGAAAGATCGAGCGTTTCATGTGTTTAAACAGTTATTAGCTGAAGAAATTATTGATAAATATTTACCCAACATAAATGTAAATAAGGCATCTGTCAATGATTCCATTACGCGATTTACTGGCAGGCATTTTCCTGTACGGATACCTGCAACTCCAGCAAAGGGAAATAGAACTTCAAAACGATGCGTTGTATGCTTAAGTAAGTCAATTCGAAGGGAGACGGTCTTTAAATGCGATGTTTGTGATAAACCATTATGTATTGACCACTTTAAAGAATTTCACGAAAATTAATTTATTTAAATGTTCATTTTAACTTAAATAAATTTTTTTTCTTTATAAAAAAATGTAAAATGCGATATTTGCGATATAACACTGTGTATCAAACGTTTAAAAAGTACATTCTTAATAAACTCGATGAATAATTTCGATGCCCGTTACTGCACATACGATCGACCGCGCGTGGTGATACAAGTCAGTCGTCAGTTGAACGTCGCTGATGTTTCGATGCGGAAGCTTAAATAGAGCGATGATGCAAATGGGTTAACTATGGAATGGATTAAAAAACGCAATTTTCAAACGACCATAACACCTACAATAGTGAATGTATTTCAATGAAACTTTTTTCTGAAGCAGAGGTCATGGGTACCTATAAAAATCTATTAGACAACTTTTCTATAGAGCGTCAAACAAAATTACTAAAAATCAAAAACGAATTTTTAAGAAAAATCGACAAGAGTGCCTAAATTTTTCGACAAAATTAAAGAATTTAGAATCCGTCTGGAAAAATTATTTTCGGTTGCAGGGGTCAATTACAATCATTTTTGGTCAATAGACCACTTTCGAGAAAAAAATTCCTTACCGAAAATATAATGTGAGGCCTGAAATATGATTGGAGAATTTTGATGTTTCAAATGCCAAACAACGCGTATTTTAGCGAAGAATATGTAGAAATTCTAACAATATTGAAAAAGTTGTTTCTTGACCCCGTAAAGTGAGAAAAACCCCCTAAAAATGGTCCAATATTCAAACAGCCATAACTCGTACACTAGTGAATATATTTTAATGAAACTTTTTTCCGGTGTAGAGCTCATGGGTACCTATAAATAAGTATTAGACACCTTTTCTATAGGGCGTCAAACAAAATTACTAAAAATGAATAACGAATTTTTATGAAAAATCGACAGGTGCCTAAATTTTTCGACAAAAAAAAAATTTTCAAATCGATTTGGAAAAATTATTTTCGGTTGCAGGGGTCAATTTCAATAATTTTTGGTGAATAGACATACCCCCGAAATCCTACACATTTTCGAGAAAAAAATTCCTTACCGAAAATATAATCTGAGGCCTGAAATATGATTGGAGGATTTTGATGTTTCAAATGGCAAACAACGCGTATTTTAGCGAAGAATATGTAGAAATTCTAACAATATTGAAAAAGTTGTTTCTTGACCCCGTAAAGAGAGAAAAACCCCCTAAAAATGGTCCAATATTCAAACAGCCATAACTCGTACACTAGTGAATATATTTTAATGAAACTTTTTTCTGGAGTAGAGCTCATGGGTACCTATAAATAAGTATTAGACACCTTTTCTATAGGGCGTCAAACAAAATTACTAAAAATGAATAACGAATTTTTATGAAAAATCGACAGGTGCCTAAATTTTTCGACAAAAAAAAAATTTTCAAATCGATTTGGAAAAATTATTTTCGGTTGCAGGGGTCAATTTCAATAATTTTTGGTGAATAGACATACCCCCGAAATCCTACGCATTTTCGAAAAAAAAATTTTTTCTTTAATTTCATTTTCTGTCTCACTTTCTCTTGTGTTCATTTGTGTACCCTGCTGGTAATGTTGCGAGTGACATGAAAATGGTAATGGGGCTCTAGAGCCCCATAACAATGGGCCGAAAAAATACATTGGATGTAAGGTTTACTCGTGAGTCTCGTCTGTGCTTTCGTTAACCGAATAAAAATACTTTTGAAGCAAATGTTAATCAATAATCGGTTGACAAGAAATTGCAATATTAAAAATGAGCAAAAAATTGATTATTAAATAAAATAATCAAAATTATTTCAAATTTGTAAGCAAAAATATACACTTTTTTGTACATTGATCGATGCATTTTTGTCTGGTGACAAAAATCGATCAGTTTGGAGGTTATAATTTTCGTTCGGAATTCCCCTAAACCTATACGATACACTGTACATTGTACGCGATGTGTTAGCATAATGTATATACTGAAACAATTCATTTCGTTGATGCATCGAACGATACAGTTAATTTATTCAAGTTTAGGTTATGTTCGATGAATGGATAGAATAGTTTTTTTTACTCACGGTCGTGACGGGGTGCTACGTGTCTTGAAAAGCTTCCGTTTCCCATCGTGCAAATCACCGATGGGCACCGCCAGGCATCTCTTTTCGCGATCAGTCAACGGGACGTCGTGAGCCTCCTCAGGATCATGAATCAATGCTAAAATAGGCAGAGCCAAGCCTGGTATGTCCGATCTCCAAGGCAGCGTTTCCTCGCTCGTCGTGGCACCCCTGTTTCCACGGTTAACGATCGCGAGCCGTGCCGGTGTCGTTTTTTTCTCTTCGTTTGGCGACGGTTGCTCGTTTGGCGGATCCTCGTCGACGGAATGCCTCTGAAAGGACACTATGCGGGAAATTCGTTTTTATTAATACCACGACGATTCAAATTTCTCTTCGTTTTCGCGGTCTTTTGACCATTCGCGCCCTGGCGGTCACGATTACAAATGTAGAAATGTTGGATCGTAGAAAAAAAAGACATTCTAACGTTAAAAATTTAGTCGTAACTCCGTTGCAAATATAGTAAGGAATATGTTAGAGATTGTTTAGGTTGGTAACGTTTTATTATATTATGTTGGCACCACGTAGGAGTCCCCCGTACTGGTCAGCCACTCTTCTGGTTTGACATGTTTTGTAAAACGTATTAATGTATTTATTAATTCAAATATATAGTTGTAAGTTACATATCAAATATACAGGGTGTTCGGCCAACCCTGGGAAAAATTTTAATGGGAGATTTTAGAGCCCAAAATAAGACGAAAATCAAGAATACCAATTTGTTGATTTGTTGATTGATTTGATTTTGTTGATGGAGAAAAATGATTGTAATTGAACCCCGCAACCGAAAATAATTTTTCCAAAACGATTTGAAATTTTTTTTTCCGTCGAAAATTTTTACACCTTCTCGAATTTTTTTCTAGAAAGTGATAAAATAAATCATAAAAATGATTATAATTGACCTCAGCAACCGAAAATAATTTTTCTAGAACAATTTGAAATTTTTTTTTCGTCGAAAGGTAACCAATTTTTTAGGTTAGGCAACTAATTAAATTTTCGGTAAGGAATTTTTTTCTAGAAAGTGAGTAGGATTTCGGGGGTATGTGTAATGACCTAAAATGATTGTAATTGACCCCTGCAACTGAAAATATTTTTTTTAGAACGATTTGAAATTTTTTTTTCCGTTAAAAAGTTTCACACCTTCTCGAATTTTTTTCTAGAAAGTGAGTAGGATTTTGGGGGTATGTCTGTTCACCAAAAATGATTATAATTGAACCCCGCAACCGAAAATAATTTTTTCAAAATGATTTGAAATGTTTTTTTTCCGTCGATAAATTTCACACATTCTCGAATTTTTTTCTAGAAAATGGGTAGGATTTCGGGGTTATGTCTATTCACCAAAAATGATTATAATTGATCCCCGCAAACGAAAATAATTTTTCCAGAACAATTTGAAATTTTTTTTCGTCGAAAGGTAACTAATTTTTTAGGTTAGGTTAGGCAACTAATTAAATTTTCGGTAAGGAATTTTTTTCTCGAAAGTACGTAGGATTTCGGGGGTATGTGTAATGACCAAAAATGATTGTAATTGACCCTAGCAACCAAAAATAATTTTTCCAAAACGATTTCAAATTTTTGAATCTAATTGTTAATAACTTTTTAACGAAGCCTCTATCAACAAATTGGTATTCTTGATTTTCGTCTTATTTTGGCCTCTAGAATCCCCCATTAAAATTAAAAGTTAATGCCCAACAGAGCATAGCTGAACTAATATTAGCGATTTATTACGATAAAGAAGACTGTGGGATTCATGTGATTCCCCAAAATCAATGATAGAATTTTAGATGTAGGATTCTTTGTAACAGTGGCACCAAATGTATCCGTATTATTGGCGAATCAGTGGAATTTTATTACAAATAAATAACATATTAATTACTGCCAAGTATCAATCAACTTTTTTACTATTAATAAAAGACATTAAATTAGAGAAAATTAATAAGAAAAAAAGTGATATAATTGATGGAGATGGAAATTGGAGATTAGATGCGGATCGGTAGGTCGTAACGTAATGGGTGTACTTATTTTAACATTTCCGTTGCGAATACATCGTTCGATCACGTTTTTCTATCGTACCGTGCGGTTCACCGAAGTCGATTCAATTGAATGGAGGTAATATTGGTAGAATTTTATAGTCACGATACGTATGTTTACCGAGTAACCTGATTTAGCGGGTCGGCGATCATAACACTTGGCCGTTTACCGAAAACTGGGCCAAACGATATTTCGTGTCATCGATTTCGTTTCATGGAACTAAATGGGTCCATTAATATTTTCCACGAACTGCCTTTTTTCCCTTGTATCTTATCACTAGTCGATCGTATTTGATGCAAAGACTGGTTCGTCGCGACTCATCCATTGCTCAGCTCGAGGCTGGTTCAACAACTCTCGCGCGTAGCTAAAAAATTGTGATATGATTTAAGAATGATTAGTTTTTTTTTAATACAACGTCGATGTACGTTAATTGGGTGAAAAATCGATAAATGGAGATACGTTTGTTTATTTCATAATTCCATTAATTTGTCCAAAATTAATGTACAACATATGTTTTTGAGATTTAGAATTCCTATGAGAGAACATTTGAAAAAATAATTACGAATTATTGCTTTATCACCAATAAATAATTTATAATCAACTTACCACAATTTCGAAAAATTGGCTTGTATAAGATTTGTTTCTTGTTATGCAAACACACTTAAAATTTTTAACTTCTCTTTGAAATCATTTAAAAGGTATCAAAGCAAATAGGAGAAAAGTCTTTTATAAAAATCATATACTTTTTATTAATAAGTTAATAATAAACAAATTTATAACGAAAGGAATAAAAAAAAGTCTCTTTTGAGTCAATATAAAGTTGACACCCCTGCTTTTTTGTTAGTAATTATAACTATTGCAAGAATTTTTGGCTATGTTGGCATCACTGTTTAGTAATATGGCGTCGGGATATCCCCGTGTTTTGTTTCCATATTAAAACATAACCTAATGATATAATTTCGAAATGGCTAGACAAAAAACTGTTGAAAAGCGTCAAATAATAATCGAAATGCATAAAAATAAACAGACCTTAAAGGAGATTGCTAAAGTTGTGAGAATAAGTCACGTGGCTGTGAAAAAAATCATTGACAAATCCAATAATTTCGGTAATTTCTTGTACTTTTATTTTTGTCCTTTAACTTGAGTAACTTAAATAAAACGTATTCTCTTCCATAATGGATGTTACGGTATGGAAAGTAAACACAAGAATTATATTTATAATTATAATATCAGTCTTATATTTTACGTTTATTACTGGGTTGTAATTATTAATATTGTATGCCAGTATCACAGTGCAAATTAATATTATAGGTTTATTATAATTTCGTTTTATTTTGGGAGTGTATTGTATTAATTGTAATGCTGAAAAAATGTCATATTGAACGTACATACATACGTATAGCTTTGTTTCAAAGTTTCTCATGACAGGTTATGTTCGAATGGAATGTCAAACATGGTAACACGATTCTAATTTGCACGAACACAATAGCATAACGATAATACTAATAACAACGATACCGTCATTCAATCTACACAATTTACAAATATTACTATATTAGGATTTTCGGGATCGACGATTACGAATCTGATGTCGGATTAACGTTTGAGCTAAACTGTTTGCTGATAAAAAATAGTTTTAATTTAAAAAAAAGCGTAACATTTTGGACCTAATATTAATTTGAACCCAATATAATTGAAGAACAAATGTGAAAAATCAAAAACAATTTATGTTTGAAATTCATTTATAATATTGTGATGACACTTTCCACACTTGCCAGCAGAGGGCTAGTCTTAACCTGTGTCTCTGTGTCTCGATCGACTATCTACTCCTACAGGGTGTCCCAGCTAAAGTGTGACAGTCGCGATACTGCAATAACTATTGATGATACGGAAAAATTGTTTATATGAAAATTGCAGGATAAAATAGGATCTTTATTCTGGCGTAAACGGAAATTTTATTTATGTTATTAATTTCAAAGATACGATGATGAAGTTTCGTTTTTTAAATGGAACTATATATTTTTTTTTGGATCATGAGATAGTGTTTTTCAATACGAATTCATTAACCTGCAATTTATTTACCCGATTTTCATTAGTTTTCAAGATATAGCGCTTGGAAATTTACTGATTTTCGGCGAAGACGTCTCGGCTTGAGTGGCAAGTCATAAAAGCGGCCCTATTGTTGCGCTGTTTGACTCCGCCTGTTGAAACCGATAGCAAGGGTCTACGCTCGGAACGGCAGGCCCGAAGAGTCAGAAACATGAAAAGTATTGCCCATCACGATTTAAGTTTGTCGCATCGAGGATGGTGATGTCGTTAATAATTTGGATGATTGGAACATTTATTTAAATGTTTTAGCTGAATTTTATTATACAAAAAATGTATTCTACGTGTCTCCTGCCATTCGAAATACATGTTTCAATTCGTTTTACAAGTTTCTTTTCCACGTTTATTAGAATGTCCGTTGGAATATTTTCACACACAGCTTTAAGTCTGCAGTGCTTTGTAGCGGTGTTTTATAACTCTTGTTGTATGATGGAAAAACTTGGACCTTGCCAAACATAAATAATACATCTATTACATTTTACCGCTAATAAAAATTCCAACTTTCCCGAAAATACCTAATTAGACCCGCTGGTCTTTTATGAGTTTGCTGTTCCGCTGCAATATATTGAAATACACTGTTTAATACGTTTTATGAGTTCTCTTATGAATCAATTTTATATTCCTTATCCTTGCGAATTCACGAAATCGTGATGGACAATACTTTTCATGTTTCTGACTCTTCGGGCCTGCCGTTCCGAGCGTAGACCCTTGCTATCGGTTTCAACAGGCGGAGTCAAACAGCGCAACAATAGGGCCGCTTTTATGACTTGCCACTCAAGCCGAGACGTCTTCGCCGAAAATCAGTAAATTTCCAAGCGCTATATCTTGAAAACTAATGAAAATCGGGTAAATAAATTGCAGGTTAATGAATTCGTATTGAAAAACACTATCGCATGATCCAAAAAAAAATATATAGTTCCATTTAAAAAACGAAACTTCATCATCGTATCTTTGAAATTAATAACATAAATAAAATTTCCGTTTACGCCAGAATAAAGATCCTATTTTATCCTGCAATTTTCATATAAACAATTTTTCCGTATCATCAATAGTTATTGCAGTATCGCGACTGTCACACTTTAGCTGGGACACCCTGTATATGTATACACACAGTGTCTCAAATCACACTTGGCATTTACATTTTTATACTTT